CCCCCCCCCCCCCCCCCCCCCCCCCCCCCCCCCCCCCCCCCCCCCCCCCCCCCCCCCCCCGACACCGGGATTTTTTGCTCAGAATTATTCAAAACGTATATAAATCGACTCAGTCTTTGCAGTACACATAACAATCGGATGCGAATCCGACGTTTCCGCATTTTTTTATATATATAAGCAAAATTATTCGTTTACAATTTCTGCACCTAGCTGTTCTATGTCAAGCTGCTTCTATCATAAAGAAGAAAATTGTTCAAGTACGTTCCCTAAGGATTAATGAACGTCATATCAAACTTGGAAAATTAATAGGATATATTTAAAATAATCCTATTACGTAAATGTATGAACATTTTCCTTACCATCAACGTTACTACAATTGATACCGCACAATAAATTATTGAACATACGACTAATGTCAAACAAATTGACATTGGAATAGCTCGTTGTGGATTCTTGCTTTCTTCTCCTATAGAACATATCGATAGATGTTATCAGAATTCATATCAACAATAAAGATTTAATAAAACCTGTTGTAGCAACAAGATCGAAGCCGACAAACGCATAGAAACATGTTGCTGCACCGGCTAATGTTCCTTCGATACCAAATGGAAAGAAGCCACCATTACCAACAGGATATGTAACATTAGTTAAATTTTGTATCTAAAACGGAAACATCGAAGAGTAAAGTTCAATGAGATAAAAAAAAAAGGATAGCAGCTTACTTCCTCCGATGAGATTGCCCAATTATGCCCATGAACTTTTGTTAGACCAACAACGACAACAAGAGCAATAACAGAAAGATTGATGAATGTAAATACATTATTCAATACAGCTGACTCTTTAATCCCAACGATCAAAAGAACTGAGGAGATAACAAAAAGAATATTCAATAGTTTTTCTTTACTGCACTTGTTTGTTTTTTTCTTGATAAATTTACTTACCGGTGATTATTAGACATAAAGCCATAGCAAATAAATCTGCATAGGGCGCAAATGTTTCGGAATGTAATGGAAAATGTGATATAAAATAATCTTTCATGGCAAAATTAATTAGCGAGTCAAAATAAGCACTTAACGCACGTGCTGTACTAGCGGCACCTGAAGAATAAAATTAAAAAAATTGACATTTCTTTTACTTCGTTTACAAAAGAATAGAATATATTTTTGAAGATTAATAACCTATGAGTATTGCAAAGATTTTTTAAGAATTATCAATTTTCAAGAATTATCCAATGTTAATTCATATAGATTTATTCATGCAAATTATTAGGGTAAATTTACGGGGTCTAGGTTAGTTGCTCGCGGACACTTGCTCGCTAGGATACTTGCTTACAAAAATATTTAGAAGTAAACATGGAAGACATGAAAATATTTATTAATAACAATAAGAATATTGATTAACAATATACGAGAGAAAAGAGACTCTATATTGATAGCAAACGTCCGATATATTTCAATTGGTCCTTCATGCCTGTATGTGGATTTTGAACTAGATTATATATTCGCCTGTTCAATGATTCGTTTCTTCGTTTTGGTGGGTGACGACCAGACACATCATTAACGATACCTGGAGGGTGCGTGGAGTGTGAGATGTGGGTGTGGTTGTATTTATCATGTCTCGCTATAAAGCCCATACCGACACCCGCACCCCGACACCGACACCGACACCGACACCGACACCGACACCCACACCCACATCCACGACCCACCCTCACGAGCAAATGTTCAAGCGAGCAAGTGTCCTGGCGAGCAACTGTCCGGAGAGCAAGTAACCGACTCCCAAATTTACGACTATTTATATTGCATATGTTAAAGAATCATGCACTAGATACATGAAAAAAAATAATCAGTAATATTCTAAATAATTGAAGCGGAAATTAAATTGCTTTTAGAGTTACCTTCAACACACGAGTAGAACCTAGTTTGATAAAAACTATAATTAACATATTAATGAAGAGTTTTCATCGATGATTTATTGGATATGAATAGCTTCATTTCTAGAGAAATATCGAAGAATAATATCATCCTGGAGTTCGATTTTGACCCTTTTATTAGCCTATTGTCTTTTTTTCTTTGATTAAATATTCCAATTTAAATTTATGAATACATATACTTATTTAAGTGCACATTTTACTAAATCGAAAACCGAAAGATATACGATTATGACTAGAGTACTGTGAAGAAAATAATATAGATGTTTGTATTCAGAATGCATCGAAAATATAACCTTTTTTCTCATGCAAAATGTTGCAAATTAACATACCTATAACATATTCAAGGATCATATTCCAGCCTAAATATTATAAAGCGATTATTCAATGACAAAGTTCTAAATAAAATTTAAAACAATAAGCATTCATACCGATGATAAATGCCATAATTTCACCGACACTAACATATGTGTATGTATAAGCGCTGCCTGCACGTGGTGCTCGTGCACCAAATTCAGCATAACAAACACCTGAAAATATGCATACGATATATAATACAAGCTTATTCATAAATTAATTGATTGCTACCTGCAAGAATCGATGCAATCGCTGCAATTAAAAAGCTAAGAATAACCGATGGTCCTGCCGTTTCACGTGCCACTTGACCTGTTAGAATATAGGTTCCTGTTCCTAATGTCGACCCAATACCTACAGTAATACAAAACAAAAATAAATCGGACAATCATTCATATCATTAAAAAAGATCAAAATTTATTAATCCTACCCAAGACAGTTAGATCAAAGACGGTTAAACATCGTCTCAATTGAGAAGTATGCAATGATTCAGTATCATAAGTTTTCTTGCGTGTTATATTTTCATAAAATCTGTGTAGAAAACTTGGCATTATTTCCGTTGATCTGCTTTTGGTGCTGATCAATAAAGAATTTCTATAACAGTAAATATCGAGAGTTTCTTTTCAAAGAACTGTGATTTAAGCATACTCGTATTCCCTTCAACAACCTACGCCTTAATTGAGTGTGACGAAGTATTCTTACAGAACTAAAAAACTCATTCTCCGAACAACAATTGATACTTGAGAATATTATTGGTACTCACAATGCCAAATGACAATAGTATAAAAAGATGTCGTTATCGATAAGCAAATAAATCTTGATGTAAAATATAACATATGCCTAGGGCTTTGGTAGATTCACAGGAAAGATAAATAATATTAATACTTTATTTTAATTCTTTAAAGTAAAAACCAAATTCATATTGATGTAGATGAATTTCGAAGATTGTTTTTGTATGATCCGTTTATTCAGCGTATCCCTAAAAAACGCTACTGCTATCGATTTTTGAATGAAATGATCAACTATGGAATCTTGGTCTGCTTTTCAAAGGTTAATTTTTAATACCGTACATGTTGTCTCGTTGTTTTTCGAAAAACGAAAATAGTTTGATTGTTTCTATTCGTTTGTAATACGTTTTAGGAGCGATAAGAATAACTTTAAGAATCTAGTATTATTGGATACTAATCCAGAGGCTTAAATGAAAGTAAAATCTTTATTTCGACGAAATAGTGATCGTTGTTCGAGGTTCTGACAATAGCAAGAAACTTTAAGTATTTCTCAAACAATCTGTCTGATAATCTTTAATTATAACCAAGTTAATAACCTATTATTTTAACAGCGCATTTTATTGATTCAGTTTGAAGCTATGATTCAGCTACGTTTAGTTCTGGACGAGTTAGAAACCAAAGCGATTTACTCTACCGATCAAGTACCATTGTGGAATATGACATTTGTACAAAAGATTGCTTTATCTTTCTTCAAGGTAATGATCTTCTTCAGAACTATTAATGAATTCTTCCATGATCCCAAGAGACAAAATATACGTAATGGAATCTGTGTCTATGTTGTCTTTACAATAGTGTTATAACTTTTTCGATGGAACTAGAAAAAATGATGCTCTTCATTTGTGACTAAATCATTCTTTACTAAAGCTTTTTGTATTTATTTGGCTTCAATCGAATAAATAATATCGTCATTTAGACGATAAATATTTTTCTTTCTTTTTCTACTACAAACGTTTATCTCGTCTATAGAATCCTGATTAATTACATGATAAATTCTAAGTCGTTTAGAGAAAGATTAATCTTTATTTTAAGATCAAAAGACTTATTCGATTCTAGAAGATGTATGAACTCGATAAAATACTTTTGTTTTTTTCAACTAGAGTTAAAATCAACTTTTGATAGGTAAGCATTCTTCGCAATAAAAAGAAGCAATACTTTGATATACATATAAAAGAACTTTTCTAAGCAAGTTGGAAATGATTAATAGACAATCAACTTTAACAACTCTAATGATTCCTATTCACTATTAAAGATTTCCGTCTTATATCTGTCAATTCAATCATTTGATTCTTGCCAGTGTTTGTATCTATGTATGTCTGAATACATTGGTAAGAAGAAGAAGAAGAAAAAAAAGCAATCAAACATCTGTTCAAAGTCATTAATGAACAATATTATCATTTTTTTTTCGATCTTTCTGTGTTAACAATTAAAAACAACAACAAAAACAGTATTCATATCCGTCAAACAAAAAGAAACATGTAACCAATATATTAACTGATTTTATTTTCATTTATAATAATCAATAGGCATTGATTAAAAATCTCTAGAATCGATATTATTCATTTAGCTGCATGATAAAAATCTCTTTAGAAAAAATAAAAAACAAAGACGCAAATGTAACAGCTTAAAACAATCGTTTCACGAAGAAGGCACAAAATAAAATATAGTTGAGTCAATTAATCTTCACATCTTTTACTATAAATAATATATTTTCTTTATCGTTGAACATACACAAGTCATGTTATCTGAATAAAATATTTCAGTTGCCTTGATTAACTGACAGATTCTGTTATTTTTTTTCTTCGTTTTTCACCTAATATAAACATACATTGAAAAAGGAGGAGTAAAGACCATTCATCATCATGTTCTGCGAATGTGTATATCCAACGATAGTGATACATAGTACAATGTCTCTCCAAAGCATAACTTAACTGATACACAAATATATATATAAATGATAGGTAGAAGCAAAGAAAAAAACAACATGAAAGAAAAGAAACGATGATCTTGATCGTTCCGCATTGAGTTAACGAGCCACTTCGGAAAAATCAATCGCGCGCTTGAGTCGTCTCTCTTTCTCTTCTCAATCGAATACCGGCAACATTACCGTGTTATTCTTTATATTTATATCGTCCTGCTTATCGTCATCGATTCATTGCAGAGACACGATTAATGTTCGAATTGATGCAGATGCGCTTATAACTTGGGCAACAAAAAGTCATTAGACAACATAGATCATCCATCACTTTTTTTTTCTTTCTTCAATGCCCCATCATCTCGCAGTAGAGCATAAAGATAGATAGATAAATAGATAGACTCAACATTCAAGTCAATTTAATGTTAAAGATGTCTTCTCTTCTATAAATATATGTCATTGAATTCATGTTTAATATTTCTTATGAGAATGACTATGAAAATATTGATTAAGTTAAATAGGCGTAGTTTATCCGAGAATTAGATGATATATACAAACAAGTCAATTTGATAATTGTTTCTTTTTACTATAGAAAACATGAAAGAATTGATTCATCGGAAGTTCATAGCACAAAAATTTCAATAGAAACAAACTAAATACAAGTGATATTAAAAGCTTAAAAATTAAATGATCTGTTCTACTAGTCATTGTCAATGATGCGCAAATCAACAAGTAGATATAATATAAATATATCTATATTGTATTCATTAAATTCATGATAGACAGAGAAGAAGAAGAAGAAGAAGAAGAAAAAAACAGGCAAGCAACAACATCATCAAACGGATGTTGCATTTGTCCGTATCCGTCCGGCCGTAGAACCAGTGATGATGAATGAATGAATTCACACATGCAAATTTAACCACCATTACTACTATAGTATTTGCATTGATTAAATGTAGCATAGCACAGTAGCAGTTGTAATAGACAAGATGAGAGACAAAGAGAAGATCAATACGTTGTCGTATTCGCAGTCGTTGCGCTCCACCCCCTTTTCCTTCCTTACATACACACACACACACACATATATATATATACTTTTTATTTCGTTACACCAGTTTGGCTATCGTACCCCCTGATGAGTTGTCGCCTAAAAGATATAGAGTAATCAAATCTACACGCTGTCGATTCAATAGGAAAAAGAAAGATTTGATCTAATGAAGTGTTTCATATTGTAATTTTGTTCTCTTGTTCAATTAAATATACAATTGCGATCAAAGAAGAAATAAATACTTTTAGTTTATTATATCTAAGAAAAAGTCTAGGGAAAAAATAAATTGATGAATATCCTAGTTCTGGTTGTTCTCGTGTAACTATTCATCTTATTTATAATTGAACATATAGAGAAAAAAAGAATGTTGATTCAAAAATATTTTTTTTTATACGCATTTAGATCGAATAAATTTCATTGTGAATAACATTATTTATCATTAAAAAGACTTCATTTGAATGAAATAATAATCTATCAATGAGTAAAGAGTAACTTAGTAAAGTGAAAAATGATTAACATTTTCTCTCTATCCCAAGAGAATTCAATGTGCCGACACACACACATATAGAGGGGGAGAGCAAAAAGGCGACTAGGAGGCAACTATTGGTGTCATTTTTATTGATGATGATGATGATGAGATAAGAGAAGGGGAAAATAGGAGAAACACATATCGACATAGTAAAAGTATGATTGTTGATCGACACTATCGATTGGAGTTCAGGTATGGATTTAATTATAAATAAACAGAATAATATTTCATGGAAATTTTTCTCTTACACCATCTCATTTGCCTATTATCAATGAGTTTTCTCTCTCTCTCTCTCTCTTATTCTGATTTTTGACATTCGTCCATATAAACCAGACTCAAAAGCATTTTTCGTACGAAAGTCACGTCGCAGCGATAACGCGCAGACAAGATGATAAAGAGGCCTCTAATTGTCCGATGATGCTCTCTCCTTCCCTCTCTCTCTCTCTCTCTCTCTGGTTAGTTGCACATCCATATAGAACAATATCCGATACCATTGCCACCCATGGAGCAAATCAGATTTATTCTTCTAATTCTCTCTTATGCACACGATTAATAACAGCCAGTTCTCTCTTGCTTAAATCTTGTCTGTTTATATGCGTTTCCTTTTGTAGTCACATCTCTCAGTTTTTCTTTTTTCGTCTATAACATGGAATGCATTTCTATAGTAAAAAAAAGCCAGAAAGAAAAAAAAAAGAACAGACAAATATTGAGAAGAGAAAGTAAATGATTCTTTTCTTGCTCTCCTCCCTATCTCCTCTCTTTTTCCTTTATCCTTTGAGTTTCTTTTTTTTTCAAACAAACAAACGTTTACTAAAGAAAAACGATGGCATCTTGGTGGTATCCTCAACAACACCAACCAATAGGTGAACCATTTGAATATCATCATCCCGCTTCTTTACCACCTCCTTCACAAACCATGGTACCATCGCCGTTTTATTATGATTCACAACCGATTGTGATTGAAGGTGGCAATAATGACGAGTATATAATACATCCATCAAACAATGGAAACATGAATGATTCGAATTCAATCGATTATCATCATCGTCGAAATTGGTTTAATGGGTAAATGAGAAAGTAGAAAAAAAAAAGACTTGCCGTATTTTCCCAAAATCAAAATCATATCATAGATAAAATCATATTGAGAACGAGAAAAAACCTTTTAATTGCGTTAAAATTATTCTCAAGAATTTGATTGGCTGTTTCAGTAGAGAAATTGATCATTCCTATTCGTCTGTTTCTTGTAGGGCTAATAACGATGATCGTAAAGCAAAGTCTCGTGTAGCAGCAAAACATCGGCGTAGTGCAGAAAATAAAGAATTTACGGATTTATCAAAATTATTACCATTACAACAACAAATAGCTGCGCAACTTGATAAAGCTTCAATTATACGTTTAACAATTAGTTATTTACGTTTACATGAATTTTTATCACATGGTGATCCATCGTGGCCAAATGAAATAAATGGTAAATTTGTTTTCTTCGTCGTCTTTTTTTTTGTTAATCTGATAGATTTATAGGAATTCTCACTGGATAAGATATCAAATCCCTTGATAAAATTCGCCGTCTTCTTTTTTTCTATTTAGTACCATCAAGAAAACAAGCATTTAAATTATTTAATGCTGACGAAGCATCCCAATTATTACAAGTAAAAGAGAGCAAACGCTTTATTGATTAATTGAATTTTATATCTTCTCCTAGTCACTCGATGGTTTTATATTTGCATTAAGTTCTGATGGTAGAATATTATATATATCTGAATCAGTTTCCAGTAGTTTAGGTTTATCAATGGTTGAAATGACAGGAAATTTCATATTTAATTATTTACATGAAGATGATAAAAAAGTTTTTGCTGATGCACTCGGTTTTGAACTTTTACCACCGTCGAGTCCAACGACAAGTTTAACTATGGATTTAATTAATTCAGCTAACAACGATACAGATCTTCTTGATCTACCACGTAAGTTTAGTAGAATAAAATTATTCAGTTTTATATTATTCATGGATAAAATACACAAAAAAAAAGTATCAATCGACATTCCATTTCTATCGGAAAGAATGTGAACTGCATTTAACATTGATCTGACATATCAATATGCTCTTTTGCACTTTATATAGTCATATAGTTTGTCAATAAAAAAAATTAGAAACTTCTACGTAGACCATAAACAACGAAACAGAGAATGGATAATAATTTTTGACCGATCAGATTTCAAAAAAAAAAAAAAGATTTTAAAATTATTTCGATACATAAGATCAAACATGGTAGACAATATTTAGTAGAATGATTGAAAATAGAAGAACAAGAATTCATTCCTCTGTTTCTAGCGGATCAATGTCCACGAATGCAAGCACCTATTGATAGTAGTCGTTTTAATAAGAAATCTTTATGTGTTCGAATGCGATCAAGTTTAACGAAACGAGCACCGAATATGAAAACGCCTGGTTATCGAGTAAGAAATTTTTTTGTTTTGTTCTTCTTTAAAAATTCCTTTTTTTTATTGGAAAATTTTTTTTTCTCATAGTCCATACAAATTATTGGTGAATATCGTTGGCTTCATCCAGATTATCGTAGACCATCGAATAATGGTGATTATGTATTAGGTTTTGTTGGTACAGCAATTATACCAAATCTAAGTCCATCACAAAATGAATTTCCTATCCCGGAACATCAAAATGTTATTCGACTCGATGAAAATTTACATATTACTCACATGGATGATAAGTTAGTATTATTTATGTTTTTTTTTGTGTGCGATTTTGCAAACTCTATTTATTTCATAAAATAGATTACAACGAACATTAAATTGGAATTTGACATATGCAACATCATCACTTTATCTTTACGTACATCCTGATGATTTATCTTCATTGTCAGCAGCTCATCGCGATTGTAAATAAACCAGAAATTTTGTTTTAAATACTTGATGTAAGAGAGTGTTTTCTTTTTTCTCTCCATAGTGCCATCCCGACAACAACTTGTACTAAATGTTGTTCGATTGCAAATGAATATGTTGATACCATCTTCTCAACATCAACGCAAAGCAAATGGAAACAATAATAATAATAGCCCTATTATTGAACAAAAATGGATTTGGTGTGACTTACTTGCTACAATGATGCAATCAAAAGCAAACGATGAAAATTTTGTTATACTTGTTGTCGAAATTATTGGGTATAGAAGAAAAATAAACAGAATATTTGATCATAGAAAAAAAATGCTAATATAAATTTTTTTTTGTTATAGAGTCGACGACGGACTTGTTGTACCAACTATCGATGAAGAACTAGAAAATGGTTTGCTTTTAAGTTCAAAAATTTACATTTTAATATGTTGTCATTATATTTTTAGAATATGCTACTCGAATATCTTATCGATCAGAAGTAAGTCCAGATGATGTTGTCGAATCATCATCACCTACAGTTCCAGCTCGAGTTTCTATCAAACAACAACGACAACAGTCTCCTTATACCAGTGAACAGCAATCACAACAAGGATGTTTCTATCCATCCCCGCCGCCACCACCACCACCACCACCACTACCTCCATCGCTACCCACTTCATCATTTCCTTCTTCTTCACCCCATCATCGTCATTTACCATCAACATCAACTCCAAGCTCAAGTCCGTCATCTCCGCATTCGCCCTTACCAACAAATCGACCATCAGTTATAATGACCAAAAGCATGCATCATCATCAACAACAACAACAACAACAACACTATCATCCATATCGTCATTATGATTGTAATACATTTGTACAGCAACAGTATCCTTTACCAACTGCAGCAACAAATGAACAATGGTATTATCCACCGACAAATACCGGTGGGGATAATATGCATCTATATCATCATCCACATCATCATTCGAGTTAAAAAAAAATCTACTTCTCTTAGCGACCGTCCTTATTTTTTTAAATTTCGTTTCGCATGCTCATATTGTGATTGATCGTTTTCTTTTTCTGTCGAGTTAATAACTGTTTCTTATATATAAAGATGAATATAACTATATATATATATATATGTGTCGATGTATTATTATTGAGTGGAACAGTAGAAAAGAACTAATATTAAGATTCGAGTTTTACAATTTTTTCCCTTTTTTTTGAATAAAAATTCTGCTGAACTCAAGTTAATATTAAATTTCTTTTATTATCTATTAAAAATTTATGCCTTCAATCTTGAAACACTTTACAAATCAAAAAATGAAAAAGGTTTATGAATAGAAAAAGAATTTTTTTTTTTGAATAACATAGAGATGTTTATCATAAGCCTTGGAATTCACTTTCATTTTGATATTAATTATGCATGTTTTTATGCCACTTTAGAATGATGTTATTTACATAACAAAACGTTATGAAGATATGACCTTTTTCCTTTTCGATAGCGTTCCAAGAATATTTAGTAGTGCATTATGAATAACCTATATAAACTTGTAGAAGAATTAGTTTCGTAAATGAAGATAGTTTTTAACAGCAACAATAGAAAAAGCATTATTCAGTTTAGTGCATATTCGCTATGATTCTACTTTGAGTGATTGCAAGCCGCACCAAAGCGAGCGATTGGTGGTTATGATTTATTCCATATGTTTAGTTGTACCACTTAACATTAATGCACCACTCTAATTTCAATTGTTAACTTTATTCTGTAACGATAAGATAACAGGAAGTTCTTGTACAGAATAGTAAATTAAACAAAGGTAAAAAATTCCAACGAAAATATTTCTCGAAATAGAAAAAACCTCACATTAGCACAATCTCTCTTTGGGTGATATCAGTTCTATTTTACATAATTCAAAAAAATGTTACCATGATAGCAAAAAAGAGCTATGATTAGGCATACAACCAAGAGATAACAGAAAATTTACAATAAAAAAATGCACGGAATGACTCATGCTTACAATAACAGGCAAGAATATTCACATGTAACAATCACTTTTGTGACAGTATGAACGTGAAATTTATCTTCCATTATTTTACCATTAAAGCAATCGTTTTGCTGTCAATGAATGGTATTTCAAACACACGAAATTGATACTCGATCTAAATATTGGTCGCTGAAAGCATTTGAATTTCAAAATTTAACTGTCAGATTAATAAGTTTATTTTCACGTATCAGTAGTTCTGATATTTGTATATTATTTGAGAATTTTTTGTAAATAAATCCCGAAGTAGTTTATACAGTTTGATTTAGATACCTTTTTTTTCAATTGTTATTTTCTGTTGGATGATATTTAATACTATTTCAATCGTGTTCCGATCAAGAGTATCAATTATTCATCAAAGGATTCTCACTTGGTTACACGATGGATTGGAGGATATGCCCCGTAGAGTCTACAATGGGCAGTTATCAAAAGCTACTATTCGAGGCTCCATTTCATCAATCACAATGGAATATAAATTTGTGTCGCTGCGGTCAACCAGGGAAATTTTCTTGTTAGTTAATGATCGATATCTATTAGTATTAAAAATATAAATAGGACATCTCCGGCAATTCAGAAATCTTGTCTCTCACACATTCGTCGCAGTGAGCAAAATATGATTGACAATGAGAAGGGAAGACTTTCATTACAGGAAACAAAAGAAGTAAATTATCTTAAATCTACGCTATTTCAATTAGATGTAGGCTAGAGATTATCTCACTTTGATTGCTCAGAGAAATAAAAATTAAGCATTTTTTCTTTTCGAGTTGTAAAGCTAAGTTTCTAATTTGTAAAAGATTTTCATTCTTGCACGACCGACACAATCTATTAAGTTTATTTCGAAGCAAAAAATACACCAGCTTGTTAAATTATTTCATAATAATTTAGTCGATAGATGACACCGGGTGTTGGGCGCACAACATTTTCTCTCCTTATCGTCTGTTCTCTTTCAACGCGGGTTCCCGATTAACAGCGAAACGGAAAAGAAGTCTCTCTTTCTCAACCGACTATATTTGCTTACAAAAATATTTAAAGATGTATTTGACAAAATACGCAGAAATTTTGATTTCTTTTGTAGATGAAGGTAATGACACAATTGGCTTTTCTCTAAACAAAGATCGTGTCTATAAGAAAAGCGAAAATGTCTGATAGTTTGTGTCTCATATTGACTGACTAACGACAGAAGTAAGTTAGGGCAACACAATTTGACGGATGAACACGAGTGTTTTTTTTCTTTTTTTTCCTCATTCACCCTTCGTTCAGCGCGACAGAAGGGTTAGTCACAAAAAAATATAGCATCAGCCGGCGCCAATACTTCCATGTATTCTTTTTTTCTTTTTTTTTCCTCGGCTAAAAGAGCGACGGAAATATGTTCGTGTGAAAGAGGAGAAAAAGGAAAAGTTTGCTTCTCTTTCCTCAAAACAAGTGACAATTGCAGTCACTGTTATATTCGAACCCATCAGCCGCATTCATTTGTCTTGTATCGATATCGAACTGATTTACGACAGAAATACATAAAAAATGACTACAAAGGATACATCATCGATTGAGGTACAACGTAATACGGCCAAAGAAAGATGCAAAGAGTGGCGAGTAAGAACGAATATATAGAGATATTGATTGATGCGATTCACATCGTTCAGTCGTGGCCTTTTTTTTTTATTCTTTATGTTACAAGTTTTTTTTTCATGTATTGACATAATATTCATTTAGAAAAATATGTCCGACCGTACATTTTCACTCGAAGATCCGCCTAATATTGAAGAATTGAATATGTAGGTTAATATGTTCTTTACTTTTTTTGCTTTGTTTGTTCAATTCATACTATTTAAAAGATCATCGGCAAGTCAAGCATCGCTTGAATGCCGTCTTGAACATATTCCATTGTACTCATGGATTGAATCGAATTTAACAACGCTCCGTATTAATCTTGCACGACGTGGTTTAAATGAACAAGATATTAACGATAAAGAGCAAACAGTAATTAATAATTTAAAGGTAAATATTCCATTTCTGCCAGAATCAATAAATAAATAAAATTTTTATTTTCATTAGACATGTTTACAAGAATTAAATGAAAGTGAAATCAAAGAAAATGAATTACTTCAAGCACGTATACGTGCTACGTCAGATGAGTGCATTCATTTAAATCGACTTCTTAAATTAGATTATAGCACAAAAGTAAGATAAGATTTTTGTTTTAAATAAATTTTTTAAAATGTGTTTTTGTTTTCTTCTACAGAAAATTGAAAATGAAGATTTAACATTAGTCGAACAATTGAAGCAAGCGAATGCGCTTCTCGATAAAATCAATCAAGTTTTGAGAAAAAAACTAGAAGAGATAAATCAATCAAGAATAAATGAAGAAAAATTATGTAATAAATTAGACGAAAAACCAATTGAATTTGATAATGAGGGTAAGCACAAGGTTCAGTGTATTTTGTTGTCAATGTTCTATTGAAAATATTATTTTCTAATAGATCAAATGCTTTACGACGAAAGACAAGAAATTCTTGAACAGCATATTCAAGATTTACAGACTTTACAGGTTAATTTAAAATATATTTGTCGCTTAATAGAAGATAAATAGATTTATATCTTCTATAGAACGATCGTTCGTCAGCTATTGAACAAGCGCGTAGACAAATTCATGAAATGAAAGTTGAACTTGCCCTTGATAATACATATAATCAACCAAGCGATGATAATCAAGTGCTCAATCTTATCGATGGGCCTGTACATCTAATTGAATTATCGAAAACAAATGTTCAACGTTTACTTACTATCACTAATGAGGTATATGTCACAATATGCATTTATTCATTCAACAATAATTTTTCGTTTGAATAGCTCGATAGTTTATATCAAGCAAATCGAATCAAGGCTGATCATCTTGTTAATACACTGCATGCGCTCTATGAACGATTAAATTTAACTGAGTCAGACAAATATATTAAACTACCACTTGATCATCCTCATCGACCAGCAAATCTTATTCTAGTATGTATATACGAAGCATAAACACAATGTTGTAAACATTATTTAAACAAAACCTGATAATAATCGATTTTCTCCCATCAGTTTATAACTCGTTTTTTTCGTCAGATCTTCATTTCTAGATTAGTTTTAAGCGTTTTATTGCTCTAAAAATCTTGTTTTTGATTTAATAATTAAACTATCGGTAATGAACTTTTACTCGTACTTCCAATCAGTTTCATTGAGAAAACATTCTTTTTAAAATAAGAAATGGGAATTTTTTCAAAAATTTGCTTTGTATTTTTAGTTAGAAAACGAAATCGACCGATGTAAAGAATTACGTCGACAAAACATGCGAACATATATTGAAAACATTCGAGATGAAATTTTTGCTCAATATGAAAAATGTTTCTATGGCCGTGAACAAATGGAAAGTTTTCCTCCATTATACTCCAGTATGTATACGCTAGTTTGACTTTAAAAGGATACAACAATACGTTGTTTATTTAGATGATTTTACTGAAGAATTACTAGATGAACATGAAAAAGAATTAGAAGATATCAATTTGTACTATGTGCATAATGAACAATTATTTGTCAATCTTGCTAATTGGCATGAAGCTTGGGCTGAATATCGAGAATTTCAAGTAAATTTTCCATTAAATTTTCATAAATAAAACTTCTTCCCGACTATATAGCGTCAAGCGAGCGATCCTGATCGATTTAAACGTCGAGGTTATTCAGCTGTACAAGAAGAAAAACAACGTAAACATTTAGAATTTTCATTGAAAAAACTTCAAGATACTGTTCAACAACTTGGCAAAGACTATGAACAAGAATTTGGACGTATGAAAACTTTTTCTATATGATCTGGCGAATTCGAATTTTTTGCTTTTCTAGATCTATTTCTCGTTGAAGGAGTTCCTGTTCAGGATTTTTTCAATAACGAAAAAGAAAATTATTCTCAAGAAAAAGAACTTGAAAAAGCACGAAAACAACTAGCCCGTGGTCAAACACCAACCATGTCGCATGCACAAGCAACTACGAAACGATTAGAAATGAGTGCAAAAACTCCAGGACGACAACAAACGAATCTTGGCAAAGAAGTAAATTATTTTATTCTCTTTCATTGAATTATTCTAATGTCATTTTTACTTAGGGTGAAATCAAAATATCAACACCATTTCGACCAGCTAGTGGTATTCATAAACGTTAATTTTTACCTATCGTGAATGATGACTATAATTTTGATTTCTTTTTAAATACGATCAACAGCTTGATCAAATTGTATCAATAATCATCTTATAAATTTCTTTTTATATTAATTAAAATTTATTGTAATGGGATAGCATCTTAGTTGTATATTTATTGAATTTTTAATCAAACATCGCTCTGTAAATTCTAATTGGCATAGTCAACATATCTTAAAAGAAAAATTCCTTCAAGAAACTAATGGCAATCGACGGAATAATGAATTGAAAAGATAAACAGACATCGTTGACCTTCGAATTTCGATGAACCTTGATCTTGAAGTCAAAAATTTGTAATTCTGTTTTGATGATTGCTGATTTGACATAAGAATAACTTTTGAATATTTATTAATTTCTGGACAATGCTATCTTGTAACTGTAGATGACAACATCATGAAAAAGGAAATTTCGCAAGTGACAAGAAATGCCATCATGATTATATACGAGAGAAAAATCCTTCATACTTGTCTGATTGTTTTTTCGAACAACTCCGACGAGGATTAGATAACCATTCGATCTGTGATGCAAATGTTTGTTTCAAGCCGCAGAAGATCTCAGATAAAATATGAATCTGTCCTGTGGTACGACGCTATAAACCATCTTTGTCTCATTCGATAGAAATATGTAGCCATAATGAAGAATGATAAATTCAGAAAAAAAGAATTTCCAAGAATGAAATAGTGAATAACAATATAAGAAATGTGATTCTAGCTACTGTTTTATGTTCAATTAGCAAATAAACAAAGATCGGCGGGAATAATGATGAGTTGTGTTTTTATTTTATTAGTAGAAGAACTAGAAAATTTCATTTTGTCTTCCGAGGATAAGTCTCTTCGTGTATCCATTGAGAAAGTGAATGGAGACCTGGATCGTTGTTATCAGCTACTGTCAAATCGACTTGATAATGAAGATTATTTTCATCGATTCGCATTATTGATCTAATAGCAGAGGTTCAGGCGAGTGAACGACGAAGAGTGTCCTTTTCTATTTTCGAATAGCTGACAACACGTCGCCAACAGGTCAATATCAACGATAAAGCATGATGTTTAAGATATTCCTAGTTTCAATAGTGTCATGAATTCAGGTCAGTGTAGCTTCACGGTGCATCTGAATCGATAAAAAAACTTGTAAACGAGTTAGAAACTGATTGATATGATATCACTAGAATTGTGTGGTTATAAAAAAAACAAATTTCCACGTTTTCGATTCACCTATATCAAATATCCGATAGCAATTCTGATAGAAATCAGATTTTGATCGTATTCTTATGTCTCTTGAAATAGTAGCAATAAAAATAAAGATTCCGTTATTTTTCTTGCCAAGCTTGATTTCTTATAAAATAGATACGCGTCTATCTTACTCACCTGTGACATATCATAAACACTTTAAAATCATCGATAAAATTGACATACTAATATATTCCCGTGAATAAATTGACCTTGTGAACCATGGTTTCTTTTTAATTTAAAAATTATATGCTTACAACCCTAGTTGTTATGTGGATGGAAACGGCTGCCGAGCAATAAATATCTGAATCATTTTAGATTAGAAAAGTCGTCATGGTCATAAGTTCATAAGTTCATATTATTGACCAATTAACAAAACAAAAATGACAGAAATTCGTATAATATATATGAAAGTTTTGCTTAGATGCTATTCTTTGCTGTCAATAATTATTATCATTTGAGTTTCGTTTTTTCATATTTTGCATTAGTGCTTCACTGCTCTATTTTATCTTTTTATTTTGATATGAAACCCAACGAATGAAAGCAAAAAGTTTATATAACAAGATCTCTTTATTCCCCTTTTAAGGTATCAAAAGAATTTTTTCTCTTGTTCTTTTGTTGTTGTAAGTCGATTTGTAAATACAAGCAGAACAGTACGCAGGGTTGATCGAATGTTCATGACAGTCTCTTATTTTATTGGCTATTTCTATTTAAGATTTCACCATCAAAATAAACCTACAAAAAAGTGCACATGGATGCTTCTTGTTCTTCTGCGTAAAACTTGCGGTTTTTTTTCAATAAAAAATCAATCACTTGTAATAGAGGAGAAAAAAAGTATTGTTCACAATACTGTTCTCAATGAAACTGTGATCATTAATTTGTTAAAAAAAAAACGAGACCTAATATCTATGACATTTTTTTCTTATGATTTCTTGATGGTGCTGCTTTTCTGATTTATACTCTGTTACAACATTAGTGATGTTCATTTTATTTTATTTCTTGAGATCAAATTACACTTGTATTTTCAACAATAGTGAACAATCTAATGAGCTTATTCCAAGTACTCCCTTATACTTAACTAGAAGCGAAATATAATAAACTGAGATAAGTAATAAATCATTTGCTTTGTGTTTATACAAATTAATAACTGAAGCATAGATCTTATGTATGTCACTAGGAGTTTAGCTCGATATTGTCGCTAGTAGCCAGTGCCAAAAATACATCATTGTGTCTCATATTTACAGTTAATCGAATCTTTGAATAATATTTGAGAAGAAGAAAAAAGTACTTTTTGTCGCCACCACCGTATTTGTTATATTATTCTTATGATTCAAACAGATCTAAAAAACAAGATATCTAAATGTCAATTAATAGTTACATATATTTCTATTGGTCGACATTTCAAAGGGTTCGTTTTCTTCTTCTTCCAAAAAAGAAAACAAAATGTGAATGTAAATAATCATAATCTTTCTCTTCAATCCTTTCTTATTACACATGTTCACATGTGAAGAAGCAAAAAAAAACTAATTTCAAATCAATTGACGGGTATCATTGAATATGAAAATAATATAATTCATAGTTAGAAATGGCCTTGTCTAACCATTCGTTCTTTCTCAGTTTGCATTTTCATATCCTTGAACAATCAACGAAAATGATTTTTCTTACCCTTCAGATTTTACGGCGTCATGGATCGCCTACGTAATTTAGACCCACGTCGACGTGTTGCCGATCAAAAAATGCATCAAACTACATCAGTAAGTGCTATTGTTTTGTATATCAATTAATATTAGTCATCTTGGTTTCTTTTTACATTTTAGACAATCACCGTTAATAACTCTCCTGGTGTAGTAGGATCAACATCGAATGGTAATCATGAACAACAGCCACCAACAGAGCCAAGACAAAAAGTTTCAAGTCTCGTATTTAAATTCGGAGGAGATCGAACCAAAAAAGTACCTACATATACATTTTCTCCTGGTAAGATCGATATTTAAATATATGTTTAATTTTATAACAAAAAAAAGAAATGTTTTTCAGCTGAACAAGCCACAATCGAACAAAATCAATTACATCGTGCTCCTTCATCACCTCAACCTCAACCTCAAATCTCACCGCAACTACGCAACTATGTAATTAAATATTAATTATTTTGATTGCATGTTTTTAATATACATATCTGTGTTTCTTTTTTTCTTTTAATAGATCGAACAACTGGAAACAAAGAACAGTGAATTAAATCAGAAATTAAATGAACAATATCACCAAATTGAACATTCAGAAAAAACAATTCATGATTTAACTCAATTCTGTAATGCATTACAAAATCAGTAAGAGTTTTTATACTTCAAAAAAAAAAGATCCTTGAAAAATCTAAAATGACATGTTTTTTATTAGATCAAATCAAGATACAAATAATCCTCTTCTTCAACTTGTTTTAAACTTTTGTGAAGTTACAGTAAGTTAAAATCACTTAAACAAAAACCAAACATCATTCATTCTCATATATACATTCTAGCCCAATCAACAACAAGATATTGTTTCTTTATTTGAATCAAAAATGATCCAATGTAGAAAAAGCGAACAACAAGTAATACTCAATATTATTTTCAAATAAGACTAATCTATATTTTTCTTCTATAGGTTAAATCATTAATGATGACATTAAAATCTAAAGAACAACGTATTACTGAATTAATAAATGAAGTTAACGAATTAGCTGCCAAAACAACTAACATACCAACACCATCATCGGCACCACGTTCAAATTCTTCAGTATCGACAACGCCGATAAGACGTGTTGATTCAGCTGACGAACGTAATTATAATAATCATAATAATAAATCATCGAATTTAAAATCTTTCTTTCTATAGTTGATTCGATTAATTTACGTCGAGAACTATTCCGTACACGAAATCGTCTTAAAGAAGCTCAACGTGAAATTTCCTCACAAAATAGTCTAACAAAACATTTATCAGTAAATAATCTTCTGTCATCGGATGCATTAATTACAGACCTACGCAAAGATATTAGTGAAATGGGTTGGGAAGTAAAAAATTTACAAAAAACAAAAGAAACTCTGAAACACGATGTGGAAAAATTAGAAAAAGAAATTCTAACACTTGAATCACAAAAATCTTCGGTATTAGATTTAACAAAAACAAAAAATTTTTGTTTCATTGAAATTATATCTGTCTAGGTTGAAGATGCTAATTCACTTATTACACGTGAAAATAAAGAGTTACGCGCAACGATTGAAGAATTAAATGATCAAAATCGTATTGTTTTACAAAATTATCAAAATCATGTTAAAAATGTAACGAAAATTTCCATATGCAAAAATAATACTTCTTTTTTTTTAATCTTATTTAAATCATTATTATTTTAGTATGCAATACACGAAGGATTAATGACGAAATTATACGATACAATGGCTCAATTGGAGAAAGAAAATAGTCAATTGAAAGAAAAGGTAAAATCTAAATTACATTCGCTAGAAAGCAATATAAAGTTATGTAGATTATGTAGATTACTTTATTGCGTCATTTTAAGTATCATCAGCATCAATGTAGGTTCAAAGAGCAGCATGTTGGGTATTAATTTGACAGAAAAACCGAATTTTTTTCCTACCGTATTTAAAACCCCATACTGACATGCATGTATGCAGTGCACGAATGCTTTTCATCAAATAATTGTGTACAGCAACAACAAAAAGGAACACTCATTTTTATTATTTGATTTTTTTTAGTGTGTTTATCTTGAAGAAAAACTTGAATTAAAACAAATTTCGTTAGTCGATAAAAATGAGTTGGAAAAATTAAATTCAACGAATCGTGTGTTAACTTTACAATATGATTATGAACTTGCTAAACGTGAACATTGTGAAAGACAATTATCACGTTTACAAGATAATATTAAACAATTACAATCAGAATTATCTTACATGGATGAAAAAGTTAAACGTGCTGACGAACAAATGAAATTAGCAGATCGTTTAAATCGTGATAATAAAGATGAATGTGAAGTTTTACAACTACGAATTATGGATCTAGAAAAACGTTTAAATCTAACGGAAAAAGATAAGGATATTGTCGAACAAGAGTTATTAATTGTTAAACAAAAAATGGAAGCAACTACATATCGTATCCAACGTTATAATGAAGCATTAATTAATGCTGACAATGATCTTGAATTGTCCGATACAAGGTAAATTGTTTTTTGGAAAAGAAAAACGAATTCATTGTAGAGTTTTTTTTTAGCTATAGCGAAGATGTTGGAAGTATTAATGGTACTGAAACAGTATCATTAAAAAGTCGTAATTCACAGGCAACACGATCACAAAGCGAAGTTTAAATTATTGAAATGAAATCAAAACAAAATACAATTTTTTTTTCTTCTTTTTTTCGTAAATAATCAGCATGTAGATAGAGTACATTTGTATGTTACAAAAATTCTTTTTGTTCGTTTTTCCTTTTGTATGTATACTAGCTAATTCAATGGGCTGTTTATTGTAATGCATGAGCTATGAAGAAAATTTTCTTTTCTTTTTATAACGTAGTTAAACAGTGTCTTGTTCTTCACTATAAGAAAAAAAACAAATAATCACATTCCATACTTATTGTAAACAAAAAACTGAACAAATATCACACATCCTAGCGTCAAAAACGTTGATTATTGCTCAAGGATGATGATTATTTCTGTTCTTTTCCATTCGAAGTTTATTTCTGAGAAAGAAAGAAAATTCTCATTTATGTTGTGAAACTTTCTCAGCACAATCGATACCTGTTCTATTTTCATTTAATCAAATCGTATTTGCTTCTTCTTGGTTCTGTTCTTTTGATTAACTGACTGACTATTTACCTTGTTATTGCTCCTTTTGCTCTATTTGTATAGTTCTCTAGTAAACTTCTATATATATATATATATATATATATATTCATTCAAAATACAAATAAAATAAATAATTCAATAGAAATAAATATTGTTCAATTTGTTTTTTATCAGATATTCATCATTCTTCTAGATGATTATAGAAGGAAAAATGTATAAGTTAGTTTTTTTGTTTTCGTCATAAAATTGAACAGTTCAAAAGCACCAAGATATTTTTGCGTGTAAGAGAATTGATTCTTAAAAGATCAGAACCCGTTCACGATGAAATGCGAATCAAGTTGCTTTCAAATAAAAATCAACAATATTTCTGATCGATGTAAAACAACGTTTACCCTTGATTCTATCTTTGAGTATGCAAAAGTAAATTTAAGAAAATCTTTTATCACTGTTTGAACTAAACATATGGTAATCAAATGTATAATTAAATAGACAATAGAATATTGCGTAGTTTCGCGTATACTACTTGACAAAATATAAGTGACGTTCGTTTTCTATCAGTTATGTCTATTTTCTATTTAGATAAAATGATTAGTCGGTTTCTCTTCAAATCGACTATATCGATTTGTCGCTCATGCCAACAGCGACTGACTAGTTCTCTTATTGTTTTGCACCAACAACAGCAACGCAGAAACATAGCTACTCTTTTTTCTAAATCATCCGCCCAAAGACCATTCTATTCTCTACGTTTTCTTTCGAAATCTACTAAAAGTAATAAAAAATATCAAGTATGTCATTGAATTATTCTATAAAATAATAATTAGACGAACACTGCTGTCTGTTTTTAGCCAATATCTTATGGCCCAAAGAGTAAAAGACCTATTATAGAAATCTATCATAAAATGACTGTAAAAGCGCTTGCTCAAGCAATGGATATTAATGTTGGTAGGTTCTTTTGTTTTTTTTCCAAATCTAATATCAGCGAAAACTATCTTTTATTTTTATTTTTTAAAATGCAGATCATGTTTATGATTGTCTTATTCATATAAAAAACGGCGATCAATATTCATCTGATAGTCAAGGTTTGTAATGTAGAAGGACTATGAAAGATCTTGACAAAAATAAATATGTTTAGAAATCGATGATTTTAATGTTATTGTGGAAGTCATACATTTATGCGGTGGGAAACATAGACTTATACCATCACCTTTTGCAAACGATAAAAAGAAACCAGTAGCAAATATAGCGAAATTCGTTCGCACGTATGTTAAACTTTCGACATAAATGAAAACAGTACATCAGTAAAATATATTTGTTTTGCTACTTTTTTTTCGTCTAGACCTATGCCTCCAAAAGAAAAATTAAAACTCCGTCCACCTGTTGTTACTATCATGGGTCATGTTGATCATGGAAAAACTAGTTTGTTAGATGCATTAAGAAATAGTAATATTGTATCCAGTGAATTCGGAGGAATTACACAGCACATCGGTGCTTTTATTGGTAAGTTGTCTTTTTTGATTACCTAATCATCTATTTCTAATCTACATGAATGATGTGTTCACTGTTATGCTAGTACCCGTATCGAAATCATCGACTGTAACATTTATTGATACACCTGGTCATTTAGCGTTTGCTGAAATGCGAGCTCGTGGTGCTCAAGTAACAGATATAGTTGTGCTTGTTGTTGCTGCTGATGATGGTGTTATGCCTCAAACAGTAGAAAGTATTGCACATGCTAACCGAGCAAAAGGTGAGTTTTATATTGGTAATATAAATGAAAATTTTACAATCGTGCTCTTTGAATTTTATAGTTCCTATTGTTGTTGCTATCAATAAAATTGATAAAGCAGATGCAAATGTCGTAAGATAGCGAGAGAAAAAAAACTGATTTATTTAATATTCTAATTTTATACATAACCATAGAAACATACGGAAACCATGCTTGCTGAACAGGGTCTTCAACTTGAATCTATTGGTGGTGATGTTGTGGGTGTACCTATTTCAGCTTTAAAAGTAGGAGAAAAACTTTTCTTTGTTGAAGAATTTTACCATTGACTTTCTCGTTTATTCAAGAATATCAACATAGATAAATTACTCGAATCAATATTAGCAGTGGCAGAATTACAACAATTACGTGGCGATTCAAGTGGTCCTGTTGAAGGCACAGTAATCGAATCGAAACATGAAGAAACAGTATCCGGCACTGACGAATTCGATACCAATCAAAAAAAGGGGTGAGCCTTAGAGGGTAAGCTATTATAAGTCGACATATCTATCTATGTTTTGTTTTTGTTTTATTCTACAGTAATCTTGCTACTATTCTTGTTCAACGTGGTGAATTAAAAAAAGGAACTATTTTACTTGCTGGTCAAAGTGTTGCACGAGTAAAAAAAATTTTTTTCCAGGAAACAAATAAAACTATTCAATGCTTAAATTTAATCGTCTATCAATTTAGGTTCGAGCTTTATACAATGAACGAGGCATTCAAATTGAACGAGCAACATTGAGTATGCCTGTACAAGTATCCGGATGGAAAACATTGCCAGCTGCTGGTGACGAAGTATTTGAAGTTGAGAGTGAAGTAATATTGAGAAGCTTTATACTGAGTGGCAGAAATTATATTTTTTGAAATTTAAATAGAATTTAGCTAATCGTATTGCTGCTCAGCGTAGAGCTGAGGAGGTTGCTCAAAAAATGGAAGTCGATGCAGTTGCTGTTACACAAAAACATGAAGATCATTTACAAAAATATCGGTTTGTATATAATAAAATAAGAAAAAGAAAATTAATTCCTAAAAGAAAATCTTTGTTCCTAGAGCGGAACTTAAACGTCGTCGAGAGTTAGGCATTGTATTTCGAAAACGTGATAAAGGTTCTGGTCAACATATTGAAGATAAAGAAGAAAAACTAAAATATTCTATTCTAATTAAAAGTAATTTAACAGTTGAAAATAATTGAAAATTAAATGTCATTCTTTTATCGTAGCCGATGTTTTTGGAAGTTTGGAAGCATTAACAAATATTGTTAATATGTACAATGATACTCGATGTCCACTTGATGTAGTTGATGCATCAGTGGGCGCAGTTAATGATGATGATTTAGAAGCAGCTAAGCTATTTAATGGTTTGTTTAACAAAAACAAAAAAATAGTCTAATCTTCGTTGGAATTTTATTTTAATTTCTAGCAACAATTTATGCATTTAACACCAATGTAAGTCAATCAGTAGCACTTGAAGCAGGTCGACAACAAGTACCTATTCGAACATTTAATGTTATTTATCATATGTTAAATGATATAAAAGGTGAACTAACCAAACGTATACCATCGACAGAAGAAGATGTTCCAACAGGTTCAGCCGATGTTTTGCAAGTATTTGAAATAACCGATCGTAATAAAAAAGTACCTGTAGCTGGTTGTCGTGTTACGGATGGTGCATTTGAGAAAAAACAATTATTTAAATTAGTTCGTAATGGTCAAGTTATTCATAGAGGTAAATTAGAAATTTATTTCAGTAAAGAACAATAATCTTTTTTTCCTCTGTTGTTTCTTTTAAAGATACGCTATCATCTTTGAAACATATACGTGATGATGTACAATCGATAAAGAAAGGTAGCGAGTGTGGCCTATCATTTACAAATCATGATGTCAAATTTCAAAAAGGTGATCAAATTGTTTGTTATAGTATTAGACAAGTTGCGCACGAAGCAAAATGGGATTATGGATTTTAGGGAATTTTGTGTTTCTTTTTTTTCGTTAAAATAAGAAAGAGTGTCTATTAATATTTTAAATTTATGCATCGTATTTAATGGTCTAGTAGTTGATTGGTTATGACAAGGGCGTAATTAGTCGATAAAGAATAATTAAACAAGTGAGGCGAAACAGACTATAGAATGTTGTTTTTATTTTACACTAAATTACACATATGATTTGAATTGAGCACGTCAAATTGTTAATTGATGGGACGTGCAAATGTATAAATTCATTCTACTTGAATTGGAATGAAAATATCATTTTGTGATGTTTAATAAATGTTCTGCGAATTAATAACGTCTACTATTTAAACGAATGGTGCGAAAAACATCGAGTGCAAGTGTACGAAGAATTAATCTTATCGAACAACTTATCCGATAGTTCAATAATGAATTGGTTGCTTAGAAAATTTCGTTTCTTACAGTAAAATATCGTTTCTTTAAAAATCTTATTTTTTTTTTGATGTCATAAAAGTGACCTTTCATATTTCTTTCATTAATGAGTGTAAACTATTCCTACAGATTACTTTTGTAAAAGGATTAACTAAACAATCAACTCAACATGATGTATAATCTTATCTGATGTATGAAGAAAAACTAACTGGATGATATTTCAAAATAATTGAAACTACAGCGATAAAACATTTAAGTTTACTAATACATTTTTGGTTTTGTAATTCTATATCTATGGTAATAATGGTTGGATCGTATTGTTTTTTTCCGTCAATAAAGATTGTTGCTGTTTGTTCGTATGGATAATGACGTTTACATTGAGTACTACTAGTAGTTTTGATTGTGAAATGAAGCCTATGATAATTCTAAACATTTGATAAGTGAAAAAATAGACAGAATGCATTAAACGATTGTTCTATTAATATATTTTTCACTCGAGTTAGAGATTCTATCATTAAATGCATAATACGATTTAGTTAAATATAATTCAGATGTTATTGATCGCTGTTAGTATCATTGAAAAAGAAATACCTTCAAATTCGTATGAAATCGTCTAAAAAAAGAATGCTCCACACGATAGCTTACTAGTAGTTATGCCTGTGACTTGTCATACTACATTATCAACAATTAGTTAGAACATATTCCATTAGTAGAAATGGTATCGAAACACTGATTTTTTGTTTGGGAATACGTACATGTAATCCTCAAATAAAATCAGTCAAGTCGTTAAAAGAATCCGATCAGAGATATATTCTAATTTTTTCACGTCTTCAGTTGCTTATTCGATTCAAGATTTTCTAGGACAATAAAATTTTCATGAAGTAAAACTGCATAAAAAAATGAAACAAAAGATGCAATCATCAATTATGCGTGGCGATAGAAATAAAAGACACACTTTGTATAACATATTAAATTATTATGAAGTAATGCATGTAATTCAGAATAGAGAAATTCGTTTTTGTTCTCTTGTTTATTTATTCATTGATCACTTCAAACAACTTTATGATGACGCCGACTGATGGCAGCAGCTGATTGGCCATCTTGTTCTTCGGTAGTATTAGGTTGATCAGCAACATTCGTAGGTTCATAATTTAAATGAACAAAAGCCCGCTCAACATCTGGCAATGCTTCTATTTTTTGTTCAAGGCCAATACCAACATTAACTGCTTCACAAAGACGTAGGTCATCAGGAAGAAGAACATCGATTTCGACAAGAAAATGCGTACCAAAATGATATGCTCGTACTGTATCTATTTTACGCACCAGTGACGAATGATGAAATGCTATCCAAGTTAATTGTTGAAGAAATTGATATGGAGCTGTATAACCAGTTAGATTACGAATATGAACTAGCAGTATACATAGATTATGTTAGCATAAAACTGATGCAGTTACTTACGACGAACTTGAGGAATCCAGCAAACAATGATGTATAAACTGATTACTATAGCGCCTAAAAAATTGGACAGTTCAAAATATAAAACAAAACACATATTTTATTTTTTACTTACCAACAGGATCAATAACCGATAATTCTCTTGGTTTGATTTCACCGTCTATTGCTTTGGAACCTAATTAAATGAATAACTTTAATAAGTCGTGCTTGCAAAAAATTGATTTCTTATAAATTAACTCAATATAAATAAAATTCTTCATTCTATTTAATTTATATTCCTTCTTACCAATGATTCCAAATACCAATGCAACAACAGTTGCAACTACATCATTTCGATGATCCGCAGCCAGTGCTGACATTGTAGGTGTTGAAATTTGGTAGCACAATACAGACAATATAATTTTAATGACTTGTGTACAAGAAAACACAATATTGATTTTAATCCGTTTATGTATAATAGAAAAATACGAATGTCAGAAGAACTTACCAATTGTTACACACATTATTGCAATTGCTGCAGGATTAATATCAACCGGCGGTTTTTCATATGCATAACCACTAACATTTCGAAAGTAGCTTACATCCTCGATAACTGAACGAACGCCTTCAAAAATAACTTGAAAACTAGCAGCACACATAACAATACTTAGTATAATAATGATGATAGGTTCAAGACGAGTTCGTCCTTATGAAAGGAGAAATAAAAGCATTGTATTATAAAATTCAATTTATGAACTGTCTATTCGAACCTTGAGGATAAAGCTGTGGATTTCGTTTTCTTATAGCTCTGGCCGCCCACCAAATAGCAAAATTCAACATTAAATCAATGGTACTATCGATCGCCGATGATGCAATTGATAATGACTTTGAAATGATAGCAGAAAATATTTTTCCTATTACAAGAAACTATGACAATATACTATGAGAACAATGACAGAATAAAAATGAAAATTTCTCTTACAATGTTGGAAAATAGCGTTGTTTTAATAAGTATAAGCGTCCATCGTTTATGTCGTTCAGCACGTGCATCGTGTGATGTACCACCAGTTTCATGTCGTTCCTGTATATTTGAATAGTGATCTATGATTTCATCTTGTCTTGCATAAAATTTTCTTTGAAATATGAAAAATAATATAAAATCAAACAGCGAAATTCAACAGTGAATGAAATTCTTACCTAACTGGACGTGACAATGCTTTATCTGCAACATGCTGACCATGTCTGTAGGATATCATTTGTTCCAATGAAAATCGACTATTACTTTCTAGATAAAACACAAGTAAAGTAAAGAATTTAAGATATATGAAAATTCTACAATTCGTACCCTTCGTATTACTAGCTGTTTCTTCTGATATTTGATTTTGTTCAGGAATTGGGATGCTAACATTAGTAGAACCATCATACAGGGCAATTCCCGGTGGTAGAGTTGTTATTATTGATGAGACACGACGATTTCTACTGTATGATGGTAGAATGAAATCATAGCGAGGCGTTGTTGATAGTATATTGACATCGATTGTATGACGACGTGCCGGTCTTTCTGGTGTATTTGGTGTACTTGGTGCTTGTGGGTTGTCCATTGGTGTAAGTTATCGATATTTTCGTTAACGCTTTCTCCATCCACTCAATCACCTAGTGATTCAATACAAACGGCAAAATAGTTTTCTTTGTTTTATCAGATTCAATTTACAAGATAGCATACTTTTAACCTTTTATAACAGACATTTTCAGTTCCAACTGAATAGAAAAGTAAATAACAGAAACAGTGACTTGGCCTTCAATTTGATCTTGAGATTGTTTGCACGCATTATTATCAGAAATTTGATAAGATCACACTTTTCAGAAAAGAAACAAAAAGTGCTTTTAAAAGTCAACGATCAACTTTCGATTTTGTATTATCAACAATCAATACAGAAGGAATCTGAAACCTTTATACGGATCCCATGAGACAAATAGAATACGATGGTAATTTCGTTTTTCTCTTTGTCCTTTATCGAAAATATCCAATAATTTCTAGTAATCTTGTTCAAATGATTGTTTTTTTTATCTTCTTGACTTTTTTTTTGTAAATACATTTGCTATATCTCTTGAAATGGATGCATAGAAAATATCTAATTCCGTATATTACTTATGTACCTTATGGTTATTTAGTCTAAATCCTATAGTCCAGATGCAATGGTGGTTACTTTTTTTGCCATTTTACAAGTTCAACCAGAAATAGGGAGGAACGAACATTTAAATTTTGATTGTTTTCGTAACAGAGTTTCGTGATCATCTGGTTTTTAATGATATTTTTGAATAGGACTTCTATTCTTCTATGACTCATTGCCACTTGATAATCACACAGAACTAAAACGAAGACATGAATAGTGACGATGTTTTATCAAATAATTGACCATCAACATAAGCTCTTTAGAAGATAGACCCTTGCGTATGAGCCACTTGAATTTGGTTAAATGTTTTAAAGATAACTAGAAAGTAGATCTAGGTAGAAAGACTCATTGTATTGTATTCGTTGTAGTCGGGTTGTTTGCATTTACTTTTTGTAAATGTTGTGTCCTTAATTCGATTGTATGTTATAGAGGTGTTGTTCGTTGATTTTAAATAACTGATATAGTTTTTGGTGTTTTAAATTTTATTAGCGAAATATATTGCGTGTAGGATGTGAGATACGTATGAGTGTGGGTAATGGTAGTAAATACCTGTTATCAACACGCACATATCAGCAACTCTGTCCCAAATTCATTCACACCGACAAATTAGTTGCCGAGCAACCGAACCAAAATATTTTACTTAGTGGGCGAATAGTCCTCCTTCCAATAGAATAGCAATGAAAGCATCTTCTGGGATTATAAATCCTTCTGAAGTATAGTTTATAATTCAATTACGTTCAGGATAAAAAAATATAACGTTAAAATAAATATAACAAGAAAACAGCAACTACTGAAAAATTAGAAAAAACAATTTTGCTGTTCAAACCCAGGAGAATGTTTCCCATAGTGGGATTCTATCGGATTCGTGTCGGAATCTTATTAGATATAATATGAATTTTACTAAACCGACGAAATCCTATCGTATCCGAATGTAGGACCTACAATTGGAACCCTAGTGTTGGAATCCGATAGGTTCCAGTGTCGGAATTTAACGGAATCCAACATAAACATTAGATCCATGTGTTCTGTTAGCATCATATGCTTATTCATTGGTAATTAAGAAAACGTTTTTTTCTGTCGGATCCGTTAATAGGTCCGTGACCAGAAATCTGATCGGATCTTGTCGGCTTGTTGGATCCCATGAAATCCGATGGGATTCACTGTCGGATTCATTCACCTGGGAATTGATGTTTAATAATTAAATCAGAGTTATCATAATTCAAGTATCGCTAAAACAAGAAACAAAGGCATATTTTATTATGCAGCTTTCCTTGAATTGGATGAAAAATATAATATTGTATCAAAATCTTTCTGACGACAATTTCTGAATGCGAGCACCTAACGTTCGTACTTGTAAGTTCATCACGCATGTTTTATCATAGATCATTTATTAGTCACGACTTATTCGCATCTTTTTGTCACTAAAAAAAGCTTGCTTTAGAAAATTTTTAAAGTAAGGTACTCTCATCGTTTTTCTGCATAAAATCGCATTACATTTTTCAATAATTCATGCTTCATCTCACCAGATGTTATTTAATTTTTAAAATTTAAGCATGTGTTTTATCTTTTTATTCATATGTTTTTGGCATTTGGTTTGGAAATCATGTTTAGTTTCTGTTTCTTTTTGTTAATTAAATCATTAATCATATATGGAATAGAAATTGAAAGGATGGATATAGTACAATCATATTATTAAATAGCTCTATGTTAACATCATTTCAAAGTGTCACAAAGTTACATGACTTAATATAAATTTGCTTTTTTTCATTAATTGTAGAAATATTGCAAAATCTGGTTGAAAAGAACATTGAAATTAGTATATTAGAGAGTGATAAGGATAAGCATGTTTTACACCTGGAGCACAAGTTGTTTATTTTTCATTATGATAGCTTTTGTTTCAAAATGGTCCTTGTCTTATGTTCTGCAAAGTCGGATACAGATAATCTAATAATTAATAAATAGATTTCTCAGTTAGCATATAACCTGTTATCTACTCGATAATGGATACAGATTATTGACCTTACGAGGGAACGTCTCCAAGTGATACCAATCATTCGGGTTCATATTGTGCTCATAATTAGGACCTAATGAGACTAGAAAAAGCCTAAAAGATTTCATGGCATTAGGCCTTTCTTTCAAAGTTATAACCATTTTACTGAATTTTCGACCTTGCACAAGGAGTTTATAGAAAAGCTGAATGAAGGAATTTCGAACTGAAATTTTTCCTAACAATAGGTCTCTTCGATATTAGAAGGTTCCAAAGGTTTCAGTGAAAGCGGATGCATCATTCTCGAGATATTGAATGTTGAAGAGAAGTCAATTTTACGATATTTTTTTGGAAAATGGCCGTTTTCATCAATATGCAATATCTCGAAAATGATGCATTCGTTTTCACTGAAACTTTTGGAACCTTCTAATATCGATGAGAGCTATTGCTAGAAAAAATTTCAGTTCAAAATTCCTTGTCCAAGGTCGAAAATTCAGTAAAACGGTCATAACTTTGGAAGAAAGGCCTAATGGCACGAAATCTTTTAGGCTTTTTCTAGTCTCACTGGGTCCTACTTATGAGCACAGCATGAACCCGAATCATTGGTATTACTTGGAGATATTCCCTCGTTAGTCTTCTAGATGACTTTGGATTATCTCTTCACTCTACGCAGACCTATAGGATTCTATTAAGTGAGAAGGTTTTCTCCAATAAACTTTCATCTTTCTTGCAGTTTCCGAAGGCTGATTTCTGTTCTTTTTTAAAGATTTTATTGCATTAAAAAGATACATAGAATCGATATGAACTATCTCGATCGCTTTGTCATCTTGAAATGGGAAACGTTCAAAAAACAAAACCCTGTTTAGAACTATGAAAATACAATATGAATCCTAATCACGACTTACCTAACTATATAACTTGCGTCAATAGGTGTTGTGCATTAAATTGTTGCCACTTCTAATAGTTCGCGATTTTATTGAAATTCAAAAAATAATCTTGGCGTTCGATACGGTATTAGTGAGACACTTTTTTTAAATAGAATAAGTTTGTCGAGTTTGAAGTGCTTGTCAATTCTCTACAAACTATTGCTTAATCTGAAGTTGTGCCATCTTGGTTTTTTCTTAAGTAACATTAATATCTACATATTCTTTCAGAAACGTCTTATTACTGTTCGAACATGACAGGTTTTTTATATTTTCTTTCACAAGACATTTAACTGTGACAGGTAAGAAATAACGAACAATTCGACGAGTTGGTGCCTTATACAACCTTGATAGTACTCGTTCAGGGTCACCGTGACCATTAACATCTATAAAGAGCTAATCTTGTGTTTTTCGATAGTTGATATAATGGCAACTATATATCATAGAAATCATTAAATTCATAATCACGAACTGTTCGAGTTACTTGAAGAGCTTTTCTTTGAGCATCGGCAATGTTATTTTCTAGAAAAAGAAATGTCCTACTAATTATTTAACAAAAATCAAAGCATGATCATCAACCTTTCCCTGTTTCTTCAAACTTATTATTACAATCAAAGATAACTCGTATAGTTAGTTAGTTAGTATATGCAACACCAGGATAATTTATGTGATATCATAGCTATATTGATTGCTTATAAATGAACTTCTTTTGGGAATTTTTTCTGACATGAGTGTATAATGACAAAAATATTTTCTTTTACGCTAAATCATACTTATAAGTAATTGAAAAGAAGTCCTAGTTTTTTTCAGAAGCTACCGAACTAATCGTATTATGATCTCTTGAGATTTTTCAACAAGCTATTCTAAACATTTTGAGACAACTGCGTCTATTAGTACATGAATATCGGTGTGTGAATGCGGATTCGTACTGCACTGGAACATAACTTGTCTTAGGTAAATTTTAGTATGAAATTTTATCATTTCATTCTGTGAGCTTGCTTTCTTTATTTTTTTTAGATTTACACTATATGAATAGATGTAATACTCCGCAATCATGCTATACTTACATTATAACTACTAATGCTTTTCTGTCTAGCCAGTAAGAGAAGTTAAATCGACTATATCTTGTCATAAAATGTTTTAATCCGACTGTAATTATTATTGCCGTTGTATTGGAGTGTCATCATGAAATATTTGAATATCCTCTAAGTTAAGAGCTGTCTTAATGTGTTTCTTACTAAATGGAACGATCATCTTTAATCTTTAAAATAAATTGAAATTTTTGACTTCAAATGTTAGATTAGCGTTTGATAATATGAGCATTCTAATTTCTTTCGATGATGATGAAAAAATAATACATCAATACAGATAGAACTAATGAAAAGAAACTTACTACTGATATATAAAGCAACGTTAATTAGATAAACATCAGTAAAATGCGAAATATAATTAAGGGTCGGAAACTTTAGTCTTCACTTGATCAAGAAACTTAAGGAATAATAGAGGATCTCTCAAAAACTTAAAATTTTATATTGCTAAAAAACGAAATGTGAGTACAACTAATGAGGACCTATTATTCGAATGTTATTACGCGTATAGAAAGCAATATTATGAGTAGAGTCGAAATCAATTTGAACAGCTGATTCTGACCTACGAATAAATGCTAACTGTTTAAATCAATGCAGTTTAAATCACAAAATAGTATACAAGCTCTGAAGTAAGCTCATCTGTATTTTCCTAAGTGAATAAAATCCAAATTTTTCAACAAATGATTCTGATAGAAACTATCTCTATACTATAGCAGCATTCTACTTAATCCCCTCATTCTAAAACGACAGTTAGCTATACGAGAGAGAATATATACTTGGTTTTTCCACTTTCTGTTTCTGTTTATTGTATAACAGAATGGCTATTTCTAAGTTTAAACATATACCAAATATCTGGGCTGTGCAACATATTGAGTATCACAGGCAAGTTTGGTTTTATATTTAGTATGACTTATGGTTATCCTTAAAGAAATAGCAGACAATTAAAGATCTAGCTGATGGGAAAACTTCAGAAAGATAAAAATTCATGTAGCAACGATATTGTGATATTCTAATTGAATTTCAAAATAAATAAAAATCTATAAATTTCAGATTCACCAGGAATTGATGTTTAAAATAGATTATATTTACTTAGAAGATATTTGATCCTTGCAACGAAGCCTACCTGCAATCAAAGATGTATGTCAAATACAGTTGCGTTTCGAATGGCGCAACGTAAATTTGAGCCGGCTGTGAAAATTTGCATATAGATTTTCCAAAGTAAGCAAACATTTGCATTAATGTTAAGTAGGCATTGCCAGATATTAAATCTTCAAATTTTCCTATCGAAGTTATTTACGATAATTGGACAATAGTAAAAATGTCTTGCATGTATCAAAGTCAGGAAGATAAAAGTTTTAAGTAATATTCCTCTTCACGTATCGACTATAATATTGGGTATCTTTGCTTTGTAGTGATACTATACAGATTGTATCTATATGATTTACTCCAAAAACTGGAAATTTCACCGCCAAATATATCTATTCTAAAATAATTGCATAAGGATCCCGCATTGATTTCATCAAGATTAATATTTCGACTAGTTCATTTTCGCTTACTAATTGTCCTGTATAATGTACGTATTAAACAGTTTGGTTTTTCGTCAAACAGTTTGCAAATTTTAGTTAACTAGTACACATAATTTTGAAGAGAATTGACTGATAAAATTCAAGTTTAATAAAAGACAGGCTTCTCTCATACCCAGGTCGAACAGTCCGGCCTGGAAACAGTCGGTTCCAGATAGTTCCGTTGATTTTGTGAAAGCGTATTCCGGTTGGAAAATTTTCGGATTTTTCTCCAGTGATTTCCGATCAATCCCTGCCGAAAAGCACCGGAACTTGGCAAGAATCCGCCGGAAAAGTTTGACCTTATTTTTGATCGGAATACTGCTTCTATGTTCCAGCGATTTTCCGTGTTTTTCTGCAGGATATGGTGACTTTTCCGCATATTTCCTGGAGTATCCAACGGGATCCAGTGGCCCGAATGTTCGACCTGAGCAGAATTGCTTTTTGTTTTTGTTAGTCTCGAAGACGGATATTTTTATATTAGCATGGAATCGACATATATATATATATATATAAATCTCCTGTTGTCAGGGACAATTGGAACGAATTGAAAACTAAAGCATGTTGATCCATATGTATTTTTTGTACTTCTATAAAACAAATTTTATCTTTTACAGTTCTGAACTAAGATATTCTACTTTCTAAATGATGAATCGTATTATTGAACCTCCACAACTATCTCCGAAGTAACAATATAAATTAATGAATGAAAATAACATGAATTGATATGGGGTTTTATTTCAGAATCGCTGACTGTGTGCGACATCTATGATAACACAGGGTTCATTTAGAAACTGTTTTCTACTGAAAATATTTGATAACTTTTATTGAATTAAAATGAAACACTGTTTATATCGATATTTTTTCGCGAAATCGATTATTTTCCCAACAGATCGTTGCATTGGAGAAGTCTTAAGGTCTTTTCGATCTCAAGATGGCTGCCTGTATGAGGTAGAAAAAATAAGACGACAAGTCCATTTTTTCTATACACAACGATTGTTTTTTGTCAATATTCCTTTACATTTCTTCTAGAGTGTTTTAAAATTCACAACAAAATATATCATTATCAATGCTTCGAGTAACTCGTTTGCCACATTCACAGACAGGAGCATTGAATTTATTGATCAATAAGCGATGGCAAAAAATAACTGCTACATCTGATACAGGTACAACTGCTGCTACTAAAACAACTACCGATGCACCTAAAACTCAATACACGACTACTAATACATCAGCAACAATAAAACCGCCAGCCACTTCAACCAAATCTTCATTAAATGTACCGATCGATCGAACGACTACTTCAAATAAAGCATCATCATCATCTATTCCTCATAATACATCAAAAGGAGGACCACTACCAACATTTTCAGCACCATCTAGTCGTAAAACTGGGGGTGGTGGTGGGCGTACAACGGTAAAAGCACTTATTTACGGTGTTACTCTTGGTCTTGCGGGTACAGTAGTCTATGCTGAATATGAAAATGGCCCGTTTCGTCATCAGCTCGAATCAACCATTCCATATAGTTCAACAGTTCTTACTAGTATTGATCAATTTATTGACCCTATTTTCGGTCGCCAAAAATCTTTAACAACAGAAGTACCAGAAACGGTGCCTGATTTAGCTTTTGTAAAAGAGAAAGTTTCTGACGTAGAAAAACCGAAAAAAGTCGTTGAACAAGCTAAACAAACTGTTAATACTGTCTTGGAAAAGTTACCCGAGAAAACGAAAATTCAAAAGACTGGTGCACAAGTTAAAGATGGTATAGATCATGCAGCTGATCAGGTATAAATTCTATTTTATTGAACAAAGCATAAAATCTAAAAAGAAAAATTTTTACTTGTTCGTTATTAGGTTAAAGGTGCTGTAAATAATGTTCGCGATGCTTTGCCCGATACAACAACATTGAAAAAGAAAATAACACATGCTAAAGAGCAAGTTGAAGAAAACGCTCATGCGGTAAAAGAAACTATCAAAGGTGCTGTACCATCAGCTAAAGGTCAATCAGGTGAAGCACCAGAAAAAGTTGCCGATCCTGTATTCTTAGAAGGAGCCGGCGAAGCATTAGCACTAGCTCAAGAGAAATATAAACAGTAAGTTTTATTTTAATTCAGTACTATTTTTTATTTAAAAAATCAGAACGAATTTTTGTCTGAATATGTATGAAAAAGCTTACATGTGTCTTTCACAATATACATATCTATTTTTAGGCTTGAAGAGGAAATCACTAAATTATATTCACCTTTATCAAAACAAATCGATGATGCTGTAAAAGCTGCACGTGAACATGTCTCACACATGAAAACTATCATTGACAATCCAACTGTATCTACATCTGATCATGAAACATGGAAACAAGCTGAAAATTTACAAGAACAAGCTAAACATGCATATGAGAAAGTAACGGAAGCTGTACGTGAATGGAAAAATAAATTAGAGGAATTTACAACAGTAAGTAGTGGTGAAATGCATCCTCATCAAAAGAAACTTGATGAAAAATTTCAAGAATTACAAAAACAATATACAACATCAAATTTTGTGAAAAATTTTCGTACATATATTGATGAAGCAACAAAATCATTTCAAAAAGAAATGGAAACCATGCTTCCAAGTTTAGCTGGAAAAAGTCCATCACAATTGACACAAGAAGATCTACAAGCATTATTAGTTCATGCACATCGTCGTGTAGTTAAACTTCAAAATGATATAGCACGTCTGCGTATAAATGAATCTGATTCAGTTAAAGCAGCTGTTGATGTAGCACGTGCTGAACTCGATCGTCTTGTTGAACAACGTGCTCAAGAACGTGTCGAAAAAACAACTGAACAATTAACTGAAGAATTAAAATTATACGAAAAGAATCTTCGCCAACAATTCGATGAACAATTGAGACATGAAATAGTCCTACAACATCAAGCATTAACACAATATTTAGCTGATGTTCTATCTCGACAGTATCAAGAGTGGGCCAATGAATATGAACGACAATTAGAAAATGAATCAATTAAAATAAATATAAATTTACAAAATCAATTAAGATCAACGTTAGATCGTTTATATGCTATTGAACAAGCGATTGAAGCTAATTATGATAGTCAACAACGTGGTAGACAAGCGCAACAGTTATGGATTCAAGCACAAAATATTCTTAATCAAATTGTGCAAGGTACAACAACTGAAAATGATCTTGATATCGTATCAAAAATAGTGCCCAATGAGAGATTTGTCCAAGTACTTGTTAATGAATTACGAAGTGATGATATACCAAGCACAAACGAAAAAGTCCTTCGTGAACGTTTCGCACATGTTAATAAATTATGTCGTCGTTTAGCATTAATTGATAATGAACACAATTCATTATGGAATTATTTTCTATCTTATTTACAAAGTCTATTAATTGTACGACAACGGGATGATTCAATATTAGTTGATGATGCTGTTGATCTTAATCAATTAAATACGTTTACTATATTAAATTATGTTCAATCTTACTTAGATCGCAATCAATGGTATAATGCATTACGTTTAATGCAACTATTAACTGGTGAACCACGTAATGTAGCAGAATCATGGATTAATGATGCACGCAATTACCTAGCAAAAAAACAAACATCAGAATTACTTGAAGCTTATTCGAATTCAATCGGACTTGGTACACTTCCAAGAACGGCTTAGACAAAATTACAATTAAATGATGCACCCATTTTTGTTTGTTTGTTTTCCTTGTCTTTTTCTACATCATAGACCGCGTATAATTTACTGTACTTAGAAAAAAAAGAAAGAAACAAAGAACGATAAATAAACGTTTATAAATTAGATTTTAATGCTTTTTTTTTCTTTATTTTAGCTAGTAAATGATGAATCGAGCAGTTTTTAAACTGCTTTCTTCTTCTTCTCGTATTATACCGAGAATTTATGCATCTTCAACGACTCCAACAACAGGTCACCATGGTTCAGGAAACGTCCATCATCAAGACGATCATGGCCATGGTCATGGTCATGGTCATCATGAACCAGAATTGAGAAAAACACAAGAATGGCGTCACCATTCAGGAATTCAATCGAAATATGAAAATCAAGCGGAAGATCCGAGTGTAGCTTTCACGCAAGGTAAAATAAATTATTTCTATTACTATTGATTTGAAGAGAATAAAAGTATACAGATTTCATATTAAAAGCTTGGAGAATTATACGTATTTTTCTATTGTGACATAGAAATATTAGAAATTCTTCCATCAAGTAAAACATTTAACTAATCCGATGAGTTCTACTGAGCAAAATGTTTCAAGTTGAGTAATGTTCTATTTCAATAAATTCAAAAAATTTCATTTAACTAATTACTGAGATCTAATATTTGATCTAAAAAATAAAATTAGAAATTATATTTACATTTTTTAGAACGAGCAAATCATCATGATTATCGTCCTTCTTTCGGGCAAGTTGTTCTCAATGTACCATATCGCACACAAGCACATCTTTATGAAATGTGGCTTTATCATGCTGCTTTAGTATTTTCTATTTGGCTTTGGTGGTATGTTTCATGGCGTTTTTTGAAAGAGCCAAGTTGGTTTTTTGGCCATGCTCATTTTCCTGATATGTCGAAATTCACTGATGCAGAATTGGGTATTCCACCCGATGAAATGGATTAAAGAAAAAACACGCTGTACTACAGTTGTTATTTTTCTTGTCTGAAAAATGTTTTTTTGAAAATTATGTCGTTCTTTCTCTTTTGTATTTTTCCCTTCTCCTTCTTGGTTCACGACAAATGGTACGATTTTGTTTTTCTCCTTCTTTTCATCCAATCTAACTGCTTTAGCATTGCTGGATTTCTATTACAAAATAAGAAAAAACGAGTCAACAAATTTCAAGCTATAGTATTAAAAATTAGTCTAGTTGATTTAAACGATGGAACATAGGTTCGAATCCCCATCATTGTCCTTTGAATGAAATCAAGCTTGTTACGCGTGCATACCCGATGATGAGAAAACGTCATATATCTGAATACTTCTTGATTATCAAAATCGATTAGTCTTCCTGAGGATATTGCCGCACTTTATTTATTTTAATCTACACAATAGAGGAGTAAAATAAAAAGAATTTTCTCAAGCAAAAGTTAATTTTTCCTTTCAGATTTGAAATAAAATTTTCATGGCTCAACAAGTTGGTCGATCGGCAGTAGCCGCATCACGTTATGTTGGTGCAAAAATTGAGTGGGCCCGTCTATTAAAATTAAGCGGTGCCAATACAACAACTGTTTCGAATCTTCAAGCTAAATGGAGTCAAGCTGCTACTAAGTAATTTAAGAAGTTTATAAAACTTTTGACTTTCACAATTGATTCTTCACGATTATTTTTCTTTCAGAATGAATGCTTTAACAGACGCTTTACCTAAAATTGATTTCGAATATTACCGAAAAATGGTATCAGATCCATCACTTGTTGATAAACTTCAAAAAGAAGTATAAATAAAATTTCAAACAAAGCATTTCTATGAGTACCTATTTTTAGTATGAAAATGCCCACATTGCCTATCCAATAGATACGGCTAATCGTTTCAAAGAACTTGATGAATATGCTAAAACTGAAGTAAAGAACAAAAAATTTATTCTTTAGTTTCCATAGAATTTCCATGATGATTTATTTAGGAAAAACGTGCCCAAGAATTTGTTAAATTAGCCGAAGGCGAAGTAGAAGTTTTACGTAAAGAATTCAATCGGTGGGACAATGTACCACCAGCCGATGAAATTACTTATGAATTAGGTACGTTCATATGGCGTTTCGGCTTAAAATAAATCAATCTGTTTTCCTATGTTTTAGCTTCATTTTACATGCCTGAAGCTGTCTATCCTCGTGTTTGGAACAAGGATGAATTCGATAAATTAAAAGATGTTCAATTCTTACCTTACGAAAAACGAGATTCATTACGTTGGTGGGTTGAACAAGGTGGTGAATTGTTACCACACAAACATGAATGGGTTGCTCCAGAAGAAGCCACTGATCCTATTGATGCTGCTCCAAGACCGAAAAAGGAAATTGCTGAACATGGACATGGTGACGCTAAGAAACTCAGTGCCAAACACTAAATAAATCCTATTAATTTGCGTTCCTTATCTTTTTCTTTCTTTTTCTTTGCTCTATTAGGATACAGCCCAAATAAAATGTCTATACGAGAACAAGACAGAAGTTTAGTTGAATCGCAGTTGGGAAAAAACGAAAAACCTATGTGTTCACTTTTATATAGGACAGTTTAGAGAGTTTATTTAGTGTTCTTTTTGATTCAAATAAACTAAACTTTCTTGTGATACTCATAGACTTTATCTTGGGCAATAAATTTTAATTCACAAACGAAAATTTTCAAACTTAAAAAAATCAGCAAATTACTAATTCATGAATTGGAATTCGAAGAATGGCATAAATTTTCTTGAGTTGTCAATAGTGTCCCATTTGAATAACACCATAAACAGATATATTGCGGGTATTACTAAAACAATTCACAAGTATACCATTGACAATTATCATTTTGAGCATCGATAATCGTTTAAAAAAACATAACAATAAAAAAATTCATTTTTATGTAGAGTTGCATCGCTTTACGCATATATATTTTTTATTTGGTGATTATCACATTTTATAACATATTCTAATGTCTTTCTAAAAATAAGTGAAACAATTACTACTTTTGTACCGAAGTTCTTCGACTGATACGAACAAATGCATAAAGTTGAATAGTTCAATACACTGAAATAATGATGCAAAAGAATTTCAACAAAATATTTTATATAAATTCACCGTTATCATCCGGAGTTTGTTGTACTCCGATTACGAAAAGCATTTCCAAGGACGTTTATCATTTATTTAATTACAGTCGTGTGTATGTTATTATTAGAATTGCACTGCATCATGTCAAATCACGGATAGGTAGCGAAGGTGACCGAACAGATGTGATTGAAGCTCAAATATTTTAAATTATTACTATTTGAGCTGCACATTTGGTGCAAACGACGTTACGTGTCAGGATAATAAATAAAAACTATCATTCGATTGAAGCAGATGCGTATCATTGATCACAATAAAAATTCAGCTAAATAAAACAACACTGCCCTCGTTTACTGCTTTATTTTATTCTGGCCTCGGATTGCGAGTTTTTGGAAAAGTAGGAATTTGCACAGGATCAAACTTTTTAAAATTACGGGAAAAGGCATAAAAAATGAGAAAAAAATAGGACGCTGAAGATTCGTCGTTTAGATTCAAATTGAACGTTTTTTAAAATTTTTCCTGTATCAAATTAACATGCGCACTAAATTTTTGTTAAGATTTCATTTTTACTTCTTTCTTAAATTAAATGAAATCAGTCAGACATAATTAAATTCAGCCGAAATATATTTCTTTACATATTAGTGCATTAACACAAAATAGATCAGGGTGTGGGTAATGGTTCGTATTGCGTTTACACTCACACCCACCTGCATCAAAACCGCGTTTCAAAGTTTTCAAAAAATAGCATTTTGAGCTTTTTAACCAAGAAAAGTTTTCAAAAAGTATCAATGACAGATCGCTAAATGCAGAATTTCAGTCTCTACAAATGGCCTATTTCATTGTTGACTTTCGTAGCTAAGGACAATGCAAAGTCTTATACACTTTCTAATTCACTGTGCCGCTTATGAGCTTCCATACAGATGTGTCGATTTCGTTTTGTGTATAAAGATTAGTTATAAAGAAAAGAACTAACACTAATCAAAATCAAATAATTATAATGATGCTAATTGCTTGAAAATTGGTGGCTAAAAAACTGTACCTCAGCGTTACTAAAAAGGTCACGTCTTTTTTTGCACTTTTTATCTAAGTAAAAATAGCTTAGAGAAAATGTTTTTAGCATTTGAAAGTCCGACCAAAGCGCTACAAAACTAGCTCTAGAAATGTTTCATTTGGAGAAATAGCTGCAGAAGAAATTACAGTTTATTAGTGACCCTGAAGAGAATGGGCATTTTTATGTCACAGCACCAGACAACCAAAACTTCTCTCTATAAACTCTAGAATTTATCCAAAAATGTCATTTTATGGCATAAACATACCACGACAAGTTGCATCAAATGATGTTTGAACGAATTTGATAACTCTCAGTTTCCGAGACAACCAAGAACAAAGTGTGTCAAAAACATCACAGCGTTACGCTCGAACAAGACCATTCACGTAAATCCATGTGATCGGCAGCAATAAAAACTTTTAAAAGACACAAGCATTTATAAAGAGTATTTTACTTTGTTTGAATATCTTTACTTAAAATAGTCAGTTATTTTCATTTAGTCCGTTTGATAGTGTGAAAAGGAATTGTATTTTAAATATAGTCCCTATGAAAAAGTCAAAGAATGTAAAAGAATCAATAATTATCGAATTGATCTATTTAAAAAGCATGGAAATTATACTAAAACAAAAGCATATTTTAGCAATTTCTACTTTTTTACATTTTTTTATAGGAAACACAGGAAAACTCATCGATATATAGGAAAAATAATAGGAATTTTTTAAAATATAGGAAATATAGGACGAATCCGAGGCCAGATTTTATTCTAACACCTTCCAGGATAAAACAAGAGAGAAAAGTGTCGCACTCAACTTTCGATAAGAATTATGCAGTCCTTGGTCGAATAGATTCTGAGAACTAACTGATACTTCTATTAATATGAATGCTATTTTCACTTGGTATAAAATGAAAACTTGTCTTGTTTCAATTGACCACATGTTTTGATTGTGTTTACAGATGGAGCCAAGAAATAATAGAGTCATTGCAAATTTGAAGAATTTTTACCGAAAACAAATAGCTTTATATCGAAATAAACTTTCTATCTTTTTGATCGCAAGTCAGCAATCATAATAAAGAACTTTTTTAAATACAATTCATGTATACATTGCATGCGTATAAAACAGGAAGTCATTAGGCGACATTGAAAATTGATATGCTTAAATACATAAAATCACACTGATCATTACATTTTATATTTATTTGAACGATATCTGATTGTGACTATATGTGACTAGTAATTAAAGACGTTCGTGCACTCTATTTTGAATGATCAAATGAATTGTTCGTCTGTACATGATTGCTTTTTTAAACGCAAACATATTTCAACAAGTCTCTCTTCATCGTTATGACTTTAGTGGAAATTGAAAAAGAGACATCTTGAGTGTTTTGTAATTTCTTCTTTTGTTGAAAATATCGTTTTTTTCTTGTTCATCTTTACGTATCAATCGACAGAGTATGCATGTTAATAGACACATGAGGAATAATTTACATCAAACACAAGAAAGAAAGCGATAGATTTTATGATTACACAAAAACTAAAAAAAGTGACCATTAAAAGACATATGTTGCAATGAATAGATATAGACTTTTTATTTGTTCACGCGAGACATGTATAACAATAGAAATGAATTGCTATTTTAGATGAAAGCTATACGATAAGATATCTAGTTTATTTTATTGAAATTCTTAAAAATTAAAAAAAATATAGATATTGTCAATTTTAAGTTTGTCGCAGTTTAATATCAATATTGAACATGAATGATTGTAACAGGAAGAGTGTGGCGCTGACTGTGTACATATGTCTGCGCAAGTGTACTTAATAAAACAGTGATTCAAACGAGAGAATATCTTCAACTATCTCGATGTAATCTTTAATAATATTTTATTCGGCAGTCAATGAATGTTGACTAAATAAATAAATTTGGCAGCAAGCTATCGTTTGTATATATGTATGCGCATAGAATTCGCACATTTGTTAAAAGTTGATCGATTTGTCTTGTATTACAATGACAATGATTACTATAAGGCAGTATCAATCACATTCGGGAATCATTAGCATTGAGCATGTCATCTCTGTTGTTCATCAATAAAAAATCTTTGCTCTTCTAATATTACCAACCGTATGTCTCGTCGACTGCATTCTATACATTCATCCATACATATGTACATGATGATTTATATTCTGTTTCTAAATGTATGCATCCGGACTAAGACAATGATGAACAAGTGAAATCACGTGAGAGATAATATAACTTGACAGACAATTGCCCATCTTTTATACTTCAACTTGACCATACCAATGTGCGACCCCCAGAAGTAAAAGATTTCATATCCGAAGCTTGCCATACGATTCATTTAATTTAAAGAATCCTCACACGTTTTACCTCGTGCCTATAAGGCAGATGGCCTCATTTAAAGCAATTAAAACTTGTGCGTAATGTGTCATTGTGTTAAATCCATTAAGAGCAGAAGAAGAACAAGAACAAGAAAAAAGAACGAATAAAATCTACCGACACTATTCATTTACTCTATGAAAAAGCATATGTTAACAATTACAATAAGTACGCTCATTTATAAATGCATGCCTATATCTGCATAATATCAGGTAAATCAAAGTATCGTTATACGTTCTCAGTTGTTATTTTTCTGACAAATAAAATGTTGTAATAGTATGTACCTTTTAAACATCAGAAAATCATTGTTATAATGAATGGTAGCATCTGTTGTCAACATCAATGTAAAAAGAAAAGTTGAAAAAAATCAATAGTTCCATTTGAACTTCTTCCATTGATGGGAGTAAAGAGTCCTTCAATGATTGAAACTTGTAAAGTGATGTAAATGTGGCATATAGTGTATGCACATGAATATGTATGCTTATGTCAATCAGTTACTTGTCTATCACATATACACATTCAAAGAAGACGCAGGAATAGAAAGGAAACCTTTTTTTATTTGTTGTGCTCTTCGCATCATCAGAGAGAACGATGAAAAAGAAAAACCTAAGAAAAAGAAATCAATTATTGAACATAAAGCAGAATGATTGACACAATGAACGATAAGAAAGATAAACGTACACATCGAATATATCTTGATTGCTTCTTGATGTTTTTTTATTTTAGAGATCATCCACGACATTTAAAGATACCGAAGAACAAATCAATATGAAAAGGTTTGTAGATTAGACTAGTCACGAATCATGATGGTGACATTTTTGTTCTGTCTTTCTATTTATATTATTAGATGATAGTAGTTAATCGTTTATATTGATTGAGTCATGTGGAATAATCGATCATGTTATCACAATTTTTTATCGCTCTTCTATTAATTTTTACTTTATGTAATACTACTATTCAATTTGAATGTGAATACAATTCAACGACTTATCCGGTGAGAGAAAAATATATCAATAAATAAATAATCCTCTAATTTTTCTTTCTTGCTTTCTAATTGTTTTTATTTATTTAAGATTGATGCTGAATGGACATTATTTGATTCTTGTCAAACATGTAAATGTTTATCGAATAAAATTATTATTTGTCGAAATCGAACATGTCAAATGCCAACAGACTGTCCCATGGTAAAATTAATTAGAAATTAAATAAACAGAATTACCAAAAGAAAAAAGCATTTTTCTTTTCTAGGCTGAACAATTAACACTACAAGTAGATAGTTGCTGTCCAAAATGTTCTCCTATTCGACGTTCTTGCCTCTATGAAAATACGGCAATACTTGTATGTTATCAATTAATTTTCCTATTTGAAATAATGACTCTTTGACCTTTTGTTAAATAGCATAATACTGTATTCTATCCCAAATCATGTCTTCAATGTCGTTGTCGAGATGGTCAATTGTTTTGTGATGATATTTGCCGCCAATCCATCTTACAAAGTATTTAGTTAGAGGATTAGAAATCTTTTTTTTCTAGGAGAGAATTCAAAATTTTATTTCATTGAACAAATCTATTGTTATTCTTGCCTGTTGAAATTTGACAAATCTAGTTTCAGCAGTCTACATGTATATATATATATATATATATATAATTATATAATTATATGTACTTCGCTAATAGCATCAGTTGTATATATTTATCATACAAAAACTATTTACTTAGAAAAACAGAAAAATATTGACAGCTATTAGTAATGTCGGACTACTTCACTAGATATTAGTGGACTATTATATTGATGAGTACCTATTCACATTGTGAAAGTGTTTACCCTACAAAAAGTATACTGCACACATTGAATAGTGCATTGATTGTTTTTGAATAAGTAGGTTGAATGGAAAATCTTGAAAGAAATCGTTTTGTATTTTTGTTTTAATAATATTTATTGAAATGAAACTTTTTTTTTTCTTTCGTAAATTCAACAGACAAATGTTCATTTGATAATGAACTGTATGAAATAAATAAAATTTGGTCGCCCTTATCATGCGTCATATGTCAATGTAGAGAGATATCAACAAATCAAAATTTATCTTCTGTTTGTTATATTAAACAATGTCCTACAATAAACAATTGTCTTGGCGTATGACTAATTAAATTTTTTAATCTTATTAATTTTTTAAATTTAGTCTCTTGAATTCATTCCTGGTCAATGTTGTCCAGTATGTCAAACGAAAATTTGTCGTGACACCAATGGTGTTATTTATCAAGTAAAATTTATTGACTTATTTAAAAAAAAATTTGTGGCTTGTTTTTTTCTTTGTGCTATGAAGAATGGTGATGTCTGGACAAAAAACAACATTTGTATACATTGTACGTGTAGAGATGGCTCGATTGTATGTTCAGAAGAAATTTGTCCAAACTTACAATGTAAAGCGGTATGTGTAAATCAATGTAGAGCTCTCTGAAGAAAAACAAGTATATTGACTTATTTAGAATGAAAAAGTGATTCGTTTACCTAATAGTTGTTGTGCAATATGTAGCAATCGACATGTGTGCCGATTTTATGGTAATAATGGTTATCAGGTCTATTATGAATATGATATTTGGTATACATCAGCATGTCAATATTGTACATGTCGACGACATAATCGTATTGTATGTAAAAGTATTCAATGTGAACATCAATTTTGTCTTGAGAATGAAATTCAAGAATCAAAATCCGATAGTTGTTGTGTATCATGTCGAAAAACTAAACAATGCGATATAAATGGTCATATCATTACAGTATATAATAAAAGCAAAAGCAAATTAATTTTCTTACGTTATTTTTTCATTAAAAGGAAGGATCCTATCATCACATTGATAATTGTACCATATGCACATGTACATCAGAACGTCAACCGGAATGCTATTCAAATTGTAAACAAAATGGTTATGTAGCTATTTCATTGCCAGCATCAGGTCTACATCGCAATCATACAATTACAGTTACTGATAGTTTAGCAACGATCATAGCTTGTATGTTTGTTTATTATGTTGTTATTTTATGTCAAAGTTTCATTTTCTATCTTAATCTAGATTCAAAATCTGGCACAATTCTACCTTCGTCACAGAGTCATTCTTTACTATTTCAATTTTCTTCGTCTATAACAACCCAATCGAATGCAGCTGTTCTATTAGGCATTATTCATAATTCAACTGGTCAAATATCATATCGTCTGATTCTTGTTGATTTCGATTCAACTCAGAACAATACAAAAAATAATCAAAGTCTCTCAGATGAATTACGTCTTTGGATGCCAATAACAGTATCTACTGAACGACCAATCAGATCACCCATTACATTAATCGAAGAAGATAAAAATTATGATCAAATTATTTTAATTTTGCTTATTATTTTATTGTCATTTATTTGTTTTGTATTAATTCTAATCATCGTTTTCTTATGTTATCGACGACAGCAAAAATCCATTGAAAGTGGAGTTTATCAAAAGAATTTTAAACGTGAAAATTCATCAGTATCAATAGTGGAAAAATTTCATGCACCTGATTTAACAACGAAAGTGACACTTCTCACACATTTTCATGTATCGGATGATGATCTAGGAACTGATGTGTAAATTTCTTTTATTGTTTATTGATTGTTGTTGTTGTTGTTTTCATTAAAAAAAATCATTAAAAAGTGAAACAAAAAAATATTATAGAATTGAAAAACTTAAAGTTTATTGTCTGTCGATGAGCGATTCCAAGGCTGGAATTTGTTCTGGTAAATTTTTACGTTGACGTGTTTCAGTTACAATTAGTCCACATTTTGTATTCAATTCAAATGGTTCACCAGGTAGTAGTGCCCAGTGATCGAATTGGCATTGAGGAAATGCTGTACCGCCTGTTGAATGACGTAATTCTTCTGTAAAACCAAATGATTCATTAACAGGCAAAAAGGCTTTAACGCGCGATAATGTTGTGCCGCTTAATTCTTCTTCTTCACTTATTTGACCACGACGTTTATTCAATGTGGCATAGACTCTGCCGATCATACGTGTTGGACATTCAATGTCAACAAGAAATATAGGTTCAAGTAAACGAGGTGCAGCCATATGTAAACTTGCTAAGAGACATCGACGAATAGCCGGTATAAGTTGATCAGGTCGACGATGAGCTAGAGAATAAAAATAAATAAATAGATTTAATTTCAACAAGAAAAATTCATCATACCAGCATCTCGATGGATTTCAGCATCAAGCAATTCAATACGAGCACCGCGGAGATTTTCCGAAGCTAGAACACCTTCTTGACTAGTCCATTGAAAAGCAGCAACGACTGCATCTTGAATAGTTCCCAAGCCATCAACACTTCTTGTTCCATCAACAAGCATATTCGGTCCATTATCATATGGACCAAATGCCCAGATTTTCTTGGTTGCTGCTAAATCCCAACCGAATTCTTCGACTAATATTTTTGATCGTTCCTTTGGATCTTGTTTCGATGATATACGACCTGATTCAATAGCTTCAGCTAAACCTGGTTCTAGCGGAGATGCACGCATGAAAAATTTATTATGTTTATTTGTTGTTTTTGTAAAAGCTATTTGTCGTGATTCGGCAGTAATTGTTTCACGATAAGTTACAATAGGTGTTGCTACTTTCAATGGACAACGTGCGTGTGTTTTTTCTAAATCAGCCAAACATATTTCTAAATGTAGTTCACCGGCAGCAGCAATAACATGTTGTCCATTTTCGTTTAATACTTGCACAAGTGAATCGGCTTGAACTAATTTCTTAAGACCTTCTACAAGTTTAGCATGGTCAGTTGGATCTTTTGCATCAACAGCAACACGTACAACTGGGCTAACCGAAAATTTCATTACACGAAAATTATGTGCATCAGGACTTGTTGTTATTGTTGCTGTTTTTACTAAACATTTATCGATGCCGCTTAACGCAACAACATTACCAGCTGGCACACTGTTCATTGGCATACAACGATCACCAACCATAACACCAACACTTGTTATATTCTTAATTTGTAAATCACTTGTTGAACCGGGTCGATAGTCAGGACCAAGAACACGTACATTGGTACCAGACACAACTGTACCAGAAAAAATTCGACCAAAACAAAGAAAACGTGATCCATCTTGAGCTGGAATTTTCTTACTAATGTAAATCATTACTTCACCGTTGGGATCACAAGCTTTCATAGAACATGCTGCTTGATCATCTTGAGGTCCTTCATATAAATGTTTAATACGATAGACTTGCGCTTGTACAGGTGATGGAAGATGAAGAACAATTAAATGTAACATAGCTTCACCAGCTGGTAGCCAACGTTTCATGACATTTGCCGTTATTTTTTTAGCATCAAGAACAGAAGCATCAAGTTTATCGGCAGATAATTTAACGTCAATTTTCGATAATAATTTTTGAACTTCATCCATATTCAATTCAGCACATGCATTGAGAATTTGATAGAGTGGCTGAAGAATAAATTGATTGAAGCCACGTTTAGCATCATCAATCGTTCTTGATTGTTCATATGAAACCCATTTTTTATTTTCTGATGAATAATAAGATTCGCCCCATAGACGATTCAAATATTTATCTTTCGATACTTTCGCTTTTTCAGCAATGAATGTTGCAAATTGATTTAATGTAAACGCCCAACCTTGTTTACCAGATGCAAATGCAACATTGCCCAATATTGGATTGAAATGCTCATCCGAATAAGTTGAATCATCAGTACTTCGATATGTTGCTATTAAAGCATTGCATCTAGCGACAATACCTGATAATTTTTGATAAAGTTCTTCAGCTTCCAATTTTTGTTCTAATATACATCGATCAACTTTATTTATGACTAATGTTAATTGTACACGTTCAGACAGAGCCTGACGAAGAACAGTTTCAGTTTGTACAGATACACCTGAGACGGCATCGACTACAAGTAATGCGCCATCAGTAACACGTAGCGCAGCAGTGACTTCTGATGAGAAGTCAACATGACCAGGAGAATCAATGAGATTGACTAGAAATCCATTATCGTCCCGTTTGAGATCACCTGTTCGAAATAAGCATATATTTTTTTTTTATAGATTAACTCAAATGTATTCTAGTTATACTAACCAAGAATTTGATCATCTAATTCGTAGTACATACTAACAGATGATGATTTAATTGTAATTCCTTTTTCTTGCTCGGCCTCTAATGAATCAGTAAATCGACGTTGGCCAGCTTGTTGTTCGGTAATAATACCAGCTTTATACACTAAAGCATCAGTCAATGTCGATTTACCATGATCAACATGTGCTATAACACACATATTACGAATGTTGTGCGACTTGGACATAGCCGCAGCTACAGCTTCGCTTCGTTGTCTTGCCATAGAAGACAGTTAGATTGTGATATTAGATAGACGATCAAAGAAATAGATAGAATGAACTACTACCTTCGTATTAGCATAGAATGTGAATATGAAGAAACAACTTGCAGTCACAGAACCTTTTATACTGTGTGTGCGTGTGTGCGTAATTGAGCAAGTACGCTTCCCTTGCATAGAAAAAGTAATTGCGAAAGTATAATTCTGCTTGCACCTAAACGTTATTGCGAAATAACGTGAAAATGTAATTTCGCAATACTCACTAGTGACTCTGAAAATAGCAAAAGTAAATATACGAAGAATCTTTCGCATTCATGCGAATGAGTCAATATTAAGTATGATGTGTTAGTGTACATATTAGTATTTATTTCATATTGACTCATTTATTATAAATGTCTCTCAGATGTATTGACAGGGTTATTTTCTTTTCTAAAAGTTAAATAGGATCGACAATACGATTGATTCACTAGTCTAGAAAAACAAAATTGCTTTGCAAGATTCAACTGGAAATAATAAAGTATCAATTGTATTTTACTGTACCAATTGATTATAGGACACTGGAATGGAACAGAATACCTTTGCATAATAATGATCCATTAAATTTTGATTTTAAACTTCTCTGTCATCGTAGCAATAAATCTATTTTATTATAAAATATTACAGATCTACAGTAGCTTCATCATTTGAAAAGAAAATCTATCAGAAAAAGGAGCTGACTGTAGTATGCATATTCGAGACTAAAATGATATGAGAATTAAGATGAACATGGTTCTTGAAATTTATTGCTGCTTTTGGACTACGAAATAAAAAGCATTAAATGAAAAATTGAAATTAAAATGGCCTATAAACACTCAGTCTAATAAAAAAAAATGATGCTCTCTCCTAAATGGACTACTTCAATAGCAGTAGATTTTCAAACTATTCATGTTATTTACTATTTTATAGGAATACCAATAAATTATTTGCGTAACTACTACTGACGTGTCATTATCAAGAGTAGAATAGATTCGAAAGTTTTCCCTTCGTCGTTAGATGAAATCGATATGTACCCAGTGTATTCTGAAAAGCATTTGTTTTTATTAATAAATCTTCTTTTGTAATGGTCTTTCTGTCTGAAAAGTTCATTCGCCTGATAGCTTTACAGATGAGCAAAACATACGTTTTCTCACCAGCTGTTAATTGTTCAGAAACTTCTTTTTGGAATATCACTGTTTTTACACCCTGCTTGCCAATTTCAAAATTGATAGAACATCAAAATCAAAGAAACTTCTTTCATTATCGATTTCAACTTCGAAAAAAATCATTGATTCGTAAGAAATATAATCCGAATTTATTTTCTTATTAACACACTTTCATTAGTTTAGCACCTGTAGGAAAATTCATCAAAAGTAAATTTTACACTTCATTAATTCGTATATTTTTTGGATGCGCAGCCTTGTTTTTGCAAGTCACACAGTGAACACTCGATCATTGAAAATGATGAATCATGACAGAAAAGAGACAACAAACATGTTGGCAGATGCATGTATTACAGAACTGGTTGTAACCAATGTATTATTACGCTTTAAAGAAATTGTATGACATAGAGTTTTTGGTACGGAATAAAATTAGCAAATATTCAATTAGCTTTGAAAAATAATCATCATTTTTATTTTAATTATTAAAGCATATGAGATTACGATAAAAAGCATCCGATAAATTGCTTTGACATTAGAATCAAGTTTTTCACAAACAAAATCAGATACTCGAGATTATTGATGCAAGAAGATCTAACTACGTAAAGTGAACAAAAAAAAATATATCAAAATCAATATTAAAATTTTTAATTAATAGAAAATTTTTAAAAAATAGCAAAACGAAACTTGTGATTATTAAAGCATTTCGTACGAAGTTTTGTTTGTTTTTTTCTTTATTTTTTATTTTTCACATCGACCTGTTGTTGTTCTCTATAAAAAGAAATACACTCTATGCATGATTAAAATATAAATAAGAAAATCTTTTACATGAAATAATTCTTAAATCCTAATTTCATTCCTTCGATAGTTGAGTTTAATTTCGACAGATGATCTTGTAATTCTCTCACATTATCCGCCGCTTCATTTAAATCGTCGCTGTTATCTGCCTTAGTTTCTTTTTGTGTACTCGATGAGTCTGATCCTTTCTTAACTCTGCAAAATAAAATTGTTTTATATACAATACTTCGTTGATTTACATCAAAATTTACTTCTGAGGTGCAGCTTTCAATGCTTTTACTTCATTATGAGCATATTTATACGTTGAAGCACCTTCAAACTCTCGCCATTCTTCTAGCCGGTCTTTATTCATCGCAATTATTTCTACAAGAACGATAAAATTATTTTTATTATTATTGCCGTGGTTAGGTTGGTGATTCCTACTGAATTTTTGAGCAGATCGATCGGCTGACCCGTGGAAAAATTTTCGTCGTATGAAGAAGATCAGCATACGAGACAAATAATAAATATTATAAATAATACTTATTGGTGGCATAAATGGTGAACGTGTGAAATATTCACGTGTGAATAAGTATTGTTGCGAATGCCATATATTTCTTGTATCTTCATCAACTTCATTGAATCGTTTGCTATTGCAATAGAAAATAAATTAATATTCGAAAAGAAAAAATACACATCATTGTACCTAAACATGGCGATAAGTAAGTTAACTAATAGAATATTCACAAAAATCATATGAATAGCAAGTAATACTTGATCTGCAGTAGCCCATGCAGCATCAGAATTATCTTTGTAAGGATGTAAGAAAACAATCTATAGAGTACAATCGATACTTTGAAATATACTTACTATCTAGATTTGTTAGCTCATCGCCAAAGTCTCCATACATTAAATAGTAAACGGGATATAAAATATTTCGAAAAATAGGTCTGCCACTAAAACTGGTATCAGGAGGACCAGTTAGCACTGTAACATTGTTCCCTGGCGGATAATAAACCATTGAACGAGATGCAACACCATAGGCAATCATAACAACTGCAATAATGCTGAGAAAGAATAACAGATCCTGCAGCTATAAAAACAACAAATGTGAATCAAAGACAATCTATGTATGAATTTTTTTAATACCATTTTTGCAATAGCTACAAGATGCGGTCCCAAAAACGGTATAACAATAATAAACGATAAGGAACGTAACCACCAGATTTCTATATCGATAGCCATCACGACTCTAAATAATAAAAGTTTCGCGAAAATTAAATATTTTATTAGAAAAAATAGAACACACATAAATCGAGTGTAGGACTGTTTTCATTTCGTTGTCGAAGTTTCTATAGAACCACTCATCAAAAAGATTCGAAATTTTAAAGGCAGTGTCTAGAAATTTAGCTAGAAACTATTTTCAAACATATTGGACATTATTACAGATGATTATTTTCGCGGATTCTTTTCATTCTTATCCTTTTAGTAAAAACATTCCGCAGCATCAAAAGTACTTGAAACGTTTTTAATAAAACCTTGTTGGAAACGCTTCATAAAAACTACCAGAATTATACTTTGATAAAACAAACGAGAGAGATATTCATCTCTGGTACACATGCTAAAAGTCAAGTAATCTACAGGTTTGTTCTATATCTAGTCAATTAATTCGAGCGTTTCTGGTTTTTGTTAACTTTTAAAAGCAAATTTTTGAATCTCGAAATATATTAAGTAGGTAAGCACTTCTATTAATTATACAATTGGTAAGGAATGAATGAAAAAATGTTGGTTCACGAACTGGCATGTTTCGTTAACATTTCTAAAGGAAATAATTTTAATTACAACAAAACTATTTCAACTCAAGTCATTTTCCTGAATTTTCAACACATTAAAATGAGACAATAAATACTAAAACTAGTTAACTGAACAAACCTAGCAGCAATAAAATCCTCTTCGGAGCCCGCATTTGTAAATCGTAGAATCAATCCGATGTAGAATAGAATAAACCCTATCGTAGTCAATGACTTGAAAAAATCACGAAAATTACTTTTCGCTTGTCCGATAAGTTTCAAGCTATCTTGAGTCAAAAACTAAAATCAGAACAAAACAATCAATAGAAAAGAATTCTAACTAAATATATCATACATACATGATGAATTTCTTCTATGAGCATACATGAAACAAGAATAATTGTTAATATTTCCGTCCAACCAATCGATGGAAAATCACTTGTGGGTGGCGAAAAGTTGAACAGAAGAACATACGAGAAGAGTAGTAGAAAAAAGATATAACTAATCTAAAATGATTTAATTATTATATGTTCGTTTGTATTGTTGAAGAAATAGATCCATACCACATGATAAGAAAATTTAACTGCCAAACATAGATGAAAATTGACAAAATTATTTAGATAACGATTGATGGATGGTTTAATTATTTTATAGCGAGGATATTCAAGTGGATATGGATCACAATAAGTTATGCCACACTGTTCCAGGCTGAAAACAATATAAGAATAATAATCATTTATACCTCAAATGTTTTTTTTTTATGTATTATATACATACGTTCGTTTAGGAGATGAACCAATTTGTGCTCCCTAGCAAAGATAATCATAAGGTTTAATATTTGAAGTAAAAAAAAATCATATCTATCTCGTTGCTTGATTAATACCAAGACATACTAGTGTCTCCAGAGAGTCCCCAAAACAAAACTATTGAAACTCGTATAATAATTTTATAATTCAAAATATTTTTATTGTCAATGGTCTTTCTAATATTTCTATTTTTCCAGTTATAATTGCAATTAAGAAATTTAGCGATCCATTAATTTTTGAATTACGGCTATTTTTAAAATTTTTATAATAGTATTTTTATTCTTGAATGATCGATGAGCATTTTCACTTAAATTTGCTTTTATAAATAATAAATCTTTCCTACCTTTTTGTTCTCTTGATATCGAACAAATGGAGAAGCCAACAAACCCAAGGAGAGGATTCCAGTAATCAAAGCCACATAACCGGAACCATCGTTTTTTTTCATATTGAGTTTATCAAACCAAATACAATGCATCGCTTGAGTAGAAGATGGTCGTGCAATAAACAATTTATCTCCTGCATCGGAAGCAATCTTCAGATAAATATTAAATATTAGTTTTTCTGCTGCTAAAAGAATAAACTTATCAAACATACTTGAAGACACGTAACATATCCATAAAGTTCATTTTGTTGTACAACAAGTTGACAAGCCAGATCTAGATTTTCCTGATTGCATGCATCGAGACAATCCATTGCATATTTTTCAAAATACTTAATATTTTCTTTATATTCGTCTTGTGCTGCTCCGTAAGTTGCTTTTGCATCATATTGTTTTAAAACTTTTGTTGCAATCAACGCAGGACATATTCGATATTTCAAAAAGCATAAAAAGACTTTAGCCATATCAATGCGATTCATAAGTATAGCCCATAAAAATAAATCCCGCAATATGCATTTACGTGCTTTTTCTGCTTGTGCCGAAGTGGTTAAAATCATTCGACTCTCAACGTCTTTAATATTATTATGATGATTTTTTTCATGGTGTTGGGTCAGTCCCCATTTATTTCTATGTTTCATTTCTTCTTCTTCTGTATTAAAATACAAATCATACATATAATCACCAATAATGTTTGTAAGAGCATGGTTAAGTTTCTTAACGGTACCAATCCATGGACGATCATCTTGTTCATTAGCGCCAATAAAGTATTTCAAACGAGTTTCTGGTTTACCTTTCTATGTAAAATAAACCATATATTATATATACTTCGAATAAAATACAACATTTTCGTGTCAATATCATACCAGGATTAAGTCATTTGTATAAAGTGTATCAAGAAATTTTTTATAACGTTGCTCTTGAACTGAAGCGAATGTCTTCGAAAAGAATACATCAGCTGGATTAAGTCCTAATTTAAGAAATTCATAGACGAATGTTGGTAAATTGTCTGTTAAAGCGCGTATAAAATATTTGTTTGGATCCTAAGAACAGAGACCAACAATAAATATTTAAGAAAAGTAATAAATAGGTAATACTTGGATTGTGTCTAATGCGTTTTGGAAAACGAACTCTTTTGCTACATGAATACAGTTCCAATCCATGGCCAAATTCAGTAGTGCGCTTCGTTCTACAAGTGAAAAAGAAAATTTATTTGGTAAAACTAAATTCATTATTATGATACTTACCATCTATTGCTTTTTCATTGTTTTTACCTTTTGGTGATTTGTTATACGCTTAACATATGGAGAAAAAAGAAATAAAGGAAAAATACAAAAATATATGAAAATAATTAGGACTTACCTTTACAAATACTTTCAAAAATTGTTTCTGCTAAATCATTGTCTGAATCCAGATTATATACTGTTACGTGAGAGCGAAGACCTGGTTGTAGGCAAAACATAACTTGATCAAGTGTGTCTAATAATTTTTTATCAGGCCCTTTGTTTTCAGCTTTTACACTATCGACTTTTTTCTGATCAGAATCATCATCACGGTATAACAGATTTTTTAAATCTTCTTGCATTTCCTTTTCATATTTGTGAAATAGTTGACGAAGTCTTAAAATGAGATATACAGATAATGATAGAACAAATATATATATTCAAAATTCTCTACTTTTTTTTCGATAAATCAAGATGAAGGTCAGCATGCACATCAACTCTATAACGACTCAATGATTGATTCAAGCAAATATTCTTAAAATTGTTTTTTTTCTACCTATTTCCCAATCTTTTCTGTGTTTTGGTTTCGATAAGTCCTTGTGTCAGTAGATTTGTACCTAATTCATCAATTCCATACACCTCGTCAGCATGTTGTGGATCAGTTTCTACATTTTTAGCATACGAGAACCAACGACTCAAGAAATCCGCCACACGGCCACTACCCTATATGAAAAACGTATGGGTAAATAAGCCTAAAAAGATAGTATTACTCATTTATTATTCATACATTAATAATAACAACTGGGATATTTTTTTTTAAATCGTAATATACATTTGTTATTGTATCAGGACCACCTTCAACTACAATGGTGACAGCAGGAGCTAAATATAGATGGACATCATGATTTCTATGGATTTGAAATCATTTAGATTAAATATCTACATACTTTGAGCGTTACTTTGTTTCTTTTTAATTGATCTCTTTGCTATGCAACTGCATAAATTTGCCCGAAAATCTTTTGAATCGAAATGTCGATATCTTCCATCATCCAACATCAGGTAATGTGTATGATTCATTTCAAGATGACATTCTCCACGTCTTATTATACCATGCGTTTCTTCGTCTTCATCTGAATCGTCAGATTGGCTTATTCTTGTCTATAAAAAGAAAAAAAATACATATATATATATAATTGTAACTATTTTTTGTACAGTAATCTATTAAACCTTGCTTTTCGCATTGTTCCTTATGGCTGTTAATTCTTTGACATTTTTTATACTACCCCATTTACAAATACCGATTGCAATCATTTTGGAATCTTGTTTTTTTAATTGAACTTTTGCAAGTGCTTGTCCAACAAGTTGAACAATACCGACGCGATATCCAGTTGTAACTATCCATGAATCTATCAAAATAGTACAAAATAATATTTGGTCTTTTTGTTTGTTACATTTCTAAATATTTACTTGCTTTTTCAGCAACATTAACAATACCCTTGATAAAGTTTGATTCGAGGCGATCATTTAATTTAAAAAACTTTGCACCACCAATAATCGACATAATTAATTTAGGTTCTGGTAGTTTCCAGAGCTTAAAAAGAAGTTCTTCAACTTTGTCGAGTTCTGTCTCTATATCAAGACGTGCAAACTAAATTAATATTTGAAAAAATGATTATGCAAATCGAATATTGTGAAGTTTCATACCCAACCATCGTTTGCGAGTCGCCCATATTGTGCCGGTAGTAGATAAGTGCGGATCGCATGCTCCCATTCCTCTGCATCATGTGGTGCTTTGTCTCTATGGCGACTTATTTTTCTTTTACATTTACAAATATCTCCATGAACTCTATCAAATACAGAAGAAAGAAATATTCATTGGGATAAAATATGAAAAAGAAACCAACTCTTCTGGACAAAATGTTTGGCAAATTGGATACTTAATACCGAGTTCGTCGAAATCCTCCTTGGAAAAGTCGATTTCTTCCTAGAAAAAATGTTTCAAAATTGAGAAATCTAATCAGATTTATCAAATGATAATTTATCCGCACTTGAAATCGAACAGAGGAACGAGTGTTAGACACCATTTACACCAAATCTTATTACTGAATCGCTGCGTCGTCGGCAAAATTTGAAAGTATTATACTCTTTCTCGCCTACTTTTTTTTCTAATATTTATGTTCGAGATTTATGCAGTAACCGTCCACATTCGATTTGCATTGTCGTAGCAACGAGAAACAAGAGAGAAGAACGCATAAACTAACAAGAGTAAAAAAACAGTGAAAAGAAGCTGCTTGCTTGTGATTGCGTGTTCTATGATAAACATTTCTTTTTCTATGGAGTAACTTTCAAATGAAGCATGAAGTTTCCTTCAAGAGCGATAAAAGAAAAAAAATATCTCGAGAAAAAAGAAAAAATCCGGCAAACATATTGATTCTACATTGATCTATCAAGGTGAACTGCGTTATTTGTAAAAATCAGCAGTTTATTGAGAATAAAATTTACAAAAAAACATGACGCATAATACACTCGCCAATAAATCACGGTAAAACTTATTTGTTTTTTAAAATTTAAATCATATAAAGTCTAGATTATTTGCTGATTTGTTGTTAATTTAATCTAGTTCGCACGCAAACAAAGTTATTATCATTTGAATTGTTGAATATCGATCATAGAATTATTTTCGATTGTAGACAGATGATGAATTATGGAACGAGCTCGATATTAGGTTTCATATTGACCCTCAAGAATTTGAAGGTAATCGAATTCATGGTATTATCCAAATCGAACCTGAAGAAGCTCGAAAAACGATTGAAAACCTGAGAGTAAGTGTTTCTTTTACCTAATAGATACTAATAGTTTGAATTTATGACTAAGTCATTGAACCACAACCAAAGTAAATATATAGTTTTTGATTAGTTTCTGTTTTAAAAATTAGGATTCTCAAAAAACGACATGATTTTTTTTTCTTTATAGTTGATCGTTGATGATTGTAGCGAACATGTATTTGATAGTAAATGTAAATGTATAACAGCATCTGGTTTTGATACAACGAAAAATGAGAACATGTCGTTCCATATTGAAGCAGTGTGCAAAGATAAACCAACAACAAGTAAACTGTCTAATAAACATGTAGGTTATATTTAGAGCTCGGCTCGATTTTGACGGAGTGACTCGGAGAATATTTGTTTTTTTGGAGCCATGAAAATTGTTTTTCACAGTGAAAAATTTTCACTGCTTAACGTTTTAATAATATGTTGTTTGATTTATCAATAATTATTAGACCCTTTCAATGATCGATAAATTTTCTTCGTTCCTACCAATTATAAGCTTAGAATGGAGCTCTTCACAAGCCGATCTTATTGTTAAATGGTATCGCCCTGATGGTTTGAAAGTTAAACAATATATTATTATTTTGGACACAAAGGAAGTATATTTTGTAAGTCTACTGATTGAATAAATGATAACAACAATTTTCTATATTCATATATTAATTTATAATTTAGATGCGTAAACCATTAGAAAAAAACCTCTATGCAGTTTCTATCGGTAGTTTCGCGCCTCAAAAAAAGCCTGTTCAGCACACCATTAATATAAAGGCAATACTTGAGAGTAAATGATCTTGTTTTATTACTATTAGATTACTATTCGTTTATCTTTGAAGACGATGAACACGTAGAACTATCAGCTCCACTTAGCTTTACTGTGCCTGATAAGTGCCATAAAAAAGATATGCAAATTATACAAGTCTCTCAAGAAAAACATGAACATCATGATTTAAAAAGTTTGTTTTCTTTTTTTTTTATTATAACTATTTACTCATATTTAATGATTTCAATTATTCTTAGAATTTAATTCTGAGAATAAAAGCACGAACAAACAAGCACAGCAGACGTCAAGACCACAAGTGGCTAAGCACCCAATAAAAACGCCAGAAGTTTTTACACCATTACAAAATCAAACTAAACAGAACCGAAGTTCTGGCAAAGAGCCGATAATACTTTCCTGTGGTTGTCATGAACCACACAAATATTTTCCCGGAATAGAGCATTACCTTAACATAAACACCAAAGAGTCATCAATATTGTCGCTTTCTCAAAAACAACCAACGCACAATCATAAGGAAACCAACGTTCAAGATCGAAGAAATAAAAATTCTAATAAAGCAAACATCGCTGATGATAATGTACACTCTACAAACAAAGAGAACAATGATCATGATGATGATGATGATGTAGTTGCTACAAATATTTTTGATATGTCGCAATGAACTTTATAAAAAAAAAAATAGTTTTATTTTGTAACGAAACTAAAAGAAAAAATAATAATACATATGATACCTGTTTTTTTTTGATTATTTTAATCACAGATTGATTTTAACATAATCATCTTAATGGTGACTGATAAATCGTGAACATCTTCGATCATTTACATTATGTAGATAAATAATACGCTAACAAAACTTTGAAGTGAATTCTATACTAATAAACGACTCAAATAAAAAAATGATACTGAAAGTGGCTCATTGCATTCATATTTACGACGTAGTTTAGATAGGTCTAGCTATTGTTTTGTTCTCTTTTACAATAGTGGAAGGAAAGTGATCACGCAAAGACATAAAATAAAGCAAAACAATGAAGTGAGCTTTACATTCTAAAAAAGTTGTTTACTATTTTTGATTTATAATACGATTTAATTGCAACGTTTTTATATCTATTGAGACCATGATCGAGAGTCCTGTTGCAGTTTGAGTGCGTAGATTTTTGCCTAGAGAAAAAGATACAAAGCGAAAATTAGAACCGTTCATATGTGATTATCTCGCATAATAACTCAAATCATCATCAACAAAACAAATCAGAACAGTTTTTGATGAGATCTGAGGATCCAAAAAAAACGGGAACCGAATCGTTTTGCAATAGCGAGTAAGATAAAGAAAAGGGTAAAATTATTTTATGTCTGGCTCTATGATTGCTGATTTTAGAAAAAACAAATGCGAAAACCTCGGATTTAAATCCGACTGTTATGTGTACTTCAAAAAGTGAAAAGGTATATTCACTTTTTTTTTCTATAAGACATAGATCTCATCAAGATAATCCCTTGTTACTAAATTGCAAGGAGAAAATACAGGCGTGCTAAGTTAGCATGGACCACACTGTATGCGACCATATCCGGTGACCACTGACTCTACTCTTAGAGTGATATAATATCTTTAGAAATCACAGAAATTAAGTTCAGATTCGTGTTTAGCTTGGAAAACTGGGTAAGAAGAGTTATTTTTGAATGGATTTGCGCTTGTATCTAGCGGGATTACGATCGTAAGGAACCTCATGAATCTATAAGAGATATATGATAGATATAGGCATCAGTATTCTCCTAATAAATCACCAATATTAATATATAGCTATCGAGTTCGGGTTTTTACCTTTCGATAGTCCTTTTGACTAGCTACAAAACCAGGCATTTGAGAAACTCCAAAACTACTGGTCATCTGAAATATATTTAGCCAATTTGGTTTCTGGATGGAGTTTTTGTGCATTTTTGAGACCCTTTTCAGTCGATATTTTGTTAGAAAGCTAAGATTTGGTTCAAAACTAATATCAGATTCGGAATCAGCGTTAAAAACTGAGTCGATTTATATGTGTTGTGAATAATTCTAAGAAAAAATTGTTTTTTGAAAAATCCCTGTACCCCCCCTCAGCGTTGGATTGGCCAATAATGACAATTTTTTCGATAACTCAACCATTTCTTGGCGGATCCTTCTCATCTTCGAACTCGACTGAAACATTAATGAGGCTGAACTGTGTAGAAAATTTCATCATGATCTAACTCTCCTTTCGAGAGTTATCGTGTAAACGGACGGCCGGACACACTGACCGATTCTAGAGTCTACTCACTTTTTTCAGTACACAAAAAGGAATTTCGTCGTAACCCTAATCCACTCTCCCCCGACGACTCCCCGGGGAGTCCCCGCAAAATAAAGAAATCCCTGGGGAGTCCCTGTCGTGAGTCCCCGGGGACTTTTTATTTGGGGGACTCCCCGGGGATTTCTCTGGGGAGAATTGGTGAAGTTTTTTAAAATCAAAAAAAAACTTTTTAATTTTTTTAAATTTTAAAAAATTTAGAAGAATTTATTAGTAATTAGATATTTCATCGGTTTTGGTCATATAACTCCCCGGGGAGTCCCCAGTGAGTCCCCATAAAAGAACGAAATCCCTAGGGACTCCCTGTCGTGAGTCCCCGGGGATTTGTCAGGGGACTCCCTGAGGATTCTTCTAGGGAGAGTTGACTAGGGAATAGGTCAGAATCATTTGAGAAAACTATCGCGTTCGATAGAAAAGCATGAAAAATCGATGGGATATAGAAACCCACACCCACACCCCAAGTTACCGTGAAAATTCTTAGACTTTCCGTCCGAAATGTTGTCACTTGTTCTACTGATTTCTGATGTTTTTTACTAAGACAACCATCCTCTACTTCTCGACTTACATATTAGAAGAGAAATTTTGTTTTTTATTGATCTAAATATAGCGGGCGCCCCCCCCCCGACATGTCATCCCAGGTCGAACAGTCCAGCCTAGAAACGGCCGGTTCCGGGTAGTTTCGTTGATTTTATGGAAGCAGTACTCCGGTTGGAAATTTTTCGGATGATTTCCGATCAATTCCTGCCGGAAAGCATCGGAACTTGGCAGGAATTTGCCGTTAAAGTCCAGCCTTGTTTTTGATCGGAATACTGCGTCCATGTTCCAGCGATTTTCGTGTTTTCCTGCAGGATATGGTGACTTTTCCGCATATTTCCTGGAGTGTCCTACGGAATCCGGTGGCCTGAATGTTCGACCTGGGCGATCGTTGCAAACTATGACAGATCCCCAGATGAATGAATCCGACAACGGATCGTATCGAATCCTATGGGATCCGACTCCCCGACAGAATCCGATAGGATTCCTGGGCACGAACCTATTCTCAGTCCCGACGGAAAAAAATCATTTTCTTATTCACGATCAAACAAGTATTTTGAGCCATCAGAGCGCAAGGGTGATTCGTTCGAGTTGGACTCCGTTAAAATCCAACATCGGATCCGATTGGATCCAACACCAAGGATCCGACTGTAGGTCCGTGTCCAGGAACACCATAAGATTTCGTCGGTTTTATTGAAACACATATGGTATTTGGTATATTTACTGTCTGACCCTTGTCGGAATTCAATAGGATCCTACTGTCGGAATGATTCCCTGGGGACACTATACATTAATAATGGCTCATTATTATTATTTCCTTAATACGTTTCTGAAATATTTAAATTATACAGACATTACACTAATTCATTGTTATTGTGTTTTATTTTTGAGTCAATATTTAAATCATTTAAAAACAATTGTTAAAATTAAGCTGAAAAAATAAGCATTGTCAGGTCTTGTGCTTGAACTGATAGGAAAATAAAATGAAAATTCAACACAAAAAACGTTTGCATAGAAACAGATTCGATAAGATTTACATCGAAGATTCATGTCGCATAAATATTATAACAGTTAGATAAAATAAATAATAGTTTAATTTTGTGGACATGATCGAACAGAATATTAATTGGCATTTTAACGACCCTTTTCCTAATAATTAGAAAAAAAAAATGTTTTACTTTTTAATTTTAAATTAGATAAAAGAAGTATTTTACTGCAATTGCAACTTCCAATTGGCCATTCATTTCGTCAATAGTGACGTTCAATTTAGCCAAATCCTTCTGTACTTGTTTAAGGCCATTCAGAGCATTACTTGAGTCAACATCAGATTTTACTACGTCTTCCGTTTTATCGTTACTATCTGAATCTGATCTATTTTTGATATAAATTTATTAGAATATTATTATAAGACATAAAAACAACATTATGTTACTTCGTTAACAGTGCTTTTACTTGCTCATGAGCGTATTCATCTGTTGATGATTTTTCAAAAACATACCATTTTTTAATATTAATTGCCTTCGTAGGAATAATTTCTACAAATATTCAATTAATGAACATTCAAAAAAAAATGTTTTATTCTTACTAAATACTGTCGGATGAAAGTTTGTTTCGATTTCCCAATATTTTCGTCTTACGAAACGGATGAACACATAAAACAAATAATAAATATCATAAATAAGACTGAGTGGTGGCAGGAATGGCGAACGTGTGAAATATTCACGTGTGAATAAGTATCGTTGTGTAAGCCATATATTTTTAGTATCTTCATAAACTTGATCGAATCGTTTGCTATTACAATAGAAAATAAATTAATATTCGAAAAGAAAAAATACACATTATTGTACCTAAACATGGCTATAAGTAAGTTAGTTAATAGAATATTCACAAAAATCATATGAATAGCAAGTAACACATGATTTGCTATCGACCATCCAGCATCAGGATTACCTTTGTAACAGTACACCAAAAAAATATATACAGCGCAATCAATACTTTAAAATATACATACTATCTAGATTCGTTCGCTCGTTGCCAAATTGTGAGTGTAGTAAATAGTAAACAGGATATAAAATATTAGCAAAAACAGGTTTGCCACTGAAACTAGTATCGATCGGGTTACCATTATCTGTAACACCGTTCGATTTTGGATAATAAGTCATTGAACGAGATGCAACACCATAACCAATCATAACAATCGCAATTATAATCAGAAAAGACAACAGATCACTGAGCTATAACAACAATAAACATAAATAAAATGATTCAATCTCTGTATGAATGTTTTAAATACCATTTTCGTAATAGCTACAATATGTGGTCCAAGAGCTGGCAGTATGATGATAAATGATAGAGAACGAAGCCACCAAAGTTCAACGTCAATAGCCATTACAATTCTAATAAATATGTTTGTAAATGTCTTTTAATATACTTGCATTACTTAAGAAATATCTATGTATCGATACGAACAAGTAAACTGTCCTCAATTTTTAAGACACAAAGTCACAAAAGTCCGTGTGAATAGAAAGACGTCTCTAAGCTAAACTAATTGACATTCATTCTCCCACTCACTTAGATCTATACGTATGTCTAAATCTACAAGAACAACCGCCCCGTTCACTTACGAACTGACATAAAAATAAAATATTAGAAATAATTTCTCAGCAAAAGTTTTTATTTTCTTTCGTAAACTTTTCGATGGAATTATTATATTCGCGTCGATTAATCGATAACTAGTTTAATTAGAAAAGCAAACAAATAAAATTCATAAATTAATTCTAATTTCGTTCTAACTAGTATGAGTGTCTCTTAGTATTCATACTTTTAGTATTTCTTTTACAGTTCCCAACAGTTTATAGGATTTTTATTTCGAAAAGTTGAAATAAAAAATCTACTTGTTTTTTCAATCCAAATGAGGCATGAATATTTTATATTTTTTAAAGAAGATTCAGTAAACAAACCTAGCTGCAACAAAGTTTGCTTCCGTACTTGCATTAGCGAATCGCAGAATCAATCCAATATAGAATAGGGTCAGTGAAATTACCGTCAATACTTTGAATAGATCACGAAAATAATGTTCTATTCTTCCGAAAAAACTTAAACTATCTTGAGTAATAAACTGAAATGAAAGAAACAAACAAAAAATAGACAATAGTAAAATTGTTTCGTTTTTAATTTATAATACATACACAGTGAATTTCTTCTATCAATATACATGTAACAAGAATAATTGTTAATATTTCAGTCCAATCAATTGATACAGATGCATTTGTGGGTGGCTCAAATTTGAACAAAAGCACGTACGAGAAGAGTATGAGAAAAAATATATAACTAGTCTAAAATAATATGATTACTATATGTCCGTTTATATTCTCCAGGAGATAAGTACATACAAATTGATAAGCTATTTTACAAGCCAAATAATTATGAAATTTTTTAAATTTGTGATAATAATTATGTAATGAATAACTTGATTCAGAGTCAGGCTGAGAATATTCGAATTGCGTTGAATCATTATAAGTTATACCATTCTTTTCGAAACTAAAGTAAAAATATAAGTCGTTAACATTTTTTTAATCGATTTATGGTCTAATTGGTTTACTCTGGTGGCGTAGGTATATCTCCCTTTTTTATCTAAATGAAAAAAACGAAGATAATTATGAGACATATATTTAAAAAGATACAAATATGTTTAGAGTTCCATCGAAAAGAACTCAATGGTTTTCATATACTTCAGAAATTAAATATACATTTAAAGACAACATATATCCCTCTCTGTTAATATTTCTCATCTAAAGAGATCTGCGATTCTATGAAAATGATTGACAGCAACAGAACCAAAGTCGTAACAAAGTCATTGAGGAACCGCAAAAAGAATTGAAACTAAGTTTTTTAGGAGCTCTTTGCATTCAAATAAGTATATCTTAAAGACATTATTTTATGAGAATTCCTACCGTTTTCTTTTATTGTTCGATTTCAATATGATTTATCCCAAGTGTTAAAAATAGAATAATTTGAGTTTCTCAAAAATGCTTCGTTCTATGTATCCGATTCTTCCACTGTTTTTACTATGCATGACTAACTTCTCACCTGTTTATTTTGTTGATACTTGACGCATAGAGGGGCCAATAGACCAAATGAAATAATTCCAAAAAACAAACCCAATCGACGGCGTTTTAGTTTTTGGTCTGGATCAACTTTATCATACCAAATATTATCCATAGCTTGAGAACAGCACGGCGCTGCAATGAATAATTTATCTTTCGCATCAGACGCTACCTTCAAATAGATATTAAAACAAATTGTTTTCTACTGATAACAGAAAAATTATTAAATATACTTGAAGACAAGTAACATATCCATAGAGTTCATTTTGTTGTAAAATAATTTCGCATGCTTGCTTAATATTATGATCACCAGATGCAGCTAGGCAATCAATTGCATATTGTTCAAAATATTTTGCCTTTTCTAAGTAATCATCTTTTAAATGACCATAATCTGCTTTTGTATAATATTTTTTTAAAATTTTTGTTGCAATCAATGCTGGACATATACGATATTTCATAAAGCATAAAAATACTTTAGCCATATCAGTGCGATTCACAAGTATAGCCCATAAAAATAAGTCACGTAGTATATAATCATATGGTTCTAGTCGTCCTATCATAGTTAATGAATAGCTTTCATTTAGATTATCATCAGACATACCTTCAGCTTGTTGTTGAAGATTTTTTTTTAAACCCCATTTGCGTACATACTGTTCTTCATCGTCTGGTGTTTCAAAATAAAGTTCATGCATATAATCACCAATTATTGTAGTTAGAACTGTATTAAGTGACTCAATATTATAAATTTTTCCTTGATCTTCATTCGAACGGGCTTCTATAAAATATTTTAAATGAGTTTTATCTGTTTCCTAGAAAATGAATCATCCGTAATCTATGATAAGTCCTTTTTTATGAATAAAATTCTTACCACTATTTCAGGCGTATAGAGCGTTCCAATAAGTATCTCGCATGGGGCTTTCTTTTCGGGGAAAAATATAACGGTAGGATCAAATCCCAATTTGAGAAATTCATGGACGAATGCTGGTAAGTCGTCCTTTAAAGCCTTTACAAAAATACCTGGAGGATTCTAAAAATGAACAAATCAATAATAGAAATCTACAAATGAAATAAATATGAATACCCGGATAGAATTTAATGAATTTTGAAAAATAAATTCCCTTGCGACCTGAATGCAGTTCCATCTCATCGCCAACTTAAGTAGTTTGGTTCCTTCTGTCATTGCTTCCTGTCTAGCATTCGATTCATCTATTGCTTTTTGAACATTATGTACTTCATCTGGTGTCTTGGATTGCGATTTAGTTTTTTCAGATCGACCACGTTTAATTTCATCTTTTTTTAGCTTTGCTACTTTTTCACGCGCTAAAAAGAGACTCCCAGTCAAAGATAAACACAAATTTGTTAACAATTTATTTACATACAGCGACAGATGCTTCGAATTATTGCTTCTGACAACTCAGCTTCAGAATTCAAATTAAATACATTTATATGAGTCCGAACTGCTGGTTGTAAGCAAAACATAACTGTATGAGTTAATAAAGTATTTTCGTCTTGTTCTTTGGTTTTATTCGATTTATCCGATTTATCTTCTCGAAGAAAAGTGTCTTTTATATCTTTATATAATCGATCGAAGTGCTTTGCAAACATATTGGGAAGTCTTAAAGGAAATAAAAATAGAGAGATCAAAAAAAAAAAAAGAAAAGCCGCTGGTTTATATATTTACACGGAATGTTCAGAATTAAGATGGCGTTCAGTACGATTGCCATTTCTATATAGTATAGAAATTTGCAAATAAAAGGAGAATATGAAGCATGATCCTACCGAGTATTCGATGCGTGTTGTTCGTGATGTTCAGTTGCATTGTGTAACTCATGATCGTCACCAATTAATTCATCAATACCCCATACTCGTTTTTCATTGGCACGATCATTTTCAACGTCCTTCGTTAATAATAACCAGCGACTGAAAAAATCAGCAGCACGACCACTACCCTATTTATCAAAGTATACTATTTAGAAAGTGTTGATGGTTAATTCAATTTTCTTACGTCAATAATAACAACAGGAATACTGGATTTTAAAACAGAATATATACTTTTTATAGTTTCTTTACCACCTTCAACCACAATAGTAACCACGGGTACTATATACAAAAAAACATAAATTATCTTTGACCTATTTTATGCATACTTCTTTGTATCAATCCTAACAATTTTTTTAGGGACGGAGATAACTTTTGAATTTCCATCTTATATTGAAAATGATCAAATAGATCGAATTAAAAAATTTATCGGCATAGTTTTCAATCATATAAGATATCTTATTTACATTTCTTGTTCAAGTACGTTAAAATCGTATCAAATTCAGATATAAAATGATGAATCAACAATAAATAATAATTACAATTCTGTTTTTATTGACCTTCAAAAATCCATCTTGTTTTGTCATTTCTACATTCCATGGTAACAATTTTCGTCCATTTATTATTTCTTCTTTTCTCTCTCTCTCTCTCTCTCTCTCTCTCTCTCTGTTTCTTTTGTTACTATGAGCGTGAAACTTACTTGCTATGTTTTGTTATTCCTATAATTTCGATTTAAGTATTATTTTATTTGTTTATAATGAATCATTTATTTGCAAACTATCCTAATCACCATGATCGATAGAAAAAAACAGGCTAAAGCTTGATATGTTTTATATTACGTAGTATTGTTGGAGAAGAGTATTTTAAGTAGTTCAACTATCAAGAGCATTTATAGAGATTCCTGAAGGTCGATATTATTAATGGCTAACTCGTTTCTTCGATACGAGAAGACCCCTGCAAGTGAAGACATATTAACAATGCTAATTGGGATAACTGGGACAACAAGAAATCAAGAAATGTCATACTAACTCTAAACTTACTACATCTACATGCGCTCATAAGCGGTATACGACGCTTCAGAGGTCATCATCAAATTTTAATTGATACAATGTCGGTTATCAATCAAATACAGTTTTTATTTTAATGAGTAGTCTTATTAGCTTTTACATTCAAAGACAAAGTTTATAAAAGGCTATTATTTTTATGTTATACTTTGAAAGCAAAACTGATATTTTTTCAGTAACATAAAGAAAAAAAAGAAGACAGCGTTTTGTTCATCTATATTGTCCTATTGACCATGTATTTCATACACTATACGATTAAGTTTATTACTATATCATAGCGTGAATTTAAATGATCGGTAAAATGAAATCATTCAGTCATTATATTATGGTCAATAATCATAAACTGGCAATACGAAAAACTTGATATTACTACTAGCAATGACATTTTTTAAAGATTTTTCTTTTAAATTTTTCTTTCACCATTAAAAATTGTAAGGCGCCTGTTCGAAATTAAAAGGTTATTTGCTTATCCCTTTCCGGCCCGGTGTTGCCATATGGCAACATTTTCCCCTAGGGGGGTACGGCAATTTTCAAACAGCGGGCCGGAAAGGGTTAAATAGTCATTCAAAATGTAATCGTGATATTTGAAAGAAGACTCGACTTGAAACTAAAGAAACAGTAAACATACCGAAAACATCATCATCATTATTTAATCGTGCCATATGAGTAATTAGATGTGTTCGATAATCTCTTGTGTCATAGATATACCGTGTACCATCATCTAACATCAGATAATGACTATGATGCTTTGCAAGATCCCATTCTCCACGGTGGCGTACTGTTGTTGTCTTGCGAGATTCAAGATACGTTGTATGGGAAGCTTTCTACAAAATAAAGCATAACGATGTTTATTAATGTCTTTTTCATGAGCTCTAACCTCCATGGTTTCTTCCAGTGGTTGATTTATTATTGATTCCAAATCTTTTATACAACCCCATTTGCAAATACCGATAGCTGTAATGTTAGTTTTCTTAAAATTTGATAATTTATATTTGCTAATTGCTTGTCCAATAACTTGTACGATACCACTATTATATCCATTAGTAATTAGCCATCCATCTTAAAAGAAAATAAACAACTATTTAAATAATATAATTGTATCGCTACATACTCGGTTCTTTAATTATTTCAATGACACCGTTTATGAGATTTGCTTCAAGTTGATTACTCATTTTAAAGTATTTTACTCCACCAATGATAGATAAAATAAATTGAGGTTTTGGAATTTTCCAAGACTCAAGAAGAACTTTTTCTACTTTTTCTACAGGTGTATTCACAGCTAATCGTAGAAACTAAACAAATAAAAACAAATTATAGCATAATGAGTAATTTCGATGTGTCAATTTAAGATTCTGATGATGAATATCAAAATTATATATCGAACGCTCAGTGTTCAATTATTTCGATGTACCCTTTCTAAATTTTCATGAACATCAAAACTCAGTTCGTCTCAGAAAGAAATGGTGGCAAAGAATAGTTTCCGTTGAACATTCCAACTATTATTTTTCTATGAAATTCATTTTTGGATCCATAAAAAGACAATAATTTGACGATTCTATTCGTTATTATAACGTTTGCGGTGAATCATTAAAAACAAGATTTTTTTATTTAAGAAATTATTGTTTTGCATATTCCTTACTCCACTCGAATTCTAGATGTTATATTAACAGTGTAATGGACAAATATGATATTAGATTATCAAATAAGATTTGTCACAATGCAACGAATCGATATCAAATATAGATGAAGCAACAAAAATTTATGATTACTAGTCAAAATCATTGGGAAAGGCGTATTCTGGAAAATGTTTGGCATAGTCAAAATTTAAAACAGAGACAATTGAAATTTTTATGCTACTGACATTTCTTTTGTTAGAATAATCGAAATAATTCGCCTAACAAAGGTTCTAATTATTGAATAATCAAAAATTCGATTGGTTGCTAGTGGCTAAATAGAACTAAATAAAAATGACTAGCATTATATCGATGGGGTTTCTCTCTCGACGATAGGGCTTTCAATTTTGAAGTGTAGAATATGAATGTCCAATAGTATGTCATTTTTGAGTACTCAAAATCTAATAATGATAGACGAGTTTTGAAACAGAAAATGTATGAAGACAAATAAAAGATATTTTACAGGTTGTACAGTGAACTAAGTAACTATCTTATCATACCCATTCTTTATCATTAAGTAAACCATATGAAGCCTCAAGTTTTCGAGGATCATTCGTATTTTCCAAAGTAGAGCTGCTTGATATTCGCGGTAATTTTTTATTCTTTCGTAGTATGCAAGTTTCGTCGTGAAAACTTAAGAAAAAAACGAGATACACTTTTGAAAATGTTGATTAAACTCATTACTCGCTGTCTAGACTTTTTGGGCAACACACATGATGACGAATATGTAATTGATCAATTATACTTTTTGCTTTCCATTCAAGTTCGTTCTAAAGTGAATAAATGAAATTCAATTAAAATTCTTATCCAACGACAATTCATTCATACTGAATAATCTTGTGGCAGATGATATGGTGCTGAACGAGATCTATTCATTCTTTTATTCTAAAAAGAGTTATACGAATTTCAATGATAATGTTTCAGCCTAAAAATGTATTGTTTAAATCTATTTGAATTTCTTTATTTCAAATTTAAGTCGAAGAAAAATTGTACACAACGATTGTTACTAAGCAGCCAAGAGAAAAGTAAATAGCGACGAGAGGAGAAAAATTATTCTTCATCTATTTTTTACTTTCCTCACTATAAATATGTTCGTTCTTTAATAATAAAAAATAATTGTAATTCTGTTCGGCGTGCATCGAGAGAAATAAAAAAAATGCTGCATTTAAATTATATACAACCATCCGCTTTATTATTGCCTTAACGCTTCAAGTTCATCTGAATCAAAAACACAATGAGTGCTGAGGGATTCCTAGGAAAAATAGGGTATAAGTTCTTTTTTTTATCATTTAAGTAATGGTGATAAACCTTTTCTGATTGTTTACAGTACGCATCCTGATAAACTAAATGAAGCCGTAAGATTGTTACAGTTCGTTTTAATTGATAAATACTGTCAATTTCACTATAGAAAGACGAAGAAATATGGGAAGGTATGAATATACAAATTCATCGTGCAGCTAGACAATTTCCAGATGGTAAATTGTATGCAACTATTACGATCGTGCCCAAATCTGCGGAACGCCTTATTGCAAGTTTCCGAGTAAATACCTTGTGGATAAAAAAAAAGAATTAGCAAATAAGATGAAATGATGAAAAAAGTAAAACTGATATGCTTTTTTTTACAATAGTTAATTGTCGATGGATGTGATAGAGATGAATTCGATGGATCTTTTCGATTCATATCTATATCAGGTTTTGATATCACAAAAAAAGACAAAACCATAGGTATAAAAATTCAAGCCTTTCCTCACAATAAGCATTATGAAACGATGGAAAAAATATCGAAACCTTGTGTATGTTTTTATTTTGTATGAAAAACAAGCAGCGAATAAATTTATTTATTTATTTATTTCAGTCCTTCTTCCTTAGTCGTCACAGATTTAAGCTAAGTCCAATTATATATTTCTTTTATGTCAAAGCAACTTCTACTTATAATATGACAATCAGATGGAATCATATTGGTGGTCGCGTTGGTCAAAAATATATTGTTTACTTCGACAAAAGAGAAATTCAATATGTAAATCGATTTATTAAATTTTCATGTATTGTAAAGTAATCTACATGAGCAATGTCTATCAGCCCGTTTCTATGAATAGAAAGTAACAAACATAAATAGTAGACCTAGATGTTGATTTAGTCAATGTAATTTTTTTCTTATTCATGAGCAACGATTGTTGAACGTTTTATGAGCTATCTATTTCCTGAACGTTTCAGATGGAAATAAATAATGGCAAATAGGACAGATTTATAAACAAAAGTCTATAAATGTTCTTCTGTTAGCTCAGTACTTAATATTGAGCAATCACAAAGTTTTACGTTTTAGAATATTTTCAGTAGACGAACAACTGTAAAAACAATATGATACGGTACTTTTTTAAAAATTCAACAGTGAATAAAGTAGTATTTTTTCGTATGACTAAAATGTGAAATTTATCTTAACGATTGTAACAGAAGACAGAATTGCGAAATGATCATAATCAAGCGATGTGAATGACTTACATATGAGTAACTACATTTAAAAAAGTTAATGGAAACCAAAAATGATGCTGTTCAACTAACCTATGGTGGGAAAGTCTTGGTACAATTCTTTTTTCTTTTTTTTCTCAACAAGAACTTCACTTTTAAGCTAATCATATTAAAAGAAAGTACGTATACACATGTACTAAAAATTAAAATGAACAAGCTGCGAATGGTTCTTTGTCTGCGATTTTTCGTAATTGCTTTCTTATTGACAAAAACATTGCTTGTACAGACTTCATGTCAATTCTTTTCAGCTGTTGTTGTATCCTTCGTTTCAATTGGTCGATCGTTTTGGCTTCCCAGGTCAAACAATCAGACAGTAAGATCTTCTACGATCGTATCTCTGATCTTATATGATCTTGTAAGATCAGATGAAATCATACGAAAAATTATAAGGTCAAATCATCGTATCAATTCGTACTGTACGATTTTTGTAAGATCTTACAAAAATCTTATGATATTGTAGGATCTTACAGAAATCTGACAGTAGGAATTGATACGATGAGTTGGCTTTATGATTTTTCATATGATTCACTCTGATCTTACAAGATCTGTGTGTAATTTTTTTGACCTGGATTCCCAACCACCGCCATAAACATTTTCTTCTACAATTTGCCAAATTGTTTCAACAGGACGTGCCTGAGGACAAATCTGTGGGTATTTTTCTTTAGGTACCAAATTGATATTTTTCTCTTCGAAAAAAATCGGTTACACTTGCAGCATAATGACTTGATACAAAATCAGGTCAGAATAACACTTTTTCGATATTTGTGATAGCTGTTCACAAACAGTATCAAACGTTCTTCAACACATTTTTTCAAATATGTTCTTTCATTAATTGCTTCTGTTCGTTTTGAAAAGAACGGCTTTAATATCCCTTTTTCAGATATTGCGATCCAGACCAAAACTTTAGCAGGATACTTTTGAGTGCGTTTGAATTTCACATCTAAAGGTGTGGTAGTTGGATCTGATGTGTAGAATCCACGATTAGTTGACACCGATTCATTGGTTAAAGTGAAATATTTTTCATCGCCCATAATAAGTTCAAAATCATTGTTCAATAATGTACGATATAAACGTAGAGCACACGTTGGCGCTTCTTCGATTTGTTTTTCTGTGTATCGAGGAGCACGTTTCTTTTTTCGATAGTGTATACCCATATCAATCAATTTACGTTGAATAGTCCTTCGATGAGCATTAAATTTTTGCGCTATGCTTCTTAATGAAATACCGATCTGGTGATTCACCAATCTTTTGAGACGTGTTCGTTGACCGGTACATATTTTTCGTGGATAACCACTTCTGACCCATGTCGTGAATACCGCTTGAATTTTTGCGGTAAACCGCGGTAATTTTAGAAAAGTGGTAAATTTGTATGAAATGGGAGCCGGTAACCGGAGCGGTAATACCGCGGTTAACCGCTAGTTTTTCCGGTACCCTTTTTTTACCGTCATCATATAGGAAAAAAAGATGCCTAAAATAGCCCGATCAATGACTTTTAGCAACAATTTTTATAAACGCTCAGCTAACCGGTTAATGGAAAAATACCGGCAGTAAACCGCGGTGTTTCCCGAAACCCCCAGTTTACCGCGGTAAATTTGTGTTGATGGGAGCCGGTAACCGGAGCGGTAAAACCGCGGTAAACCGTCAATTTTACTCCAGTTTTTCCAACATGGGGAGTTTGTCTCCAATAGTATACGACATGTATCACACTTCCAGATGATACGAGAGATGGTTTGACGTGGAATATTTTCGGTCAAAAAATGATTAGCAGTGATATTCTTTTTTTTTCTTAGCTACCGTTCTGTAGTGTTGTACAATACGCTCCGCAAGTTGCTCTCTATCAGAACGAAGCATTCTTTTATAGAAATAAGTGTGTGCAATGAATTATAATCGATTAGAAAGCTCTTTTTACGACCTCTTTAAAAAGTCACTAATGAGAAAAAATGGCTTACGTACATGTAAAAAATGACTAATATTTTTGTACTAAGACTTTCGCGCCATAGGTTAGATAACCTTTAAGCTACTTTTAACAAAAAAATGTACTTATATTTAATAATTGAAAAGCGATATTAAAGAAGTAGTCTGAAAATAGAGTTCTTTTAGATGAATAAATAATAGAGAAAATATCAGGATATGTAGGAAGATTGTGTCGTTTTATAAAATCTAATGTAGATTATCAACGAAGTCGGGAAAAAGTGCATTAATACGTTTTCACAGTTTCTTGTCTATTGAAAAAGTTTTTAATTCATGAAATTTTATAATTATTTTCGATTACAAACGTATGTATGATTACATAAAACATTTTCTTATTATTTTATTTGAGAAGTATGTATCGTAACGCTCTTGTGAGATACGTAGAGCAAACTCTCAAGTAAAAATGTATTCACACACATTCTCTAACATCAACCTTGTCCAGACAATATATTCAATTATCATGCTCAGTCTGTTACAGGTGGGACGACATTAAACGCTAAAATGTCATCGGCAAAGATAAAATGATTTTACAAGACAGAAATATTGTATTATATATTCTATAGATTAATCAATATTCAATTAATCCGGAGATGGAAATATGTATACATCATATTAAACCTGCGAGAAAGCATACTGTTCAAATTACAGCAAAACTTAATAGTGAATTTCTAGATTTTTATTCTGATAGTATCATTCAATTTTTCATTGTTCTAGATGGAAGAACAATATGCGAATCAGATGTCATCGCTGTTAGTGTGCCTGAGGGTGAAAAGGAAACAAATGAACTAGTTCCAACTAATGTTATCGTATTTGATAATCAAAATTGCCAGTATCATGAAGTTCTAAATATATTGAATGAACAAATTCCACAGAATTTTCCTGGTCTGTTCTGATCTATTTATTTTGTGTTGACTGCTTTTTAATGGTGATTCTTTTCAGGCATCATTATCAGTGAGGAAGATAAAGATTCAAAAAAATCTGAACCTCAAACAAAACTTCATTCATGTTACGAACGTGCCATACAACTGTATCAATTACTTGAAAAACAAATCAACGAAAGACAAAAGTACTACGAAGCATAAGCATAATATTTTTTTTCTTCCTTTTATTTTTATTTTTCTGCTATATAAAAATATCTTTCTGATAGAACATCATTTTCATTCAACAAATGATACAGTCTCATGTAACTTTTTTTTCGAGTCGTAACGCGTCTCTGAGCGTTTGTGAATGATGGCACTTCGCGCATCAGAACGCATCTAGAATGCAACATTTTCGGGAGCGCAGATGCGTCCAGGATAACCTGACGCGTCTACACTCGTTCAGTATCTAAACGTATCATAAGTCGTTTGAATTTGAAGACGCGTTAGTACCCGTCCAAAATGTAACATTTTCAAGCGTGGGAGCGCATCCAAAAGCAAACGCGTCTAAACTCGTCTGGATATAATATGCGTTAGAACACGTTTACTTTTTTACCCCAAAAAAATTAAAAATTATCATCACTCTGTGTCGGAATTGAGCCGATGCATCATATTAAGCTATGATATAACACCCAAATACCATGAGCAACAGAGTGGTAATTTTTCCAACGATAGCGTGAACCAAGGTTTGAACCCATGAACAGTTGATTACAAGCCGGATATAACTTGCGCTGAGCCATATATTGCTGGATATTATTATTATGTTCATGAATCACATGAATTAATCGTTTTACAGTGCTTTTGACTTATCTTGCTTTTTAAAATAAACATAATTAGGATATTTGTTTTAATGAAATCAAGATAACGCATTCTTTTTATCCATGAAATAACAGTGGGAAAAAACTCAAAATTTTGGTTACTGAAAAAATTAAGAAAAGCAAATATATCTGTCTTTGAAGGGTATAAATGTACATATACGCAGTCCCAGGTCAATGATTCCGGAGGACGGATACTGTAGGAACCGGCCGGAAAGATGCGGAAAAATCACCGTATCTGGCCGGAAAGCATGGGAAAGCACTGGAAACTGGAAGCAGTATTCCAGTTNGAAAGCACTGGAAACTGGACGCAGTATTCCAGTTGGAAGTTACCGGATTTTTTTCCTGTGGATTCCGGTCAGTTTCCTGTGTTTTCCGGTCAGTTTTCTGTGTTTTACATCTGGAAGTTGATCGGAATCTACAGGGAGAAAATCCGGTAACTTCCAACTGGAATACTGCTTCCAGTTTCCAGCGCGTTCCTGTGCTTTCCGGCCGTTTCCCGCCGTACGTCCACGACCTGGGGTATAATAATATTAATTAAAATTTTTTCCATCAGTATAAACACACTATAACAAGTATTTTTATAGAAAATATGAACGATATATCACAATACATAAATAAAAAAATCTTGTCTGTGTAATTTTTCGTAACCGTCATACTGTAATCTTTTAAGTCATACATCCGAAACAGAATGAATGATCTTATAGCAACAATTTTTTAAAGTTACTTAATTTGTTTTTTTAGAACAGAATATTGATTGATATTTGAATTAAAATATTTAAAAATTGTTTGTTTTGCATTTTTCAAATAGCTACGATGCTTTTTTTCGTTTTTCTTAACTTCATAAAATAAGTTTTACTTCGATGCACTGTTCATTTTAAGGATCAATAAAGATAATTATACTAAACTCTGCATCAAAGAGCATTTTTGTGCAGTTTTTAATTAGAAAGCAATTGAAAGTAAAACAAAATATGCATATCTAATTTACTTAGTTATTTACGACAATGATGATGAAAATCCTAACAATAATGTCAAGATAATAATCTATCGTGCGTGCAACATAAAGTACTTCCGAGTTTAAGGAAACATAAGCATACAGTTGTATTTGTAGCCTAATATTTTCACTAAAAACTTTCTAATAGAAATGCATTATCACAGAAATAGTCATTTGATAAAATCAATGTGTTAAACCAAACTTTATTTGATTCAATCCTCAATATATAAACGAAGACCGAATTTTAGAATTCAAAAGAAAAAATATCATGGGCATCATATACGTATTCAATAAAACTAAATAAATTTCTTTCTTACTTACCTGGATCAATAAGAGACTCTACTACCGCTAATTAACAGTTTCCAAAGACGAAATATAACACAAAGACTTTGCTCCTAATGCAATGTGGTATTTTAACTAGAGCAACCTCCGTTGTACTCAAGCCTATTTTTATATAAATGCAGATTTCGATAGCTATCATTCTTAGGCATGAACCAAAATCAAAACTAGTTTTGAAGTATCACTTACGCTACGGTATCTACAGTGAAATATAGATAATTCAATCGTACTGATCATCGATTGATACTCATTCGTGAATGTTGTCGTTTAGTTAAACATTGAGAATGCAATAAATTGTCCAACATTGTTTAAACTTGATCGACAACATCAGCTAAACATTTTTTACTAGCATCTGTATATGGATCGATTAGTTTGTGGGTGTGGGTGTGTTTTTAGAAAAGCAACCGTTACGCATTTCGACCTAGCTGAAGGGTCTCATCAGACGGTTTAATTTTAATTACTAATAGAGTCTGTTCTGAGGGTATGAGCTTGGGTCTCTTCTTCACCCACACCCACACCCTTTGCATGAAAGGCCTAATGGCACGAAATCTTTTAGGTCTGTTCTAGTCTCACTGGGTCCTACTTATGAGCACAATATGAACCAGAATGGTTGGTATCACTTGGAGAAGTTCCCTTGTAAAATGAGGAACTAAATTGCTCCATAAATATTCAACGTTTAGCAACAGTTTGTGAATAGGATGCCATGAGTGAATGCTTGATGTTCGGATTCAATTGATGGATCTATTCAACATTATTTGATAAGTTGTTCTATTGATTTCCAAGAGTGTGGGTATAGATGTGATGTGAATGCTGGTGTCTGGGACTTCGGTGTCTCTGTGTCTGCGAGTCTGCTCTTCAACCACACCCATACAGATCTAGCGATAACCACGCCCACACGCCCACACTCACACATCACGCCTTACACTTCACACCCACACCGCACAGTCTACACTTCACATCCACACATCACAGCCTACACTTCACATCCACACCTCACACTCTACACGTCACACCCACACCCTACACAACTCCCATCCAAGCTCATAGCCGAAACCAAATATTTTTGAAGAGAACGTGACAACTGTTAAGTAGTTCTAATTGTGAAGATGTACAATATGAATATTGATGAATAATCAATTATTCAAGAAGCCTCCGACAAGAGTCACAATGCGGGCCATTGTTGGGCCCACAAAAGCCATCGTGATATCGTCTTTCATTTTCTCTAGCCGTAAATCTTCTTCCACAATAAAATAAGCCTGTTTCTCCTTGCGTTGCATAACTTCCTTCATCATTACACCACGTTTGTATACCACCATATTCTCGGCAACTTGGACAGTTCGGGCCATTGTTTGGACCGCAATAACCATCTACACTAATTTTACCAAATGGTGCATTATTATTTTCCATGTTATGCCTTCCGCAATAGTATAAATCTGTGTAACCTTTTTCTGGATTGTAAACGCGAGGTTGCCTTACAGGTGGATACAATTTATTGAGCCCAACTTTGTCACCATTGCTCAACCGCTTACACTGGCGAGGTGCCCACAAGTTATGACAGTTCAGATCACCTCGAATGTCGGGATAATGCATGACAGAATCAGCATCGTACCTTCCAATAGCCATACCTTTTTTTACATAGTTGGCAGTATCTTTGCTCCAACATGTAACATATAGGTCACGATCTTCACGCTGATGTTCGTGTAGGAATCCTAATGCATGCATGAAGTCGTGTAATACATCACCTTTTTGAGCCCAGTTCGCTAGCTGTAAATTTTGCTGAGCTCCAACCATTCCAACAGCAGATTTGCACTCTGCCCCATAGCAAATGCGAATACGATTGGTTGCTGTACTGTTATACTTAAATTGAATACCAGGCGCAGCATCCTCTATGTCATCGATGGTATCGTAAACGATGCTTCGATATTCCTCCGGCAGATTGTCAGCAAAGTAGTAGTAAACAGTTATTGGATCATCTCTGGATGGAGCCTCTGAGTTAATTACGGCTTGTGGTGTTAATCCACTCCAAGTCGTTGCAAAAGGGTCGGTATTGGACATTACACTAGTTCCTATACCTCCCATAACGTTCAATAAATGCTGAAACTATCTAAAAAATGCACTAGCTTTCATACCGTTCAAAAGCTACAAAATAGTCATGATAGAAAATAAAATAAGCATGGCCAGTATTTTAACATAGTAATCCATCGAAAGCGAACATTTTGGAGTACGCCAACGCAGCTATACAGCAGTGTTCAGAAATGCGAATTCCATTTGCACATGGGTGTGAATCAGGATAAAGACCTTCTCTTCAGTCTCCTACTCGCACCCACCTACACGCTCTCGTTTATTTCATACGCACCAATTGAGAAAAGTGATGCGAACAGTGTTAGAATAGCGTGAGGGTTAGTGAAAGTGGATGGTGGGTGTGTTTATAGACATGAACAGTGGACAGACACCTAGAACGAGACCAAGACCAAGACCAAGACTCAGACTCATCCATAACCTAAAGAAATCGTAGTAATGCGGCAGATTACAAGTATTTTTTATAGGGAAGGGTAAAGGTTACTGAGGTCATAATCTGTTAATGTGCGACAGAAATGTTCCGGTCAGCATGCTTAGAAGATTTCAACGAATAAGAGAAGTAATTTTGAGCTAGATCAATATGTTTAAGGGTTTGGAAGTTTGGTTTTACTTTTATCCTCCATCCAGCTACATCTATACCTTCACGATGTACGGCTTCTTACCACTTCAAACAACCGATAGAGATTCTAACTATGAGGCACAAAAACACGGAGACGCGCTTCAAGGACGCCAGGATATGCAAATACAGCTTTTCAACGTGGTAAACTTAACTATTCGACCACATCTGAAGTCGTAACAGAAAATCCGAAAAAATGCTCCAAAAGGGACAGAGCATTTGAAAAGAATGAGAAGAGATAACAATTGTCCATTCAGCACGTAATACTCAGTGCTTATGGTAAATATATAACTGTAAATTAATGGAAAACAAACAGTTTCTAGAGATTCCATGAACAAGTACATTGAATCGCTACAACGCCGCTATCAGTCACAACAACCGTTTTTTTAAACTCGTCTAGCTGAAGAGCTAGAAGGAATAGCTAGCAAATGGAAAATGCTAGGTCTTAAGAGTATCTGTTTTATATGTTGTATTTCTTATGTGTGAAATACTCGAACAGCTAAGAATATCACTTCTGGAAAGAGAATTGAAATCTGCTGTTTTACATAAACAGTAGCAATCGGGCTGCGTGAAAAAGTTGTTGACGGTTATTTTAGTTAAAAAACTATACTATTTTGTGTGAAATACTCAAGCGCTATCTATTGATAAACAGAAATTTCAAAAATATCAAGATGGGTATTCTTTACGGGCAACTCTTCAATACTTGCACGGTGGAATATCTTTCTTTTTACAATCTGCAATTCTCTATGGGCTTCTTGCAATGTGTTCGCATTTATACTTTAAGCGTGCAACTAATTTAGTTGGAGAGCAACAACAATATGATATTCTATTCTCAGTTTCACTCAATAAAAACGACAGCAATTATTCCATCATAGTATTTTTTTCTTACTCTTTTTCTGAGAAATGTTTGTGCTATTCTTAAAGAAAAAAAAAGTAAAAGACCACAAAAACATTTTTATCGCTTTAATATTCTTTCCTGCTCCGTCGTAAACGAGAAAAAAAGAAAAAACGAAATTTCACATATACTTCCTAGTTGCTATTTTTTCCAATCCACTCTACGAAGAGGATGTATTTATATCTTGAGGGTATGGGTGTGGGTGAAGAAGAGACCAACACCCACACCCACCACATGGGTACTGCTTCATGGATTTCAGGTTGGCACTGTCAAATCCGAATATCGAATAATGCCACCCTAAAATTTCAATCCAAGTAGAACCAAAAACTGTTTTAGATAGATGAAATAGAACGTTTAAATTCGAATCTTGTTTATGTTATATTTGATTTTGGTGAAACATAGTTTTTAATGGATATGATGTGTCCAATTTTTCTTGTTAGTTCCCAGGAGATTCAATCCGACCAGTGGATCCGATCGTTTCCGGCATCGGATCCTATGGATTCCGTTGCTTTTCGGTCGGCTCCGTTGAATTCCGCCAGTTTCCTAACTAACGGATCCCGGTCCGGTTTCCGCCGGAAAAATTCCGTTAAGTTCCGCAAAATTTCGACCCGGAATTCGTCGGAAATCGACGGAACCGATGGGAATCGATCGGAAATGGTCCGAAGAAATCTGGGCCGGAATCCGTTAGTTAGGAAATCGTCGGAATCCAGCGAAACTGATCGGTTCCGACCGATTTCGATGTACCCTGATTCTCCTGGGTTGTGATTGGTTCAGAGCTGAAACGAATGAAGAATTCCTAGATGTTTCTTGTTACTAACTGGTATGATTGTGATGGGAACCAGAAATTTGAGCACGAGAAAAGATGAGCACGAAAAGATAAGCACGGAATGTTAAGCACTGGAATAATAAGCACCAATAAAATGAGCACAGGAAAGTTAAGCTCGAATAAACAAAACTCATACAGATACAGTGTACTGACTGACCCAATAAGTTTATTGACATTCTATGACAGAGTGTGGGCGTGGGTGCCACTAAAAGGTAAAATAAGAGTAGCACCCACGCACCGAAACGCACAATTAATTACGTTCTCTGTATTCATTTAGGGTGGATAATTAGACTATTGTACAGAATTTGTACTTATTATGTTTATGTTTTTATGTTTTATATGCTCTAATTAACATAAATTGGTTTGTTTATTCATTTTTTTTAAAGTTTTCTTTTCTTTCGTGCTTCTCTTTCCGTGGTCATCTTTCCTCGTGCTCAACTTTCACCAATCCGATAGTGATGACTAAAACACTGACAAATGTACTCTCCATTCAAATAACAAGATGTTTCAACATAGGCCATGCTATATATTCCCTATAGATAAGCGATTGTTTCATAGACGATCGTGTTCAAACTTTGCTTTTTATAATTTCATTTTTAATACACTACATCGATTTTTGATGCTCGAAAACCTCAAATAAGAAGCTGCAGATTATTATTATTTAAGATGGTAAAAATAATGTACACAAAAATGTATCACATTCGCATAGCATTTTTCCATAGCCCGCAGTTGTCGGCATTGATGAAAGTGAAAAAATCAAGACGAAGAAACTGAGATAACAGTAGTAAAACAAGCATTCTTTCGGGAGATTCAGTTACCACTCAAATATCTTATTCTCTGCGCAAATTTCAGTAATGCAATATTAAACAGATTACATTTTATTCAGATGAAAGATAAAAAAATCCTTTTTTCTAGTAAGAGTTAAAAAACACCTAATAGGATTAGAAGCAGGGGTGCCCCAACTGGGGAGGGGTGGGTGTAACCCCTACCCCCAATGTTCGAAAAATTGTCTTGAATTGTGTTTTACAAAATAAAACGTATACTATCTTAAGCGTGATTTTATAAGTTATTCTCAGTATTGGCAAATGTTGAACTCAAAAATCCAGAATTCAAATCTCAAAATCCTCAAAAAACTCCTGACAAATTCGAAAAAAATCGAGAAAAAATTGTGAAAATGCAGGAGTTTTCAAAAATCGTGGAAGATCTGACAACATTGGTTATCTAAGTTTTGCTTTCTCACGACACTCGTGACCCTAGCATTTTGAAGGAGAAAATTTTTACGCCCCTGGTTGTATGTTTTAATCGTGGAGCTGTTATCCCAAAAAGCTTTTGATTTGAGTCCAAGAATTTTATAAGCAATAACTTCTATTGTTTGTTAATTAAGGAAGAAAAGGAGTTTGACATTGAAAAAATATCACATATTCTTAGAACAAGATTTTGTTGAAAATACACTCTAGTGATCATTAGTAACTGCGAACAAAAAGCGTTCAATTGCAAATGTTGATAATTGTCCACTTGGGCCATTTAAATGATAATCAAAGCCGTGTGTTGCCCATGATAATTCAAGAAGATATTGTGATACGTCGTTTTGATGTAATTTAGTACTTAGCCGACGACTTTGCGCACTTGCTACTAGCCCATCAGTAGAACCGTGCAAGATAAGTGTTGGTACACTTTGTTGATTGACAAACTCGATTGGTGAACTTGCTGCATATTTATCTGGAATTTGATGATAATCACCACCCAAATATTGAACCAATACTTTCCTTGAATTTATCACAAGTGGATTGGTCGGTATCGTATATCCTCGAATCATATCCGCTGGTCCATAAAAATCAACTACACCTTTGATGCCCAGTTGTCTGATGGTGTAAGCTGTCAGTAACGCTATTTGTCCACCGGCTGAGCGACCGAGTAGTACGAAATTATTTGTATCAATATCTAATTCATCGGCATTTTTACGCAAGTAGTTTAAGGCCGCAGTTGTATCTTCTATAGGAGCAGGAAATTGCCATTTTGGAGCTAGGCGATAATTAATAGCTGCACAATGATAACCGACACGTGCGAGATGATTATTGAGTTCGGGCAATTGTTTACTATCGCCAATCGCCCAAGCACCACCATGTATTACTATTACACAAGGTCGTTTGCCTGTAACACTTGATCTATAGTAATCGAGTGTTAAAGTTGTATCACTATAAGTTACATATGTTAATGTACGGAAAGGAACTTTTGGTACTGATTGGAAGAGTTTAGCAATAGTGAACGGTTGATTATTTATTGTTTTATCACCAGTAGCCGAGCCCTTTTTCATGGATGGGAAAGATTTTTCTAAAGCATCTGCCAAAGTTTGGCCAATAAAATAGGCTCGTATAATAGGAGATAGAAACAAAAATATGGCAATCAGACCAATAATAGTTTCGAATAGCGTATAATTCACGGCATATAAGTTTATCATGAGTAATATATTTGTAGGCCCAGCAAATAGAATAGAATATTCGCTTGCAAATATCGACAGAATCCATAACTCGGAAGTAGGAGCTTTGAAGACAAGTAGCAACGAAATCAAGAAGAATAAAGTGAGACCAGCTAGATGAAACCTACAATATGAAAAAAGAGAAGAATTATATTCGAATTTCAGCATGATTCATTTTTGTTCAATCATTTTCATTCGAAATCAATGCTTTCCGTAGCTCTGAATGCTATTTTTAAACAATTACAGTATTAATGACAACTAAATATGTTGTAGAAAAATATTATTGTGAACCTTTCACAACTTACGATGTTTTGTACATAAGCAGCAATAAACAAAAGCCGAGAAATCCGATGATAGCAGTGCGAATATTCATGTTGACTGGTGCGTAAGAATATAACGCACCTAGTTTAAGAAACGTCTGAAAGAAAGATAGATATTTTCACTAGTTGTGCATATTGTAACACAATTTAATATACTCCAAAATAAAATCATTTTCATTAACTAGCAACGTCTCTATTAAGATTGATACTTTTTCACTCAGCTAACAGTAAGAAAAAGATACAGAATTGTGCAGACTCCCAAGCTCTATCTTTCTAGAATGCTGAATTTCTCAACTAATGGAAGTGACAGATTTACGATCTTATGTGGTGAAGTCCTGTGTACCTTTTCGTACTGTTCTGTGATTAGTTTTTTCGTTCAATATAGTTTTCATTGAATATTATTAGGATCAATGGTGAGTATGATAAAAGAGGTCACCGGATATCGACGTATTCAGTTCAGTTTTGATGTTAGTTTTTGTCTTGATCATAAATGTATACTGATACTATATTATACGGATGTATCATTCCTTGAATCATCTAAAAAAAAATTAGATGTCTTATTTGCGATAGATGAAATATCACTTGAGTTATGTTTATCAGTGACGATGATTCATTGATACTTATCGAGACTGCTTAAATGAAAATTCATGATCAAATAGATTACCAACCGCTCTACTTTGTCACTGAATGCTTACAAACGAGTCAGTTTATGAACTGATGCAAATGGTGCCAAACGAATCGTATATAATATTATCATTAGCGCCGTTGTCGATTTCGAATTTATGATTACTTCATAAGTGTTTGTAATGAAAGTTGATATTAAAAAAATGTTTACTTTCTTGTGCAGCATGCGTTTATGTTGGTGACAAAAATATCTTTTTTTTAGAAATAAAGCTTGACTAATGCATAGTTCTTTGTGAAAGAATCGAGCAAAGTTGTAGTCTTCCTAAATAGATAGATACTCGTCTCACATATTTTTTTAGAATACTCCTTAGCATTATTTTCTAGTTAATACCCACTATTTTGTAACGAAGGATTAACTATAAAATCACGTGTTTAAGATTGAGAGAACACCAATAAGATTCTATCACTTGGGTCAGTTGCAGTAAATGACATAAATTCGATTAAAGTTTCAGTCTCTGGATCTTCTTACTTTGCTTAATAATTTTGTTTTTGACAAAAAAGAATCAATCCTAGTTGAACACGAAAACTGCTTCAACTTGTTTGATGTACAGTAAGGATTTCACGGTAAGGTTTTACTAATCGTTCCACTTTACTTTCGGAGAACTCCTCATTGGACAGTTGAAATGTATATATATATACTGTTTTTGAAAGTTGCAACCGGAAAACGTTTTTGTTGATGTGTAAGATATTCAATGTCAGGCATCAGGTTATCTACATATTGTCTATAGCTATCATTGAAATCGTTTGTACAGCTCATTTTTTCTCCGCAGTTAATTTGTCTGTAACTTGTGATAGGGTGTAGCAGAAACTACTTTACTTTATTATTCGAAAGAAAGATACAAGAGAAATTTGATCGATTTTGATGTGACTTCCTCTGCCGTACAGTGTATTTCACATTTTTCTACTTGTCTCTTTGATGACTTGTTTGTTTGTTACATTTTTTCTCAATAACGAAAAGAAATAACAACTTCTTACCGGTCCTTACATGCCATCAAAAAGAATATGTTTGTCCACACCATAGCATAAGGCTGTAGAATATGACACGTGTGTCCTTGTTTTAGTAGACGCTGAAAGATATACTTACGGAGTCAACTGCTGAGAACAAAGATTTGAGCAAGAAAAACATTAGCAAGATTTTGTAAATAGTATTCAATTTTTAAATACAAAAGAAAATTTGAATCCTTCTACACTGAATTGGTTGTTTACATAGTTCTATCCTATTTACGTGTTCACATTGAATGAGTATATAGATAGATGTAAAACTAGAAAAACGAAATATTCATTGACAAGTGTTCTCGTAGCGATATTTACAGTTATGTGATTTTATATTATAAATATGTTGTGTTCTTGTATCTGTATAATTCCAAATTTACGACAATCTATGCATCCGTTTTCGAAAAATTTAGTGACGTAGTCTAATTTAAGTCTAATCATTCATTGATTTCAATAGAAAATCATCAAGATATTCGGAATTAGTTGATGATTTTTTTCTCTTTTCTTTTAGATATTTTAAGCAGATAAATAGCTACCTATACGTATATTCGTCTGTCAGAAATAGGAGACCCTTCAATTAATCAAATAGTACATTTTGCTATTAAGGCGTTGCAATTGATCGATGAATAATACAAATATGTTATATGTCATTGTTTGATTTGCGTTCTTCAATTTTGATGGATGGAATAGACAATGATATTTTTCATTCTACTCTGATTCTGTCCTCAAGCAGCCATGAAAATAAAAAGCCACACCCCGTTACAGAACGAAAAACCTATGTATAGTCAAACATATATTTTTAGTATATGCTTTTATTTCGTTAGCGCGACATACTGCAAAGAAACAATTTCTTCTCTTACCACGATTTATAAGTAATGACTGTGAGCAGAAAGAAAGAATGATTGTCTAATTTATTTTTCTACCAGTATGCATGCCCTCGAAAAGTAAGATGTGTTTTTCAAAAAGCTAAATCTGCATTCGAGAAAATTTATTTGAAAAAATAATTTAAGTAAAATGCAAACATCCTCATTGTGACGTACCCATAAATTGATTTTTTTAAAGAAATTATTATTACTGTAGAAATCGTTTTCTTTTTAAATCTAACCATAAATTCGGATACAGGTTAATACTTTTTTATCAGTCAAAAACTGGAAAATAAAGCGTAGTACCTAAGTAATATTTGTCGTATTGATGAAAAATGAAACATAAGATATATCTGTAGGATATTTGAAGGTACCTAGTTCTCTCAGACTTCATAATAAATTCAGTAAAAGTGCATCTAGGTAAAAGAGAAGTATTTTCATTATTTTTTTATGTACAATACACGGGGTGTATTCGAATCTTTTCTCAAAAATCAACTCAAAATATCATAAGAGTCCGCACGATTCATCTAACCGAGGACGAGGTTTCAGTTGCCATTATATGCGTGTCTCACGAGCAAGTCGTAGCTTGACTTTTTCAAGAAGAGAGAATGCACTTATTAAAGTATATCTTCATGGCGGTGGTATATTCAAAAAAAAATCAACTAGCTATTTTTTTCAGCTTTATGTTACGTCAACAGAATAGCGTTTAGTCATTTAAGTCAGCATATTTTTTTCAAACACTCCCATTGATCACGCACTAGCGATGGCTTTCAAAGTCGTCATAAATTCATCTATGCAATTAGATACTTTTGGTGTGGATTCAAAATATTAGTGTTTCACGATAATTAGGATCGGCGTCGGCATTGACTAATATTGATACTTGTATACTCGTGTTAACTTTATGATAGTTGAATGCTGCTATTGGTGAAGACGAACCCTTACAATTTTGTTATCTTCTGATTCTTTTTAGTAGTTGATCATATTCACTGTACCGTTGTGTGAGCATCTAAAGGATCGAGCTCTATCAGATTCATAACAAATGAACGAAATCATTGCAAAATCATATCCAAATGGTTACTCCAAGTCAAAAGATGCGGATCCAACGGTTGCTCTGCTCATGTCAAAGCATCGAATGACTCTCGGACAACATTTTGATCGAAACACTGAAAAGGTTCAAGACCAAGGCTGCTGCTTTCGTTTTGACAATTCATGTTGTTCAATACTCGCTTGTGCGAAAGCCCACTTTTTCATATCATTATTACAACACTTGTGTTTATCGATTGTATGCTTACGATAGCTTGGTTCGTACTTGATTTTATCGCACTTAAAAAATCGTGCGACTCAAAAACCATTAGTCATGCCACTCAAAAACATAATAATGAAGATGAGCGCGATTATATAGAACTAGCTGCAGAGATTATTGATTATTGTTCTATGGCGCTGTTGAGTTTGTTCCTTGTTGAAGTACTCATCAAAATCTATGTATTTGGACGGCATTGGTGGAATTTCCAAGAGAAAAGAATGGAATGGTTGGATGCCATTGTTGTGATTGCTGCTTTCGCTTTCGGATTAGCTACTATGCATCGACAAGACCTTTTTGCTGGAATACCCTTACTTTTCATTTCTCTTCGTCTGTGGCGTATTGTAAGTTTCTGTCATTGTTTCAATATAGATCTCATTCTTTTCGTATTCTAGATTGAAATTATCAATAGTAAACATTTTTAATTGTCTTTTATGAATCTATTTTTGTTTTCGTCCAAATAGGTGTGGCTCAGACTGTTCAAAGCGAAGAGGAAATTCGAAAGAAACATTTGGTTGATAGCTATCATCATCTGATCGAAGAACTCTTGAATATTTTAGAAAAAAAAACTTTAACGATTTCTGACGTTGGCCCTGAAATGACACGAGAAACTTATGATGAAACTCTTGAGTAGTTTGAAACAATTGATCGATCGTGTCGTACAATTCTTGAACATTGTCCAAAAGAATCATCACTAGGTTCAATCATCGAGATAGATCATCGTCTACAAGATGCTATAGAAGAGATTAGATTGTTATCCTTACCAATCAATCTTCCATCTAGCAACACTGCTGCAAGCTAAATAATAATTGTGTATTTTACGTACTTCATATGCTTGACAACTTATGTTCCGATATTTTCTCGAAATGGAACTAACATTAGTTTTTATTTGATTAATAAACGATAAATAACATATTGCCTAATAATTATGTTCTCAAAAAGTATCTGATCGATGAAGTAAACAAAATTTATTTGTAAACCATAATGAAATGTCAGTAGAATTCACTGATACCACATATCACGCTGAGCACCGGTCTGATAACTATTCGTTGTTTACTGGATACAATCGATTGACAATATGTACTTCAATAGTTTTCGGTGACTAATTCCAGTAGATGTCTAAATCAAGTATTTTTAATACAATGGCAATCATCTTCATAAATCTACAAAGCAAATGGCACATCTTATATCGAAAAGGAAACGGTATCAAAATCAAGTCAACAACAATTTGTGCTGACAGTGCGGGAATATGAATTTCGTCAGATATTATCAATCATTTAGTTTTTGGAATTGTAACTTGTTTTGTCACATTGACAACCCTGGCAAAGTAATGAAAAGACTATCGTACAGTCATAGATTTCGATGTAAATATTTCTGAGTTGTTTCTTGAGAATTTCTGCGTGCTCTCTTTATCTACACCTATTAACTTATAGCAATGTTAGCAATTTCATATCCATCAAATTTTACTTTACTAAAAACGCAAGGATTTATTTCATCATTTAAGTTTATATTAACAATCTATTAGGTGGAAAATATTCGAAATTCATCATTTTCTTCTATACATTTGATTCGATTAAAACAATGATGAATTCGATGTACATTCATGCAGTTAGAATTTCTATTATCACGAGTCAACATTTCCTTGATATAACAATCGAATTGAGACAAATAATTCAGTCGATTAGCCAGTCTATTAGCTAAATCGATAAACGGCATGGGATATACAGCTTGTAAATATAAATATTCAATATTGGGTGTATAAACAAGAAGATTATCAATATCATTTAAAACTAGTTCAAAATAATCGCTCCAAATAGTAAATCGTCGAAGTGGATGGTTTCGTAGTGAAGTAGAGGACGCTACCATATTATTATTGTTATGTAAAATATGAATTTGAAGGTGTTGCAGATTAGGACATGACGTAAGAATGATAGGAACAAAGTTGGATTTGCAAGAAAGGATTGACACAAACTGAAGTGAAGGCGATACAGTCCATAAGTCACAAGTCGACTCGTCAATACAACCTAAATTAACATGCCTTAGAGATGGAAATTGATTAGAAAACACATCGGAAATTAGTTGCGACGGTGCCACGAATTCAGGTCCTAGTAAAAAAGATAGATGAGTCAGATTTGGAATAATTTTAGGCTGAATTTGTGCCAAATGATCACAGTTTCTATCGCATAATATTAACTTATGTAAATTATTAAATTGACTTAAATCAAATGCAGTTGACGTTTGAATTACTAATCGATTTATGCAAGGAGCGTATAATTTCATTGATGATGGATTAATATTCTTATTGAAAGTTAACGATAGATTTGGATATGATTGCATAATACTATTCAGTCGTGAGTTGAGTCCCCACAAGCCATTAAATAAATTATGAATGTCAATGAAAGAAAATGCATGAACAAGTAATTCGTTTGGAAGTTCTTCCAGCGTGGTACATTTACCTAAAATATGCGATAAAAATTACAAGTTATTCAATCTATAATAGAACAGAATATGATCGTATTTGGACATATTGATTATTAAAAACGTTGCTCTGACCACTTTTAATCAGCTACAAATGGCATCGATGCCGAAGGATTGGAATATAAAATTAAACTCAATTCTGTTTTAATCATTCAGTTGCAAAGCATTCTCAGAGAATAATAGAGGACATTTCATAATGGCGTTGTAACTTACCATGTTGAATGCATTGAAGAGCATTAGTGTTCTGAACCATTTTTATATGATCACTTGGACGTTGAATAGTTATTTTATCTGGCATAGTGTCTGTTGTTAGCTTCTAAACAAAGTTCATGTTGTGTCAAGATTCCTGTTTTGATACGTTCATTGCGATAAAGATTGTATGACACTTACATCCGATGAAAATAGGGACTTATCTTCGACAAAAGCAGGACTAGTATTTCTAGTTGAATTAAAAGTGTCTCGCAGTTTTCTGATGAAGAAATTAGATAACGTGCTGAAAATATCGTCGATTCCTGATAAGCCCTGATGTGTGCACAACTTTTTACAATCACTGCGTGAACCTAAATGTCGATGTAATTGTTTTTAGGCAATTTTTTTATGCATAATAATAAACCTTTAAGCAGAATTTGTCCTTCCCGATACCGCCCTTTCGTTTCAATGAAGCAAACATCGTCGACTTTGGTATACTCGGGTGATTTTAAAATAGCTGACTGAGGTATCGCTGAGACAATATCGCTGTTTTTCCATTTGACTGCATAAAAACATCGACTGTTAAAGACAATTTCTGGTCTATCAGTATTAGAGTTTGACGCTGCAATTAAATCGACAATTAGAATTATCATAAGAATATTCGAAGTGATGATGAAATGTTTGTCATTTACTTGATGTTGCATAAACAGGTTTTAGACGTTGAACCGTTGGAAGTTCACAATGAAAATCTTTGCCAACAGCTTTATAATGTGAATACGTTGTTGGGCTACAGACAAGCATTTGAACTGGAAGATGTCGTGCGGTTTTAAAACGATGCAAGAACTGTTTGAAATTTTCATTTTCAATATTAACATCGTTGAAAAAGATGATTCGATCATAGGATTTTAGTCCAGCTCGATGAGCTAAACTCGATGGTAAGTTTTCATTTAGTTTGATATAATGAAATTGCTGTTGTATAAAGTAACAGAATCGAACACCTAATAGTTGTTCCGGTACGGCACGTTGCATTGTACACAATCGAATATCATCATTTTTGTGCATTAAATCGATGTTTTGATCAACAGCAGCAACACCTTCCGTAAAGAAAAAGTTAATTAATGATTTAGTTTTATAGCAATTAGCAAGACGAATCTTTCAATATCTACTATATTTAGTACTATAATATACTCTTTTCTGGTTTGATATTATCATTATGTGTTTGTTTCGATGACTACCATATTGTGGTTAAAGTTTAAGATATAAAAAACCGTAATTATTCATGTCAATGCGATGCGAAGCAGTAGCTTTCAGTGGCAGCTAGCATCTTATTTTGCAGCTGAGTGACACTCGAATGTAGATTAACTTTTTTTTCTTACTGTAATGCTCTGCAATCCATGTTTGAAATATTTTCGGCGGATAAAGCCCTACTCCAGACATTGTTTTTATTTCAAATCTATGACTGAGATATTTAATTACACTTCCGAAGGCTTTGATATCGATTTTTGAATTCATTTGGTAAGCATTTAGATCCGCAACTTTACTAGCAGGAACAAGAATATAATGCCATAGTGGTGTTTCGTTGCCATAGCCACGAACCAGATAAGCAGATTCGCTAAAATGTTGTTCTGTTATCAGTAAGTTAGGATAATCTTCATAGCTTGTTAATAATCTCTGTATGAACATAACAGAAATGTAAAATGAGATTTTTTGTTTATGAATGAGAAAAATCAAATGACAATGAATTATTTTGCTCTGAATGTTTTTCAAATCAACATGCTTGAAAAAAAATGTTGCGACAAGCGCAAAAAGTTCTTTTTGTTGAATATAATTTTTCTCTATTAGAAGTATCTTACCTGTAATTTTTCGTAAAATTTTGCCATTGAGCAAAATAAAAACGGGTTTGTATTAAGTAAATAATAATTTTTCGATGGATTCAATTACAAACTGTCACTGATAAAAGTATTCAATAAATGAATGAGAAACATCATTATCTCAAGGAAAAGTTCTATACAACGATTGATAAGCTGATAGTGTTGTTTAGTGGTTTAAGGTTTTTGCCTGTTCTGTCAATAAATGATAAAGGATAATAGTTGTTTTGCTTTTTATTATAAGCGACGAAATTTAGAATAGGTTTTTTCATGACACTCCTTCATCAGTGACAATATTATCTTTTTGTTTTGGATTTTTCCGCGTGGCCATAGATTAAAGTTCTATGATTTATATTTACGTATATGACACAGAAATTCTAGTGAAATTTACTTTTTTTCTATCAAGTGCATTAAATCTTTCATGTAGGTTTTATCTTGATAACAAATAAAGTAGTATGCTGGATGCAAACTATAACGGAGTTGGTAGTTTTTCTTCTATGTAACATAACATTAACTTGAAAAGTGAACTATTCATCTATTGAGTTTTCACTGTAAAAATCATAGAAATTCTTGTGATGTTTACAATTACATACGATAGATTTTGCCATCAAGAGGGCTATATGTTTCTGTTGCTATGCTATTAGTTTCTTTATTGTTAATGGGACTTTCACGAGTATAATTCGATTTCCTGTAGGCCATGGATCTTCTCCATGCTCTGTTGTCCTTGGTGATTTCAACAACGACAGAAAAATAGATTTCGCCGTGCTCAATGATGGTACTGACAGTTTATCTATTCTTTTGTAGATTTGTTAATTTTAAATCTTCTACATTATCTTGTTTTCTTTAATATTTGACCTGACCTCTTTAGTAGGTTTCAACAAATGCCTAAATTTATTCATGAATAATAAAGGAAAAACTCTGTAAACATCATTCTTTATATGTTGAATGAAAATATTTCGTTCTTCATTGCTTGAATTAAAGTGTATTCTATTTAAGTTTTTGATGATAAATCTGAGTTGATAGTTTTAATTCGATGAGAAGGAATATTACGAGGATTTCGATGACAATCCATCTATTTATAGATGCCATATAACAAAGGAAATCATTAAATGAAGAGAAAAAAATAGTTACTTGATGAAGATTGATATCATCAAATGGGCACAGCACTTCACAGTATTCGCATGGAACAGCCGAAGTAATTAATTGTCGTCGAATGTGTCTCCTAAAAAAAGCAGATTAATTTGAATTTGAATAGGGTGAACCAACTGTAAAATTGGTTGATGATTGTCTTGATGGTACATTTTCTATAGAATAAAAGAAAAAACACAACAGCATATTGGATATGTGAGATAGGACTATATAGGAAACTTACCAAATGATCACTCAGCTGTTCCGTATCAAATAGTTCGTTATCATTACAATATTGACAAGGCACCGATTCACGAAAATTCGATTGATAGCATCGAGTACTAAAAGATTTGTCTATGAAATATTAAATGTAAATAACAAATCAATATAGATATTTATGTTTTAAGTGCGTACTGTTACTCCGGCTTGTATTGTTCATATATTCTCGTTGTTCAGCGTTGGATGTCGTACTTGTAGATGAGTTTTGAAGACAATTCTCCTTATTTTTATAGTAATATAGTGTAACATATTCTGAAATTTTCAGAGGTATACTGTTCGTTAGAGATGCATATTGTGTCACACTAGATACGATATCTGTCATGAACGATTTGGCATCTCTTTTAGGACAAGTTAATATATCTCAATATTTTGGAATATGTCACATTGTAGTGATTGAGAGATAACAAAAAAGATATATTCTCTACAGTTCTCATTATAGGCTACATATATATATATATATCATACTTGATGCTTTTTCCAAGCAGTTTCATCGTAATTTTGGCCACAAAGGGTACATGGAACCATATGTGAAGTATCATCTTAGAAACAAAAACAATTGAAATCAAAAATATGATCAGAACCTACTGTTATCTTCATTAGAAATAAGCGTCGCACGATGTTGTTTATGTTTAACATCGTCTTTGTTTGACCTCGATGAGAACGTTAGCGAATCATCGACATTCGATATTGATGGTAACAGATCAAATCCAGTTGACATCGTACTGACTGAATCATCCAGTTCGTGTACGATAGCACAATTGTTTTCATAGTGATAAGCGAACGTAGCTCTTCGAATAAATTTTCGACATTTCGGACATTGATCAGTCTTGTTGCCGCACAAAAGTAAGTGTTCTCTATAGACTGCCAATGATGATAAATGTGTTTTACAAAATGAACACAATAAACTCAATCGATCAACATGACTATTCGCCTATATTAGGAGTAAAAAATAGATTTAAAAAAAGTAAATAAATATCAGAATAGTGAAAACAATTGCTTTTACAAACCTGCTTTTCGTCAATATTTTCTTCGATTGTAAATAAATTTCTAGGGTGACGTATCCAAGTCGAATGAAATTCTTCACTCATCACATATATTTCAATACTTAAAGTTTGTACCTAATATCTTTCCTATCAATCTAAAATCAGAAAGTCATCTCATATGAGTTATCTTTATATATCAATAACATCAAAAATTATTCGAATTGGGAGTTCTTTAACATACGTATATATATATATATATACACTAGAACTATTCTTGCTCAAAATCTTACGGCTAGACCATCATAGAACAATCACTTGAGCTCATCGATTGCAGATACTGAATTCTAAATAATCCATCAGCAAGAAAGAAGTGAGATCATTTTGAAACTGTTCTCTGCAGAATTTACAAATATATAAAACTTGTCAAAAAAGAACAAACATTGCTAAAAGTATACAATATACACAGTGAGAATTTTACTAAGCTCACGTTAAATCTTGCTCACATTTAAGTGGCTTCTTACTGCCCAAGTTATTTCTACTCTTGTGTATACAGCTAAAGAAATAGTCTTCCTTTGTCGATTGAATTTAGGGAAAAGTTTCCGATTTGTAAAAACAGCCATCTTATATTTAATACTTAGATCAGCTTGTTTGCTGTGTCTTATCGCAATGAAATTTGCAAAACCAAAAAGAATAAGTAAAAATGTAATTTTCTAAACCCAGTTTACCGGATTATCTATTAGAAGAAATCACGATTAATTACAATAATTTGAAGTACTAGTTTTTCAATATCGATTCTCTTTAGAGTACTAAAAGCAGAATATTATAAAATGCCATCGCAAATTTGATCTCATCCATTTCTTCTTGCTGCATGTCGACACACTTACTCGATGAATCACATACTGTTTTTGTTTAAATCGACAATATAAAACGAACAGAGCGTTTGGCGTAAGTATAGTTACACCAATAGATTTGTGTTGCCGTGTTCCTTTACATGCCTGATTTTTCTTGTCAATATTTGATGCAATGCTCTCACATTTAGCCTAGAATGAAAAAGAAAAATTACATTTACGTATAAGGATCTCATAAGATTTTACTTAATTTTTGGGATTCTAACAGATTTATTTTGTATATAGGTTTTATTTAAAACGATAGATATGTGTATAGACCAAATATATTGTGTATGCAACTTCTGCATTCAACTCATTTTATAAAGATGAAATTAACTGATAGAAAAGATTCAATTTTGGTTAATTTATCGGTTTTGAATTGTTGTTTTTCTATAGGATTGGTATCAAAATATAATATAAAGTAGATGACCATTGGTTTATTAAAAGGACTAACGCTGATGCTTGAATCTCGGTCACAATACTGATTGCATAATCTGTTACAAAAATGATTGAATTTTAATGACGAAAAAGTTTAATGTAAATTTATTTATTCTTTGACAAGTCGTTAAATAAAGTCAGAAAAAAGTAAAAATAATTTGAGATGTGAGTCAATGCAGAATACAAGGTGAGCAGCAGTTAAAAACGTTTCATTATTCTTTTACAAATTTTACTTGGCGTGTATTTATTCTTAAGTGAGTGTGTATAACGGATACGTTCTGGATACTGCTATTGGACTAAAAGAGAAAATACGTAAACAGATTCACCAGATTTCAGACCAAAAAGCCAACGCTTTTGAAACACTTCTGACATATATATATATGAATAGTTGGTTTATTCTTATTCAAAGAAAATCTATTTTTTTCTTGTACACTCTCTCGAGATTGGAGATAAATAATTCAAATTTTTTTTCGTTTTGATAGAGTTTATTGACCTTGACCGGTTTCTGTCAAGTTGAAACTTGACTTCGTCAGAAACTGCATTGAAAAAAACTTTTACAAAAAATATTATTACAACAACAAAAAAGAATTCTACGGGTCTAAGGGACCTCGTAAATGGTAAAAGTAAAAAATGTTTTTTATTTTAGAACGATGAAAGAATTTCATTTAGTCCATAGTTGTTCATGTTTTGTCACTCGCGCCAACTTGTTGGTGTTGTTGTTGGGCACTGTGTTTTCAATGTCAACATAAGACGATATGGTTTCTTTTTAACTAAGTAATCATGTAGATTATGTAGCCTTTTAGAACCGACAATTGGCGTTATGTTAGTGATAGCTGTATCTGAAAAACAATCGTCCCATCATTTATGAGAAAGGTTCGAAAAATCTTTCATTCCTTTGCAAAAGGAGTATGAATAATGAGATAGAGTTGGTTATTAAGAAAAGCAATAGAAGGTTCGTTGAACATGGATGGGTACTACCGAATCAACGGTTACAGATTTTCAAAGATTCACTCCCAGGTCGTGGACGTACGGCGGGAAACGGCCGGAAAGCACAGGAAAGCGCTGGAAAGTGGAAGCAGTATTCCAGTTGGAAGTTACCGGATTTTCTTCCTGTAGATTCCGATCAACTTCCAGATGTAAAACACAGAAAACTGACCGGAATCCACAGGAAAAAAATCCGGTAACTTCCAACTGGAATACTGCTTCCAGTTTCCAGCGCTTTCCTGTGCTTTCCGGCCGTTTCCCGCCGTACGTCCACGACCTGGGAGTGAATCTTTGAAAATCTGTAACCGTTGATTCGGTAGTACCCATCCATGTTCAACGAACCTTCTATTGCTTTTCTTAATAACCAACTCTATCTCATTATTCATACTCCTTTTGCAAAGGAATGAAAGATTTTTCGAACCTTTCTCATAAATGATGGGACGATTGTTTTTCAGATACAGCTATCACTAACATAGCGCCAATTGTCGGTTCTAAAAGGCTACATAATCTACATGATTACTTAGTTAAAAAGAAACCATATCGTCTTATGTTGACATTGAAAACACAGTGCCCAACAACAACACCAACAAGTTGGCGCGAGTGACAAAACATGAACAACTATGGACTAAATGAAATTCTTTCATCGTTCTAAAATAAAAAACATTTTTTACTTTTACCATTTACGAGGTCCCTTAGACCCGTAGAATTCTTTTTTGTTGTTGTAATAATATTTTTTGTAAAAGTTTTTTTCAATGCAGTTTCTGACGAAGTCAAGTTTCAACTTGACAGAAACCGGTCAAGGTCAATAAACTCTATCAAAACGAAAAAAAATTTGAATTATTTATCTCCAATCTCGAGAGAGTGTACAAGAAAAAAATAGATNTTTTTCTTCTTAATACTAAGCTAACCATTATATTCTTTTCTAATTGTAAAATTTTTTGTAGTTCATTTTTATTTAATTCAAATAAAAAATTTTCAAAAATCGTACAAGGAACAGATTTCTTTCTTTAATAGACTGACTCAATGGATTTTAGTAAACACTAGGGGGTTCTATTTACAATAGCTTTTAATTTAATTTATGGATAAATAAAATTCTTCGTAATTTCTGTTTAAAATGAATCAAGCGTGCCATAATTAATATTTATTTCGAAACATAACAATTTATTTCATCATTTATATTTAAATATAAATATAAATTTTCAGTAATTTATAACTAAAATAAAAATAGATGTTTTTTCATAATAGACACTTGAAATAAATGCATCAATTAAAAACAGATCAATCTATACCTTGTGGATGTGAGTATGAAGAATAACCACAATGACCTGTATAGAAAGATATTTGAATAATAACGAAGAATTTCAGAACAGTTAAATGAATTGTTTAAATGGTATTCTTTGTTATAAGATAGACTTCGTTATAGAGCGCCATCTTTCATGATATATAGCGTCTCGTATCTAATTGGCTCTATTCCGATGACTCATCAATGGAGAAAAAGAAAGAGATAATATCTTATTTTTGATACTTAATAAATGAAATATTTTTTCTTCGTTATTAGGGATAAGAAAATATGAAAAATTGATGATTATGAAAGGGTGTGGGTGTACTTAAATCAATTCAAAAACAAATCAATCTATATCTTAACGAAAAGACAAATCAATTTGCTCGTCTCAACTCTTGCTTTACAGCAACCGATCAAGGTCGAATTTTAGTTAAAAATAAAATTATTTCTTTCTGTGCTAAATTTAAGAAAATATTAAAATAAATGTAGAGTTTAATTTCGTCGACGCATTTCGTGTTATTTATTTATTAAAATAATGAAACACTTTAGGTATCTACATTTTAATTCAGCACAATAAAATTAGGAGAACAAAATAGAATAAATATAGTTAAGTTATAATGGAAAACAAAAATGGAAATGAAGCAGCAAATACAGAGTTTAAAAGACAACAGTGGGTTAATTGAAGAATCAAAATGCTTGAGAATTTGAGGTTGATATTCCTTTGTTCGAGCTCTTTTTCTGAGCCGATTTAATCGCGAATTGTAATCACATTTTCTCAACATATTCATAATAGCAGTATAACGTTCGACCGTTGTCAAAGATGAGTCCAATTTCACGACACAGTGGAGTAAATTAGGTCCCTTTTAGGAGCGGTGTTGATCAACGTGAGCATGGATGTGTTGTCCTGTTTTGGAGCCACAGTGATCAATGGATACGTTATCTAACATTGAAACGATCAATAATCTGTTTTGGTATAAATGTATACTTCTTGCCATATGCATACACTTACTATTTTTAATTTATTTTCCTTCTTCTGTCTTTACTTATACCGTATGCATGTTTGTATATTTTCGTTGATTGTCTTTACTGATATCGTATTGATGCTGATATTTATTTTAACTAAGTTCAGAACAACATTGTATTCAATAACTTAAATACTTATATAAGTTCTTTATCAATTCCACACAAATGCATTATTAATTTTATTCAATAGATTTTATACCAATTTTATATCAAAGTAAAAAGAAAATCCAATGAATTTAATATTAATTCCATATTAAAATTTATTATTGAATTGGATTCTATTAATTTTATAGAAAAAAGTAAATGCAACAAATCCACTGCTAATTATTGAAATAGAACAAATAAGTAAAATAAAATAAAATCAATACCAATTCATATGAAATTAAGAGAAATAAATAAAATGAAATGAAATGAAATTCATATCAACTTCTGAATTATATGAAATAAATTCCATATTAACTTTTGAATTGGCTTAAATAACTTAAATAAATTTCATATTGACTTTCCGATTGAATTAAAATTAATAAACGGATTCAATAAACAAATCTATAAATTCATAATTAGTTTCATATTTTTAATTAAATTCAATATCAATACTAAAGGTCAACTCAAGTACTAATATTTCAAGTAAATTCAACGCCAATAAATTCAATACTATTAGCAAAATTAAATCTAAGTATCTATACTCAGAGTAATTTGGAATAAAGTTTTATGAATATTGTGTTACTATGTTTATAATTGATTTGGATGAATGTTATTTGTTAGGAAATCTGTTTGGAAATATTAAATGCAGAAACTTGTTACTGTATATCAGGATGTGGGTGTGAACAGCAGCCAAGACCGGTTTCATCCTTGCTTAAGGGATTTATCAGTTGGCATATAATCTATATGATTAAAAAATCAAAAGATTTAACTATACTATTATATAACTTTATAAAAAAAAGTATCTATAATGATAGTAAAAATTCTAAGTAGTGTGAGAACAACTACGTTGATCTAGATTACTTGGTCGTTTGTAGGGTGTTTTTTTTGATTGAATTGTATGTTAGTTAATTTATCTCAACAGAAAAGGAAATTTAGATATCATGATAGAGTAAATTTAAAATATAGAAACATGAGGTGTTTTTTAATGTTTTTTATATTACGTTACAGTTAGCAGTGAATGAATGTTACAAGTGGTCCATTTTATTGTTTTCAATGTTTTAACTGACTTTTTAGTTTCAGTGCCAGTATGAATGGGCAAATTTGGAATGAGCTGTTCTATTATTGCGTTGCTGGTTTTGTGATTGTTTGACGTTGTTGTATTCTTCGGTGTTTTTGCTTCGGTTCTCCTATAAATATAATCGTGAGAGGATATTAATGGATGAAATTATAAATAAAGGAATATTTTGTTTTTGAATTTTTTCTTTTATTGTGAAGCTGACTTTGCGTTATGTTGTTCTGTAGAAATGTTTGTGTCGGTCGTTTACGTATCAGTTCATTAGTTGCCTGTCTTCGATTACGATTGCCAACGATAAGTTTGGTATACGTTGCTGATGTAGATTTAAATATATGCTCCTAGACATGATGTATATCACGTTTGAAAACTTTAAAGCTTTTTTCATGTGTGTAATGAAGAAATAATTTTTATTCATAATTTGTAATTTTTATGTCGAGTTTCGTTGCAGATTCATTTGGGTGCTTTGTTTCATCGGCTACTTTATCGTTGTCGATGTGTGCCAGTAGTGCTAAGCTTGAAACTTGAATTCAGTTGAAAATAGAAAGTTTCAACTTTCAACTTATAGCGATATATGTGTGAGTCGCGATTCTTCAAAATGCTATTGGGTTAAAACTTGAAAATTTCAATTTCAATTTTCAATTGAATTCAAGTTTCAACTTTGACATATATGCAAGAAATGGAAGACTATTACCAATTTTATAGTCGAATTTAATATTTGGATGCCATGTATTCGCATCATCTATTAATTTTCGTAATTCTTCTTCAAATCTATTCCAAGTCATGAAAATATCATCAATGTATCTATAAAGAAAAAATTATATAATAATGGTAATTATTTTGTAAAATTTTTGATCGCTTACCGGCCATGAAATTCATCTGTCTTCGTTTGTTCTTCAACAATTCTTTTTGCCATTCTGACATAAAAATATTAGCTAAAGTTAATGTCAACGATGAACTCATAGCACCACCAGTTGTTTGTATATAAATTTTTTTATCGTAAGCAAAAACATTTTCTTTAGCGACAATCGAAGCTAATTTTTTTATTATATCAATACTAATTCCTTTCACTTTTCATTAACCATATGCAGATAGAAATTTCATCAGACTGTTCAATGCTTGTTCTTGTGGCAACATTATATATAAATTACGAATGTCAAATGTACATAAAAGAGTTGCTGGCTTTAACAGACCTTTGTTGTTATATTTTGAAAGTTCAATAATTAAAGAAGCACCATCAATAATAGTAGTATTTTTGCATTTATCATCAAATATTAGTCGTAAAATTTTGTCTAAGAATTTTGAAATTTTTGTGTTTGCAGCATGAATAGTACTTTCAATTGGGCGAACTGGTATACCATCCTTAAAATGTTGATTTATCGAAGAAAACTTTTTTAAAAATTAATAGAAACTTGAAAAATATACCTTATGTGTTTTAGGATTAAAATATAAATGAGCTAATTCGCATTTCGTTCGATCAGGCATCATTTGTTCATATTGCCATTTACGAATAAGATCTTTTCCACGAAGTGTATTGAGTAATTGTATAACTTTATTCAATATTTCATTGAATGGATTGTATGATAATTCTATGAAAGCATTTGTATCAGAGAAAAATTTTCCAGCTTTTTGTTCAAATTCACCAACTGAGTCAATATAAAAATTATTTCCTTTGTCTGTGACACGAATGATAAGATAATCGAGAAGATGATCTGAATATTGTTTAAAAATGACACTGTTTCGTGATATACGATGAGGTTATCTGGTGAGATGATTTTCAACTTTCGAATAAATATCTTTATGCTGATTTTTTATTTCAGTTTCTTGTTGGCATTTTGAACGAATAGCACTTTGATTTACTCTTATATAAGATGGACCTAAGTAAATAAAACACAAAATCATTTTTTTACATTTTTAGAAAATTATCTTACCAAGTGAAAGATAATTCCATTGACGCTTATTAAATGGATTAAAAATAAGATCGAGATATGGTTCAGATGAAACACCAATGACATTTTTTGTTGATGATGAACGTTGACGATTTTGAAGTATTATTCTTCAAAAAAATCCCATTTTATGATAAATGTCTTTTTCTAACCTATTTATTCGATTATTGATATGTTCCTTGATATTATTTAACATTGTTGTTCATATGAGTTGGTAGCCATTAGTCGAATGAATTTTCGTCGAATGATAATTCGTCGAACGACATTTGATCGAAAAATATTGAAAATATTTCTGAAATTATTGCTTGCTTTAGAAAAATAATAGTAAAGGATAGTTGCGTTGCAAGTATGAGATTCTTAGCATATACTTGCATTGTTGGTATACTCACGGTCTAACTATTTTTTATATATAATTATAGTAATGACCTAAATCTCTATCATAGTTTTTTGAATTTTAAGAGCTTGTTAGTCTTTAGTTATAATCAAACGACAAAATATTTCTTGTTCTTGTAGAGAAAAAATATAGAAGATTGAAATGTTTTTTTTTTGTTCTTGTCATTTTGACGTAATCATACACCGTTTCGTTTACGTAAACCATAAAGTGATGTACGCAGCATATAGACACGTTTAATACGTCGATGTTTCACAATCACAACTGTTGTGACTGACGATATATTAGTTGTGGATCTACGAAATGAAGTTCACAGGTAAGTTTATACAATAGTGGAGGAAAATAAATACTAATGAAACATATTGTTCTTGACTGTCACTGGAATTATTTGCTTCAGGTATATCTACAGTCGATGTTTGATCATCATTTATTCTAAATATATAATTATATTTCAAAATAGTGCAAATAGAGTTCTGAATAAATCAACTTCAAAAGTGTTTTTCATTTTTTCATAGTCACAGTGCAAGTATAGTTTCACTGCAGGTATCGTCGCTATGAATGTTTAGTCTTAAGAGGAACTATTAAAATATTGACATACTCAGCATCTAAATCTTGATATAGTTGTTCTCTCGTTTCCTGATCTTCTTCGCCTGGATTTTTAACTTCTTCATTGGCACTGAAAACATGAAGGTAAATAACACGCTAATCAAATAAACTTCATAGAAAGTCGATGATATACCTATCAGATAGTCGAACATCATCATTATCTGTTTTCCTCGGGTTCCATGTCATATGTTTGTTAGCCAAATTAATAACACTATTACATCTAACCTGTGAGACATCCCAATTATCATTATCCAGTAATAGTCACACTCTTAATGCTCCAAGAATTTTGTCACCTACTTTCAGAGGCTGTAAGGCTTTATAAAGAATGTGATCGATTTCCTTTTTTTGTTGAAAGAACTCTGAGTTCTCGACCTAAAACAAAATACTTTTAATGTAAACAGATTTCATTTATTACAACATTTAATAATTGTTGTTGTTCCTTTTGAATTAATTTATATGCACGTCCAGATTTAAAACCATTGTTTTTCAATTCCAGCTCACTTTTCCCATCCGGAATTCCTGCGTTTACTAATGAGATAAGACGATCTTGCATGTCTATGTTGGCACATGGATATTCCATTCCTCGATATTGTGAACTTTGCGCACAAATATTAGCAAGACCCTCTAAAATGAAAACGACATTCACAGAATAAGATGAACTTGATGATCACGAGTTAGATACCAAAGTTTTTCACTTCGTCACTGTACTTCAGTTTGAAAAACATGATGATTTAATTAAATGAGAAAAAAATGGCGTACGAAAAAAAGATAAATCTAAAACGAATATGAAAAAAGATGATGCAAATTTTCTGTTCTAAATAAGATGAGTTTTATTTATTTTTCATTAGAACTAAGTAGAGATAGTTTCTCTTTTGATAACTTTTTCCCTCTCATCTTTCTTGCACTAGCTAATTTAAGTTTTTTTCTTTCCAACAACAAAATCAGCCAATAAATCTAAATGTTGCTCAAGTGGTAAACGTCCAGTTTCGTATGCCTACTTTATTTCAGCTAATTTCTCTTCAGTCATTTTTGTGTTTTTCAAACAACTTAATTTGAAATCATGAGCTCCACCTTTCAGTTGATATTTTCGAACTAAGAAATTAAATTCCTCATTACATAAAGCATCGATTAGACGCCATATATGTGGATGTTTTGTGATGATTCGACTTGCAAACCGTGCGTGCCATGCTAAATATGAAAACTTATGTGTAGAAATAGTAGTACCATCCATCAAGGATGATTTAATACATTCACATGCATTATTCGTTCTAAATTTGAGATCATTTACATTCCACATGTTTACTCCTATTTTGTTGAACCAAAAATCTTGTACATGTTGTACAAATATTTTCATTCTTTTGGGTGCGCCTAACTTGATCAATTGCAAAGCATTTTAAGTTTCATTAGATGGTAGTAATGCAAAAGCCATAGTATACTTTGACCACTTACGTACTTTCTCTTCATCACGATACGCTATTGCTAGTCCTTCACTAACCAGACGTCGATGAAGACTCTAATTGAAGTGGAAAAAACATCCGTTATGCTCAGTTGTTGGTAACTATATGAAAAATATTAAGAGTTAACTACAATTTTATATGGAATGAAAGCATAAACCCGGATCCCATAGAGATAAAATGCATGCCTGACGTTTTACTGCTTTGATTAACGATGTTTCAAAATCTGACATCAATACAAGTAGGGGTGGACCATTTTTTTTAACGGAACCTAATTAATGACATTAATTAATGATTTCCATTAGC